GTTCGGGGGATTCTTCACGAAAGCCTTGGAATGATGGAATGATAAGGCTTTGAGCGTAGCAATTTTTCTTGGGATGGTTGCGATGTCCGCTATGAAGACTAGGTCGCCGTGAGCATTCTGTGTTCTTTCGCATCGACCCATGAATGCAGAAAAGCTCTCTTGATGAGCTGCATTCGCTTCTGAGTCCGCATCGACTCCTCCGGAGCCTCTGACTCGACGAACCCGTCGTTGCCCGTTGACCGATAGTTCGAATCCGGGATACATGGATTTGATCTTCTCGAGACATCTCCATCGGGCAGAACAGCTCGGCCAGCTGCAACCCCAGAATCAGGAAACGTCGGATGGGATCAGCCATTGTTTAGGAGAGTCATGAAGAGCGGAGTTCACGAGATGGATCCCGGGAAGCGATTCCAGTACACTTTCGACATATGTCTCCATGAGTCGTGGATTGTAGGGAAATCATTACTTGTAGTATACGAGACAGTGAGATCGGTCGTTGTAGCGGTGATGCTCTCCGCTTGCTTGCGGCCACAAAATATTCGAAAAGTTCCGTCGTTTCGGATCGACTGATTTCAAAGCCCTCTGTTTTTGCCTTCACAGGACTCGATCGCCGCGTCGTATGTCGTATCAGAGACTCTTACAGTAATCCTCGGCTCGACGGGGATATATGATCCAGCTGTGGAGCTCCTGCCGTAATTAGGATCCTTCGGCAACTCATCCGAGCTCGGACCCTCTCACGTCACGGACTGCTCTGGCACTGGAGATCCGAAATACGCGGAATCAAGGGCGCTGCTCAGCCTACGGCGGACGTGGATTTTTCAGCAGCGAATCCAGCGTACGAGTTGTGAGGTTATCCGGAGATTGTCGTTCTAGCAGAATAATGGGCAGATTGTGAGCGATCTCGAGCCAACGACCCCGATAAAGACTCATCTTTATGGTGGAGCTATCTGCTGTCGGAAACGACGAGTCTGACGTGAATCCGAGAGAAAACTTCGATGAGACTGCGGCTCCGGGAAGTTCCTCCGCAGCCCTCAATACCTTAGGATACCTTTGAAGGGACTCCACGAGAGCTGATCGAGTAAGAAATCGCCGGAGAAGGAATTTACGAGAGGGGACCTGGGTGGGAAGCTACTCACGCATCTGAGGATCTTCATGCGATATCTTACCGATCACACTTTCATGAAAGGAAGGAGTTAGATGTAGATGGAATGCAGCAAGGGGCCTTCCTTTTTTCTTCATTTGATAAATAAAGAATAAACAGTACCAGTTTCCTGCTCGAAAGCGCATTTGGTTGGGAGACCGAAATTTAGAAAGGTTCAGAGAGTACCACGGAACCGCTGCCTCTACCACACGGCAGCATCCTCATTCCTCATTGAGTAAGGGGAATCTCTCCTCTTCCGAAAACCTTGTGAATAGGCGTCGGGGCTGGTGACCCGGGAACATGGAATTGACTCGCTCAGTCGACCATTGAATTCGACTTCCCTTCCTGTGTGAGACCTAGGATTTCCCTCGCTGCTTTCGAGCATATGCCTGAGTTATCCGAGCACCGAGCACGGATGGAGACCTGCGAGCTCCACGAGAAAACGAAGTCTTTCACGTATCACTCGCATCCCGAGTAGACGTCGATACGACCCTACCGATAGTAAGATTTGAAAGAGCCACGTGAACCAATGATCGGCAGACGTTCCTCAGCAGAGCTCGTCGTAGTCCTCTGTATGCTGATAGGCGGTCTGGTTAGAGTCGAATCTGTCTTCGACTGCACATCTGTCTGCCCCGCATACGCGCGAAGCGTGATAAGGAACTTTGACCCTTGTCATGATTTCTACGATTACGTGTGCGGAGGCGTCCTGCATCCCGAAGTTCAGCGTTCGAAAGGGAACGTCGTAGGTACCTGTTCTCGCTCACTACAGCTGTCGCGTCACTGTAAATTTTTCACGCGAATTCCGCTGAACGTCCTCTTCTTCTGGCGTGGAATCCGCTTCTCGTTTTCCCGACGTAAGCAGAAGAATGTTTCAGAGCGGTACAGCCGCGAGTCTCAAGATCGCGGCCTACGAAATCCTGAAACAGGAGTTGGAGAAACATCTTTTCAACAAATCCTCTATCGTCCATCCGGCAGCCGTTTTCCACCAGGAATGCTTAGAGAGCTTTCGAGTACCAAGCCCGACCTACTCGGCGACAGCCCTCAAAGAACTTTTCAAGAAACTCCGGATCCATTGGTATGACACTGACCATAAAAACGGCACTGCCCTCTCCGCGATTCTCATCCTGTCGCTGCGCTACAATATCGAAACGAAACTCTTGAGCGCGAAATTTCATAACAAGTCGGGAGTTCTCTATCTCTATCCGCCCATGTTCCCTATGAAAATGGTCAATGTCGGACACGGGAGCTTCGATCGCGACCGGCTCGCAGCTCTCACCCAAAGGATTCATCGGAGACTGCGCGAGCTGACAGACGAATCGTATACGGAACTGGAGCACCCCGGTCAGCCTCGGTCGGACTACCTTCATGACAAGGTCATGAAGATCATGCAACGCGGGTTCGCCACCGCAAAGCGACGAGAAGTTCATATCCACAAGAAGGTTATCGACGACTTCGTGCATTGGCTAAGAGGATTCGCACGGCGATGGATACGAAAAGAGGGTCAACGTGTCCTCGCGTTGTGGGAGCTCCAGCGAGAAACCCATGCCGCGTTCCGAGCGTTCCTGAATCCTTCAATGTACGGTTTGGAGAGCTTGGAGACTTCTTCTCCGGTAAGACTCCCGATGACCTTCGTCTCGGCATTGGCGACAGTTCTAGACGATCTCGAGTTCGGCCCGCTCTTCGCTGATTACCTCGGAACCGAGGTCATCGAGCACCTTCGCCCGTACATCGCGAAGATCTTCGATTTGCCCTCCGAGGATGAAATCCAAGAGCACTGCATCGTTTCGGTAAGTCCGGCGAGAGTGCCCTCATTTTCCCCGAGACTGCCTTGATCATAGACTTGAGCTCGGTGTCCGTGGTCGGTGACGGAATTATTCCTTTTCCTTTCATCAAGACGGCGAAGTTTTTCCCCAAAACGGCTTCTTGGTTGGTAGCGCAAAAATTGTATTCGCACAATGAGGTTCTCCTCACTCACAAAGTACTGAACTATATCAAACTGGCAGTTGCGAAAGTGAGTCCTCCTTGGTCGTTTGGTGGGGAGGGGGGATCAACGCTTGTCGTAGCAGACGATAGTATATACATATTTCGGAACGTCGAGTCAAATCCAGGTCCCCGTCCACAGAACATCCAGTCGTGGGCATGGCTAGAGCTTTCTACGAAAGTTCACATGATGGAGAAATTGTTCGCTCTCAAGGAAATCATTCTATCGCCCAAACCAGCGAGTGAAATCAAAGGTCCGGAGTACGCGGAGGAGATGTCCGATGATTACTTGGTCAACGCACTCATAGTGCTCGCCGCGAACGCAACGAATCAGAAGACGGGCCGCGACACGGGTCTCTGGCCAGAATTGGTCGAGGGACACGCGGACGTGAGTTTTCGACTTGAGAAATTGCCCCGATCCGCATGAATGGCTTGTGCGGAGGGTCCTTCCAGGGTCTCGGAGATTTTTCCTGAACTCTCTCGTACTTTCCAGTTTGAGGAGCCAATCTACAGACCCTATTACAACGACATCGTGATTCCGGCAGCATTCATGAATTTCCCATTCTACTTGAAAGACAACAGTTGGCTCTCCGTGGCATCTTTCGGTTTCGCTCTGGCGCGACTCGTCGTTCTCGCCGTTCTCGACGGGAACAATTTCAATAAAGATGGGTACTTCTACCCGCATTCGCACGTCGGTAGTAGATCTCGCTTTTGGTCGCATGTGAGCACCAACAATTTCAAGGTACGTTGCATGGGAGAGCGGGCAGGAGACGCGTCCGACGTCTAATTCGATTGATTTTGCGATGTTCGAGGCGGTCTAACCTAACGAACTTAGGAAGTTATTTCATGTGTGCTCTGCGGAAACGAATGATGCAGATTCTATTCATGAGAGATACTCTCGTTATTCCTTCATTCACAGCTTGAATTGAGCATTCGTCTCTGATTCCAGCGGACGCTCGACTGCCTGTACGAGGAATTCACCAACGACGTGGACAGAAGGAACGGGGGGAACAGAACCCTGGACATATTCGCGGACATCATTGCCGCACGAGTTATGAGATCCGTGATCGATTGGTACGACATCAGACACCCGTCTCCGCGGTTCACCGGATTCGGGAGCTACACTGCCCGACAGATTTTCTACATAGCCATGGTCTACCCTCAGTGCAGGCCCGAGGACGAGTCGCTCGGGAGTGATGTCTACGGCTCGTTTTCGCGCAGACGCTTGAACTACGCCCTCGCGAACCTGGCATTCTTCTCAAGCGATTTCAACTGCTGGGACGATGACGATATGAGCGGGCGGTACTCGATTGATGACGCCTGCGGAATCTGATCGTGTGATACGTAGACTCCTCGTGGACAATGTGCCTCTGCTCTTGACGCACATGTCACGTACGCTTCGCCGACGGAGCGTCACGAGAGCATCCGCAAGTGACTGCCAGATTCCCCGAACCCGTCGGCTCCCTGCGTCCTTCTATTGGGTGTCAACCAGGATCGGACTGAATACCGATGGGCCGCTTGTTCCACAAGTCTTGCAGGAAGTTCTGCGATCTCTCCTGGTCTCATGTTCTTCTTGAGAGACGACTTTTAACATCTCAAGTTATGTACAGCTCACATCTTATGAAAAGGGCGGCTATTCGAGAATGATTATTCATGCGAGGGATTCATGAATACCGTGTATGTATGCGTTGGCGTTCTTCTTGCCTCTTGTTAATAAATCGAGTCACGGTCAGACGCGAAACTTAGCAGTTCAAAGTCTCCATCGACTTAATTTCCGTCCGTGGCTTCCTGGATTTGTCGAATATGGAGCCATTCTGAGAGTCGCGTGCGCGAGACGGCGCGTCATGCTGATAACGACGAAGCTCATCACCCCCTCTCGATGTACCCAGCGCAGTTCGTATCTGTCCCATTCCTCATTCTGACGCAGTTTGTTTGTTTCCAAGCAGTGGTGGGACAAAGCAATCAATGTAACGAAAAAACGTGCCAAGCAGCCGGCAAGGCATACGCTTCGAGCCTCAGCAAATTCATTTCGCCTTGCCACGACTTCTACGCGTACGTTTGTGAACGTAGGGGAGCGGAAGAGCTGCCCCCTGATCCGCCTCCTGATCTGGCCGGAGCACCGATACGGAGCCAGCTCGTGTATCTGAAGTTTCTGCTCGATGGGCTTCAGAGCAGGGAGGACTCTGACGCGAACGCGGGTAGTGCGGCTAGCTTCCTGGAGAGTTGCTACTTCCACTTAGAGAAAGAGTCGAAAACGCCGAGTCCGGATGCCTTAATTAATTTCTTCAAGATTCTAAAACTCAATCCGATGAGTCCCGGTCAGAGCAAGCACAGTGGACTCTACCTAATCCTCCGTTTTTCGCTGCGATTCAACATCGAAACCGATATACTTGCTGCGGCAGTCTCGAATAACAATAAACACATTCTGCTGTACCAGCCGCACCACCCCCGGGAGGTGAGCCATGTCGCATCGCACTCGTTCGTGACATCGGGATTCGAAACACTGGCCGAAGCTATACGAGAGAAGCTGCGCAAGCTACTCAAAGTTATGACAAAGCAAGGCGAATATCATGCCCGGGGGTCAGACGGAGTGTTCGATGCGGTCCTCGACGTACTTTCCGCGTCCGGTATGTCTCCCGCACGGCGCGCCGACCTCTCGAGGAATATCCGAGCAGTCGAGTTATTGGTGCCATGGCTCCGCACGGAAGCTCGTCGTTGGTTGCTGATCGAAGGCCAGGAAGTGATCCGGATCCGAGATCTAATGAGGGAAACTAAAGTTCCCTGGTTGGCAATCTTGAATGCCCATATGGAAGGTTTATCTAATTTGGAGAGTGAGCAAACAGTCAAGCTTTCGAAAACCTTCATTTCCGCTCTCGCTCACGTTTTGGGCGAGCCTGAGTTCAAGATCCCAATCCACGATTACCTTACATTCATCGCTCTGAAACGTTTCTCGGACACCATCGGATCCTATGTCAAGTTTCCGCCGATCCCGCATGTCGGCAGCGAATTCTACTGTTTATACGTGGTGAGCTGTCTATCCTTTCGAGTTCGCTAACCATTTTTCCTCCTCGTTGTCACCTTCAAAACCCAACTCCAAGACTCGTTCAGAGTGCGGATTCTCTCGATCACGGAGTTCTCGCACTTCCTGCAAGCTCGTATTCGATGACTATTTCTCTGCGAGCGAATATTGGTGGAATATTCAAATGAAGTTCATTCCAGACAGCGCACTATTTTCCTATGACGTCCGCGATGCTTGTTGGCAGACAGGCTTACACTAATGCCTCGACAATCGGCGCGACAACCTTGATGTCATGGATCAAGCTCGGAGTCGCTAAGGTGAGGATCTCCATCTCTTTGCCTCCGCTTCATGTACTCGGCCCAACTCCGAGGAGCGTAAATAGGCGGCTGATCCGTCGCCCGCAACAAATACACTAATCTGTTTTCATGTTCTCCTCGGGATCATTCGGGACTTTAAAATTCGCGTTCAGTTCTTCCTCGAAGCTGACTGGATAGAGCACAGCACACGCTTCCATTCACTTGACAAACTGTGGGCGCTGAGAGAGTTCGTAGGGTACGATCCGGCTCTCGACGCCGCCGCCGCTGGCGAGGCGCCGAAAGTCCCCATGACCTCGAATTTCCTGCAGAACGTACTAGAGATTCGTCGCTGGAACGCGACGAGACATCTCCAGGCTTACTTCAGCCAGAAACCCATCGAGTGGGGTGGGGGTTGGAACGTTCGTATCGATTTTGATTGTTTTCCCTGCATAGACGATCTCTGATAAAATACCGGTCTCGAAGGTGGAAACTTGAATTCGGATTCGCGGCCTCATTAGGTTGAGACCTTGGAGGATAAAATTCCCTGCGATTTCAGTTTATGAAGGCGTCGCATCGACCGCACTGGAATGACATCGTGGTCCCAAGCGCCGCTCTCTTCTTTCCAACTTACATAGGGATGAAATTCGATTGGATGAACGTGGGTCCTCTCGGCTTCCATCTAGCTCGCTTGATGGTCCTCAGTGTGTTGAGCGGTGATGACTATGATAAGGACGGTCAGTTCAAAATGACCAACATGGAGCACCACATGACTCGTTATTGGACTCTTGCGAGCGCCGATAATCTCGAGGTTCGTTGCCCTCGTCCTCCTCTCAAACCACTGATCGCGTATTTCGCGCTCAACGCATTGCGAAATCTCCGAACACTTCGCTGCAATCCTAAGGACCATATCGTTCCCCCCACAGCACAGATTGGAATGTCTCCACGAGGACTTCACCAACGAGCTGACTATCAAAGACAGGCGGCTCGCAGCTGATCTTTTCGCCGATATGGTGGGAGCTCAAGCAGTTGCGCAAGTTTTCGCTTGGATACGAAGATTTCAGACGAAAAAAAGAACCACGAGGTCATCGGGACTCAAAATATTCCCCCATATCGACTTCCTCAGCCCAGCTCAGCAATTTTTCTTCAGTATGGTATATCCCTGGTGTCAGCCGATGTCTCAAGACGGCGGCGAAATCCATAGACGGATAAACATGGCTTTGTCGAGTGTCGATCTTTTCATCGATGTGTGGTCGTGCTCGGAGTTTCATTCGATGAACCGGGCAGCAGACTTTGTCGACGATTGTGGGATCTGATTTCCCGCGACGAGGCCTAACCGCCTCGGTGACGTCCAAGGTTTTCAGAGGTTTCTTCGTTTGTATGGATTTGTATTTTGCTAAAAGATGAAAAAAATGAATAAAACGTACGAACTCACCAGTGGTCACTCTCATCCCTAGCGAGCTGGACTCGGGGGCGACTTGACACGCCTTCATTCCATCCTGTACCCATGGAGATATCGGGGATGAGGGGCGAGATCGAAGACGGGTGAGATCGAAGAGGGTCATCAATCAACTGCAACCCGTATAATCCTCGCGGAACACGCTCACCCCGGAGGACGACATCCCTTGCGGACTTGGTTTCTACCTCATCGGAGCTTGTCGAAAGCTCTCCATCATCGTGGGCCCTTGGTATCTGACTCTCGGGACTCAGTACGGCCTACCCGAGGTCCTGATTGGTAATGGTCGGATTCCAGGGGAACATCGTGGTCTTCCGCGATAAAGCGTCGTTAGTTCCTCACACCGAGTTTGAAAGAGTGTGACGATCATTGTCACGGTGGCCTAGCGAGGAATGCGTCACCGAACGTGCTCCGCACAACCTCGAGTTTCTCGTGAGCTTCATCAAACATTCTTGCATGCCATCGCCGAATACCTTGCTGAAATATTTCATCCGACAGCATTGCGTAAAGCTTGGAATTTACTTCCGCATCTTTTGAGCTTGTGTCGTGTACGCACATGGGTTCGGTATTTCGCTTGTCCTCCGGGAAGCTTGGGACTCTCCTGTTCTCATGTCCGGAAACTGGACTGTTCCTGGACCCTCCTCCCGGGCCCGACTGTCAGTGATCCTGTGGCTCCTGCTAAGTTGAGAACTATGGCAAATAAAGAGTGGACGCCTACCTGTAGACCGTGAGCTACATGGACACGGAAATTCTTCCGATGAGTTCCACCGAGGGTTCGAGCGTTATAGAAGCGGCATGACACAGCTCGATTCCCACGCCCGCAGGAGGAGCTTGCTGGAATGCAGCACTCCGATCCCTGAATCCTGGAATCAAGATCGAGGACGTTGGCGTTGCCTCGAAGAATTCAGCAGAAGGAATTCCAATAGAATCTGAGTGATCGGAGCCTCTTCGCGGATTCATGATGTAACCCCACACTGCCGGAGCACCAAGTTCTGAGGACCCGTGTACCATGTTGCGGGAAATACGTGAGAGGGCAAAGATTGTCCAATCGGAGCTGGGGGACGTTGGCCACAGGCTCCGACGTCAGAGCTAAATCCTCGACGGGCCGTTCGAGTTTCTCAATACCGTGAAGTCGTGCACTGGCTCATGTGAGAATATTCTCCGGTCTAATATTTTATCTCGAGATGATTATCGGTCTAATAAACTAGGATCAAATCGTCCGAGGATAACTTACAAGGATGCGCGGAATCAAATATTATGTGGGGCTTTCCTGACGACATGAATCATGAATATCCGACACTACCATATCGGGGGATAGAGAACCGGGTCACAGGTCTTCTATTGCCGCTCTCTCAGGATGATTCTACTCACAGGGAGACAGAGTGTTTCTTCCTCGCAAAGAAATGTAACGGATGGTGCTCAGGCGCTATCGACTGGATGGCGCGAAAACGTCCATCGTTTACCGTGCGCACCGCACGTTCCTCAAGGGTGTCCGTCCCGGACGCGAGGTCGGAGAATCTTCATGGACATATAAAGCACGTGTTGAGGTTTCATTCCTCGTCGATCATAGCGTCGGATCTCAGATTTGGACATGCTGTAGGCAGTGGCGCGACATTCTTCCCCTGTGATCGACCGTATGTTTCGACCGCATCCGAGATATATCGTCGGGAAGGACAACTCATCGGCAAAGGTGTCATAAATCAGGCTCTCCAGTTTTCTATGTTGACCCGGACTCATGTTCAGAGAGTGTCCCTCATTCCATATCATCGTGGGTTGTTGCGAGTGAATCGACTCTGAAGCGAAACTCGCGTCCATGTTCTCAAGTAGATCGTAGGGCAGCCCGTCGATTCCCGTGCTCGTTTGGAACTTTTCAAACGCGGACCAATTATTATTGATGGTGATATCAAAGGGCCTATCCAGCGTCTGTTGCACCAAGTATGGTGAAACAGTCGCTCAAAAATCGACACCAAGTATGAATCGTCGATTTTTTTAACGAAGCCATCGATCGCGTCATGAACGGGTCCACTCCACCATACTACCGAAATCCCATAGCTCAACAATGACTAGGAGAGAATGGTATCGCCAATCGCGGGGGAGAATGGAGAAAACATTCCGGATTGCCCGCTTCGACCGAATTTTCAAGAACACTTCCTCCCTGATGGCTTCGCGAAATGAAATGAGTAGCGCCGAGGACGGCACTTGTCGTCGCCTTTGCCGGGCAAGCATTTGTGGTCAATCGAGTGCCTACGTACAGAGTAAAGGAATCATTTATGCGAGAATCGGATGAATTCAGAGGGTTGCATGAATCAAGTCGAATGAAGAGTTCTAGGACTCTAAGCGGGTCCGAATTCGCGGGGAAGCTCTTGCCGTGAATCTCCTAGTCCAGGGATCGAACCGCGGGCTTCTAGGTGCTCGAGGATCAAAATTTTGAAGCATTGACCTTTTCACGTCGAAAATTGAAGCGTCGATGGCTAAGCTCTTCGAGAAAGTCGACGGGTACTCCACTTGGACATAACTTTTTCAGGGAGGCCCCGCGGCACTTTCGAGATCGCATAGGATCTCGAAGATGGGGATTCTCAACTCTCTCACGGTGTAATAACGAGGAGTTAGAACCGAAGCAATCGTCCGAAAAGATTCTGCAGCCTTTTCCGTTCTCAACCAAGTCCGAGGACTTTCTTAAATGATCGTCCGGCGAGCGGATTGGGAGATCGCACAAATAACTCACTGAGGAATGAGGAATCTAGCCATTGGGACCGAAAAGCGTTCGGCGGATCGTAAAAGTACCAGTTATGGGACAGGTACCAGCTATGGGACACTTTTCGTTTTTTTGTAATTTCGAGAACCGGTGTGCCGAAAACAAGATTATGATGTCTTGAATATAAAGTTCAGTTGACGATCATCCAGCCCAAGACCAAAAATGATGTCCTGTCTTCATTCACTAGGAGAGTGGGAGCGTTCAATGTTCAGAACGCCGAATGCCAAAATTAGCTTAATGAATAATTAAGAGGTTCCCCACATTGTCTCAAATTCTTGGTCCTCAGCCTTCCCATGTATCTCAGAGCTAGATTCATTTTTTAACAACACTAAAGATCGGCGTCGCATCCCAGCAATTTGACACTCAGTCAATGTTGTCTGAGCTTGAAGCTGGCTGTCCCAAAACTGGTCGACGTCTTTTCATTCTTTGACCACTTTTGGGACACCACCGGATCCGATTGGATTCCACTTCGGATGTCGGTTGGGACACCACCGGATCCGATTGGATTCCAATTCAGATGTCGGAGTCTTGTACCTCTTTGGAGGAAGAGTCGGCTCTGCGCTCAACGGAGCCTGAATCACACGAGAACGGACCAACTTCCAATTGGTCGGAAATTCTAGACGAGCTCTATGGAAATTCATATCGCTCGAATCGGGCGAGCGGAATCTCAGCAGCTAGCATCTGTGAGAGGCAGTCGATCAGTTGCATTCCGCTCGGAAAGTGCCCTCGTTGTCACTGAATCTTCCGCTGAAGCTCAAGTCAACGCTCTCAAAATGCCTAAAGTAAGTCTCTTGGCCGAAGTTTTTCGATTCATTAGAGATTTGAGAACGTCACCTTCATTAGGGTAGATAACAATGAAGTGCTCTATCGTAGAAAATTGTGAGGAAGGCGATGTTGCTCGAGCGCAGTCCCAAAACCTTTTGAGCTGAGGTCGACTCAGTGCCGGCAAGGTCGGAATATTAGAGCCATTATGCGTTGCAGGACGCTACCTATACTGATGATCACATGATCAGCTCGCTCGGCCCTAGCTGCGGTTCGCAATGGCTTGAGCGTTAGGGATGCAGAACAAAGATATGGAGTCCCACGATCGACGCTGGCTAGGAAGAATCAACTCGACTCATCGACAAGAGAACGCCGAGGTCCACAACCAGTCTTGGAGGATGGTGATCAAAGGATCGCAGATTGGGTGAAGAATATGGCGAGAATCGGCTTCCCAGTGACGCGTGAAGCCCTGCGCGAGATCGCCCTCAAGCTCGCTAAAGTCGCAGCTAAAGACGGAAACCTTCGAGCCGAAACAATATCATCCGCCAACAAATGGGTGAAACTTTTCCTGGACCGGCACCCAGATATCGTGCTCCGCGCGCCAGAGCCCGTATCTCACGGACAAGCGAGTCTGAGCGAAACGGACATCAGAGCCTATTTCGGTAGGATCGAATCCTTACTCGTCGAGAGGGATGTGATGTCTCTCCTCGGTGATCCAAGAAGAATATTCAACTCGGATGAAACTGGCATCGCTTTGAATCCAGAGTCGGGTCGAGTTCTCGCGGAGAAGGGAGCTCGCAATGTGCCATTCCATGGCGGCTCTCCTAAAGACCGCGTAACGGTATTAGTGACCGGATCCGCCGCCGGCGGGCTGGCGACGACAGCAATTCTCCTCCGTCGGAAACGTATACCCCCGTCATTCGTCGAGTCGCTCGGGGAAGGATTTTGCCTTCTGAAATCCGACTCCGGTTGGATGACTAGTGCTGTCTTCCTTCGATATCTGGAGGCGCATTTCGTGCCCTTTTTGGGAGAGCGCGGTAACCAACTGCCAGTTCTGCTCTTCTTAGACAACCATCGCTGCCACTTGACGATGGAAGTGACTTCATTTTGTGAAGCCAATGGCATCGTATTGCTTCCCCTTCTTCCGAATGCAACACACATTCTCCAACCCTTAGACGTCGCAGTCTTCAAGCCACTTAAGACTGCGTGGTACAAAAAGGCCACAGAGTGGAGAATGAGGAATGGAGGCCGTACGATGAGAATGGAGGAGTTTCTCGTTCTCATACAAGAAGCATTCGGGAATTTCGATGCCACGTGGCTTATCAACGGCTTCCGAAAGTGTGGCATGGTACCGTGGAATGCCAACGCCATAGACTACAGCAAGTGTTTGGTCTCCGACGATCAAGTTTCAGGACCCGGCGGACACGCGGAATCCCATCGAGCCGGATGCGAGATGCCCTTCATCGTGGAGCTCGAGGAACGGCTAACGCTGGAGCAGCTCGATCTGTTCCATGGGACACAAGGGGAATGGCAGGGTCCAGAGAGCATGAGAGACCTGTTCAATCTCTGGGCTTCGGCCAAGTGCGATCCCCTCGCTTCTTCACGGAGAGAATGTCCTGAAGAAAGCGAGGAAAGCATTTTGGCGCTTCCAACCTCATACAAGCCGACTCGTCGTCGCGCGAATTAATTGTTCAATTCTTTTTATCAATGCTATTGGCTAATGGATATTTGCTATCTGATCTATCATTGATTTGCTATCCTTCAACGGAGCGAATTCGATAAAGAACCTCGTTTTTCTGAACATCGACTTCTCTTAATTTCAAATAACTTGGTTCATTTTCAACGACGGTGAATCTGATTGGCTCTGCGATCAAAATGAAAACATAGGGATCGGAAAGCCGCTAGAAAACACAGGGCGGCACTTTCGAGATTTAGAAACGACGGAGCTTTCGCGAATACCAATACAATAGGGGATTCGGACTGACGTGGTTCTCGGTTATATAGCATATAAGTCCGGAGATCAAGACTGGCGCATACGGCCGCTCCTCTTAGGCTGACTTTTAGAAGTGTCCCATAATTGGTCCCGGAGAGTCCCATAACTGGTTCCCGGAGTGCCATAACTGGTTCCGTAGTGTCCCATAACTAGTAGTGTTCCATAATTAGGAAGACTTCCATGGAAAAATACTTAAGTGTCCCATAACTGGTACTATTCACTATGTTGAATTCGTTCGCTGAGGTTTGGCTAGAGGGCATAGGGCTCTTCCAGAGCCTTGTCGAGAGCCGTCTTCGGTGGACAGGCAACCGAATCGCAACGCGCGGCATTTTCGAGCTGAGACGACTGATCGGCATCCACCTAATGGAGCTCGATCGGGCAGGGGAAGAAATTCGCTCCTTCGATCCTTGGCGGGCTACGGAAGCGCCTCCGAGGCACCACGAGATCGCGCAACTCGACGCTGCCGCCACTTCCTCCCGAATGTCGAGCAAGAATTCGAGTCCGGTTTTAATCATTCATCAGGACCACGAGGAAAGCCACGAATGATTGGCGGATGTTTGGAAGGCTCAGAACCAACAAGGAATTCACGGTGCGAGACATCGAGCCCGATACCACAGCGATGCTGGGGAACAAGTATTGAAAAGCTTGGCTGACCTCTGGACATCGACGGGACGGGACCAATTCGGAGCACCACGTCATTCAGCATTCCCATCTCAGGTTTCTGAATGTGCGAGATCACATGTGGCGTAGGGAACTTGCCCTGAGTCTGTGGAAGAACATGGAAAAACTATGAATAATTATTCTCTGATAATCCGACACGGCCTAAGCAATCAGGCAGACCAATCACGCTGATAAATAATTTTGCTGCCGGATGAACGCTTCGGAGGATTATCGATCGCCCGATTGGAACAAAAACAGTTTCGCCGCGTTTGACGCTCGTAAGCGAATTCAGAATCCGACTCTCATCAGACGATGGTGAGTAAGGGAGGAGAAAACGCTCGAATTTCCTCCCGAGTCATGAGTTTCCCCATCAAGTCGGCGCAATCCCACCCGAGGGAACTCGCATATTCTTGATCAAAACTCCGCGGAGAGATCTTCTCCCAGGGCCGCAATTTCCAGCTGGATGATGAATTTGCGCTCCGTGGCAAACGGGGAGGGGGTCAGGCCAACAGCGCTCCCTCTCCCGTTCTGAGAAACGATTGGAGTACTACCATGTAATCAGCATATCATTCCTTGACCCCGTCCCCCCCATGAAAGCTCCGACCGGGAATCGAAAAGTCATTCTTCTTCCGAGGCTTTTCTCGATTCATTCCATTGATATTAGGTTCCCCGCACACCCCGACTCATACCAAACAGCCAGCGGGGAAGTTCTCGACGACTTAGCTCTCACGTAGGCTCTTGGAAGAAACTCCATCACTTCAAGTTTTGGAAAGGGACATTCCTCGTCTTCCTTATCATCCGTTGGGGTGATGAAACACTCCGGCGGTGAAGTAATAGACCCGACTCCACTTTCCGGAATAGGGCATCAGACGGTGACGCGATGTGAGGACGGTAAGTTCCAAGAAAATCAAAGAATCTATGAGTTCCCGGTGGTCGAGGCCCTCCCCGATCGACGGGACCCATCTGCCAAGTCATTGCCCTGAAGTTTCCTTCCTTCCATCTCTGGTGGATGCCTAGTCCACCTTCCTAATGATGCTGCGATACTCGCTCTTTTCTCCGTGGATTCAAGAAGCGGTCCCGCGGGAGCTCACAAAGATGGAGCTGCCAGGAACGATGGTTGAGACTGTATGAATATTGTTTCCCGATAAGCGGCAGCATCGACTTTCGCTCCTCCTTTCTGTGCTTGGAGATGTTTCCTGACGAAATTCGCAAGGCCTTCCAAGCTACCCTCGTGGCGAAAGCGATGCTCGGGCTCGCGTGTCACGCCACGGGCCGGATCATCGCTCCAGCCTGGCTTGGAATGATGCTAGTGTATTGGTACCTCATTCTCCCTTATGGATGACCCTTCTAGCTCTCCGGCGCTCGGAGGCGACAAGCCGGCGCAAGAGCAAAAAGCGTGTGAATTCGTCTCAGTGTCCCAAACCCTCCGCATGCATCTTGAGGTACTCAATTTTCAGACAATAGGGAAATAAATACCAACATCATTTCGGTGCCCGGACAGCGGAGAGTCGACCTCTCCAGTACAAGTTGGACTCAGAGCTTCCTCACCTCCGGCGTCCCGCTGTCCCGCGGTATGATATGGACACCCCGAGCCGAACGCGAGGTCTCTGCGACGACCTGATATTCTACCTTGCAGCGTCGTTCAAGTTTGATTCTGTCTCAAAGTCCAATTCTGAGGTCAGTTCCGGCAAGGATGAGTTGGTAGAGCTAGGATCCACTGACCATATCGACACCACGGACGACAATCTCGGGCAGGCCTACGTAGGTAGCACTGAAGCTCTACTGAACAACCGATGTATAGAACGCTGTAGCGCGGCGTAGTGATCCGAAAGGCATCACTTCCCATGAATAATGACTGTTCGAAGCCCACTCCGTGACGTCCTCAAGTGATGATTCGTACAGGCGAAGATCTTCACCGCGGATAATTCGTACGAACGAACTGGGATACCTCGATCGAGTATCAGAAAAACTCAGCATACGGCACGAATAAAAATCTTCCCGATCACAGCTAGGAGTCGAGGAGATCCTGACGGGATGGCCGAGTGCTCGCTCGCGCTTAATGCCCCGGAACGGTTCCGGGGAAAGGGGTTCGATGGTTGCTACCGACGAACATATGGGATCCGTCCACGGAAGCTAAAGCTGTACAATAATCTGGTGGGTAGCGGCTAATTGCTTTCACACCGTCCGAAGCCTTGCGAGGTTCACTGCTTATCAAAATTAAAGGGCGAGATGTTCTTTATTATCTCTGGTATGTCTTCCGATGCCTACGCACTATTAATCCCACGACTTTGACCCTGCCCCGACTAAGGAATTCTCAGAGCGTGACCGTTCACCTAACGATTCTCGAATTCGACTTCGCCGCTCCGCTGCCGAAAAATCTATTTTCACTCTTTTCCTCTTTCGTGAGTAACAGGTCAATCCAGCGTCTCTATGAACGTTTTCATTCTCTCGGCATAGCGGGGGTCGTGGGTACAGTCGCAATGTCCGGCTCCTGGAATCCACAGCGGCTCTACAGCTGTAGGACATTTACTTATCAGCTGTTTCGCATGCTCAATGTTGACGACATCGTCATTCGTGCCGTGAATGAACAAAACGGGGCAGCGGACCTAGGAAGGGATTGAGTCATGATCCCTCGTATTGCAAGAAAACAAGCTAAAGCATCTAAGCCTCGATGCTTGAAGCTAATGGGGGAAGTTATGATACTCGATCCGCCTAATAGGATCAGGGGAACTCAAAGAGAGGAGCCTCGATCTTAATTCGGTGAAGATTCAGCTTACTCCAGGTACGCGTTCTATGTTCCTCAGGCAATCCATGCCGAACGGATTCCCATCGTAAGATGGGAAGAGCATTTTCACGGCCGAAGCCAGCGCCCCTTGAAGCACCAGACCACGGACATTTTCTCTCGTGGCGAGGTGTAAGGCTGGGACAGAGCCAATACTCTCACCGAAGAGAATTATTTTTTTCGGCAAAAGCTTGAGCTCAGAGACGACGTAGGTAAAGACTGTCTCGGCGTCGGTGAGCATGTTTTCTGAGGGGAGACGATACGAAGATTAGCAATTTCTCGGGACAGAGCTCCCCTTGGACTAGAACGCGGCAAAGCGTCGGAAGCCGCGGAAATTCCTTGATGAGAGTCTCGACGTCGAACCTTCACTCGGGATCCCGACGCTTGCACCGTAACCGGAATAGTCGTAAGCGACGACGTCGCACTCGAACTCGCGGACAAACCATTCGACGAATGGGAAGCATCGACCCAAGTCGGTCGCGTTCCCATGACTGAAGAGAACCGTATATTGCGAGCTTTCGCCGGGCTCGACCGATAGTCTGATCATGGCGACTTGGCAGTTGTCTGGAATGATCGTATAGATGAGTCGGTCATACGATGCCCCATGGATGCATGCTTCGAAGCACTCGTGTCGGAGGCTCTCAATTCAACGAATCTTTTGAGGAGTCACGGAAATCTAAGTCGCGCCGATGCGGAGGGGATCGCTCCGGAATTGACCGTCGCCAATTTCGCGAATCGAGTGGACGGGCTGACGGAGCTCTCTTTGAATTGTATCACCTTTTTTCCGAACCGTGAAGACATTGGCTTCTCTTGTTCTCGAGAGGAGGCGCTCAGAGAGGAGATGATTCGATTTTACAACTTGCAAACGGCGACCATTCTTCGTCGTTTCATCGTCTTTCAGGATATAAGTCGGGGGATTCGGTGGTTGGAATGCCAACTTCCTCATTATGGCGCACCTTGAATGATCGACGCGATGATGGACATTGATACAGATTAGAGGCTCGCAACCAATTCTATGGGTAGAATTGCGATATGAGAAGACACGTCCTTTTTTGTCGGCTTTGGCCGCTTTATCGGGGTTTTCTCGGAAATGTCCGCTTTCCGGAATTTTCGAAGAAATACCACTAAATTCGATGAAAAAAATTGAATTCCTGCGCTGTTTTTTCGCCGAGGGCACCGAGGTCTCGGCTGCACAAGCGTGAGCCAGAGGCGCCGGGGGTTGGGTCGGAATCATTCTTCTCAGCAAATTGTCTCTGAACGATCGTTAGGGCATCGAAGTTCAGTCGGAGTTCAGTTGCTTATTAGGAAAATGGTTGGAGAGTCGAATCAATTCCATGGAAAAGGCAAAAAACACGGAATGGAGTGTCCGCTTGTGACGTCCGCTTTCCGTCCCGATGCCCGCGCGGACATTGTCCTTCTTCCGGGGAAGAAATGTCCTCTCATATCGCAACTCTACCTATGGGAAAAGCATCCCGAAAAGCCTCGAAGTCTCAAGACTCTTCGGAGCTGTACCTTGTGGGGGGACAGCAGAACACTGACCCGAATCGACGAAGGATCTTAAACAAATTGAAGCCTGTTCCCTCCTCGAAGAGAGGAGCTGGCGTAGACCCCGGTGAGCAGTTGTCATGACCTATCTGCAAAGATACGAGCGACATAACTCGATCGTCGTGAAAATAAACGACGGCAAAATTTTCGCCGAGACTCGCTGCGGAGGCTCTCGGCGCCCACACGGTGGCGATGGATGGCTCCTCAGGACGAGCGATATTATTCCAGGAGAGAAGGAGGAAAGCTTTACCGGACAGTCAGGAACACCTCGTTGTTGTGACATTTCGATGTGGTATCATAAATACGACGCACGATGCAGAGTTTTTGCAGTAATTCAGATCCTGGCGTGGGGAGATTCGCGGGAATCCAAGTCCCCGGAAATCCGAGGACCGCGGAGGGAGGCCTCTCTCAGTGTCTACGATGATGACCGGCGCCAATGAAACGGCCTTTGACGAATCGGGCCCCTGAAGCGGCGGGAACAAGCTCGACCGCGATAGAATCACGCCAGAACCCCTTACATTTGGCGTCTGAATAAGTACGCCGATATTCAGCCTGTCGTCCGCCGAAGCGCTCCGATCGGTTTTCGAGCAATACCCTGGACACCCTATGAATCTGCCGGATTTCTGGAAATCTTGTGTCATATGTAAGGACTCATAGTTGTTGAATGGAATGGTCCGTGCTCGTCGAAGCTTGGAGACTTCGGAGAGCGGTTATTGCGCTTCGGACCCCGGGACTCGGGAGCGAATCGAGGATCTGGTCGACAGCCGGGGGATTGACCGCATCCGGGACGGCGGGGCTTCAGAGAGGGCCAAGCAAGAGCGGCTTCATCTCTACACGAGGGCTTGAGCTCTTCATTCACTGCCTGAGGACGAGCTCCCTCATGTTCCTCGTGTATTCGAGAGGCCGGAGAAAATCTCAATCCGATCACATGAGCACTCAGATTCACCTACGCTTTTCTGGGACATATACAGCCGTAGACTGGGGCTGGACTGTATATAGCGACGTAGCACCACTCGAAACTTAAACTAAGGGGCTGTGATTAAGATTATTGTGGTCATCGAGTCAAGTGAGCTTGCCAGATAAGAGAGAAGATGCGGGATCTTCTCCATTTCTTTCTAGATCTCCTACGCGCGATGGACAATGGAAGAGACGCAGCTTGAAGCATTCCAGGCATCGGGCTCCGCTAGAGCTCTAGTGCTCGCTCAATGGGTCGGAGCCTCGCCGCTCACCTCGAGAAGCGTATCCCGACTTCCCAGTCAGCCCGCGGAAGAGCGTCCTCCAATCAGGATCAAAGGCCGAGGTTCCATGCGAGATGGCTCGGCCATCGGCGTCCTATGTATTCGAAAATCGGCAATGGAAGTATCAGCAGGTCACTGGCATGGCTCCTGAAGAGGTATGGGAGTTGTCGAATCTCGCTGCAAGCGACAGAGTGATGAATAAGAGGACAACAGCTCGATGGAATCGGTCGGGCACCCGCTTCTGTTTTATTCGAAGCAGACTCCACATTTTGTACAGGAATCGCGAAAGGCTTCTCGAACGATCCAGCCGACCTCCGGATCATGAAGAGAAATTGTGGCCGGATATTAAGATTGCTTCTCGGGCGTCGGGGTCAGGCTTCATCAAACACGGAAGAGGCTCCTGGAATATTACATTGAAGGACCCAATCAGTATACATCCCGAGAACGTTTCCCAAAAACACAGAGATGGAACCCGTCCCGGCTCCTGTGAATAGTTTCGCGCAATCGAGCCCTCGGGAATCCCGGCGCATCGAGCAGAGCGTGATCACGGCAATGTAGATGAGCATTCGCTCGGCCACATGCTGTCTCGATGAATCAGAGCTTCATGGCACTCGCGCAACTAACAGGGAACCCGCCCGACTGACTGAGAGAAATGCGTTGGGAAAAGCTCCTGGGAGCTCCGTCAGCCCCTCGGAGAAGATTCGCCCTGCAAGTCTCGAGTCGAGGACGTGATCGTGAGGCACCCCTCGGGCTAACGGGTACTCTGTGACTCCTTCTCGTAGCTAGTTTTTTTTTTTGTTTGGGAGGGGTTTGTCCCCCCGAATTTTCCCTTCCCCGCATGGCTTTTTTGTGAGCCCATCCTGCTTCATATTTCATTGGCACGGCGGAACCTCGTTAAAAGGGACTCGAAGGGACCGCCGTGAGGGTCTGTCATATGCGGAATCCGTTCGATCCGAGGATGGGTCCCAAATCGGAGTGGGAGGTGAGAGTCAACGGAAGCATCGGTGCAACTTTTCGTACGACGCGCATAAAGGCGAAAAGCCTCCCTGACAGTCCGAGGCTATCGCTCCCCGATTCCCTACTCGCGAGAATAGGTCCATCCTTTATACTCGAGTAGATTAGCATGGTTGGAGGAGAGACCGGGGCCTGGAATTCAGTCTTTCTTTGTATCCGAAAGTCCGTCATGGGGTCCGCTGTTGCCGAGCCGAACATGAGCTTGTCCGGAACCGGGCAATCGGCCCGCTGGGACCGAATCTCCGTGATGTCCGGGTTTGCCATAATGAGGTTCCACTGTTCATTCAATTGGAGGAAAGTTCAAGAGCACTTTCATGAGAATGCCCGAGACGGAAGTCGCAAGAAAGAACGAAAGTGTATCAAGATTATTTCTCGATAATAATCGGAGGCATCGAGTTACGCTTGTTCTTCTCATATCTCAGTCTCCTAGACTCCTCTTTGAGTCCTCTCCTAAGCTGTTCCAAGAATTTCGTGGAAACGATACACGAGTTTGCGATCCACGCCACGGAACAGAGCGTCGCAGGACTTTCAGCTCGGATAAAGCCCGAGCCTGGCTCACTCACCTGTCTATTCGAACGTTCCGTCAGCATTACAGGCGCGTGCGCGTTTCCCGCTTCGTTCGGCGTTGTATTTCGCCAGGAAACAATCGCACGACTGGATCTTCTTGGAGGGAGATTTGATCACCTGACCTTCAGGATCGTAGCACAAACAGAAGCTGAAAGCAATGCAGAAAATTATGACGATTCATTGAGCAGTCTGAAAATCCTATCCTTCCGATTTGTAAGGGATTTTGGGATTGCACGACTGGAGATCCCCAGATTGGAGAGGCGCGGCGGCACGGAGAACCCGCTACGCCCGACGCCGATCATTCCGCCCTCAGTCGATCCTGAATCGACGGGAGCTAATCAGATTGGTCGCTGTCGGAACGTTCGCTCGAGTAACATGCGGCGACTACGCTGCGCCGTCGGTTTCATGCCGAGGATGGGCGACCCAGTCGAATGAATTCGTTTGATTCGGAACGGTCACGAATCGTTGGCGGGAGGTTCTACGCCCTCGACATATCGTATGCCGTGGGACCCGCAGTAGAGCTATAAGTGGAGACACTGACAAGATAAAAATATGGTGAGGAAAACTGTGCGGGACGGCTCCATATTCCGAGACTTGAGGCTGGATTCCAATGGAAAGCCCTTGCCGAGTTTCTTTCAGCAGTATACTCCTGAATCTCGATCGCGAGCCCCCTTTGAAGTCGTCCAGAAGGCGCGAATCGACCCGTAGACAAAAACTCACCGGCCCTTGGTCGCCGGGGGGAAGCATTGGAGCGCTCTGTAGCTTCCATCTGGGTTGCATTCAACTACGAGACCGACGTTTTCAATGTTGGTTTGATTGGCTTTGGGGTGCTGCTGATTCCTGAGGCTGTTTTCTCTCTTCCGTTCGCACTCGCTCAAGCCGGAGACGCAGATGGCCGCAAAGCCGACGACAAGTACCTGTGCAAAAGGAATATCATACGATCAGCGGAGACACGGAGAGCGGAAAAGCAGATGGTTCCGTTCAAGTCCATAACGAATCCAACCCCCCAGCAAGGAGCGTCAATAGAGCAACTCAGGGAGGGTGTCGGGCCACCTCGCCATCGAACCAGGACGGCAGGAAGCGATCACAATATTATGATCGCATGCTGATAGCTAGTGATGCCGCAGCATCTCATACGAAAGTGATCTCGCGGGACACTGCGGGCGTCCACAAAGGCACCGAAACTGAGGGGTATGGGTTATGGAATCCCGAATGACGATTGACCGATCGGGGAATTCGAACTTCAAGGGGAGCCGAGAGTTCCGGAAAACCGTCGGCATCGCCTCGGTTAGCGCTCATTCAGGGGAGTCCCTGAGCCTCAAGGAGCTCGATGGGCTCTTCCCCGGCAGTCTTATTGTATCGAAGAACACTGCGACATAGACATCACATGTTTCTGGTGTCACTCACAAGAATTCCGAGAGTTTTCATGGCTGGTTCGGACTCGGTCTCCGGAAGATGGACTGCCAAGGAACAGAACTACTTCCAATATATAAAGCCCTTCAACCTGCCAGCGCTGGGAATATTTTTCTCTGACGCTGATCGGAAGAGGGTGACGCGCAAGACAGTCGCGCTTGGCATTTTATTTCCGAGCGACCGAGACTTATCGCGACATTGGTCGGATGACTGCATGGAGTGACATGTGAATCTGTGAATTAGAATGGATGTCGCTCCAGGACCGAGCCGGTGGGGCTTTCGTGTGTTCATCAGCGGCATCCGTGATCGATGGATCAAGCAGAGTATTATCGACGACCTGCTCTATTCGAAGCTCCGCGGAAAAGCGCCTCTGTGATCGCGGCGTTGGAGGATGGGGACTTTACCTCAGAGTCCCGCAATCCGGGGAATCAATTTTCCTTGCTGTGAGAGGGTCCATCTCCCGGCGTGTGTATCCCCCGCCGAGACTCTGAATTCCCCAGCTCCAGCAACGGATAGGGGTCCTCGCTCCCCTCTCCAAAGTTCCTACCGTCCCATCCTGTCTCGGCTAAGGGACCAGGACATATCGAACGTTTAAGAGACAAATTCTATGCGATCAATCAGTGTTTCCGCGCGGTTGGTGGGCAGTTCTGAACCATGCTGCACCCTAGCAGAAGTTGAAAAAACCCTCTCGTGGAGACCCTCGCCACATGATATCACACAGGATCATTGACGTTCAGCCAGCGAGCATCCTTCCGCGGAACGGGCTGTTTGGGGCTCGGGCTTTCTCGTCTACTTCGCATCTGTCTTCCATTATCTTCAGTTTCCTCTTAATCGTGAGTTGGAATACGCGGAAATTGAGAGAAAACAAACAGTCGCCGAGCGTCCATTAAAACGTCGCACGGTGGCTCTGAAAAGCCGCAAAGTGGTTTCGCTCTGATAATGGAAGATGGAAACTACAATGGGCACCAGAATTCTCCCGTATCCCAGACTGGAGTATCTGAAGCCTCCACTAGATTTTTGTGCACTGAGAATCATAATCTCGTCAGTGTTCCCATCCTTTGTTCCCTAGATTCCTCGGAGCGCTCGATTACCACCGCTCCCTTCTCAAGCTTTTCGCGACAGTGTGCGCCGTAAGCCATGTCGTATAGAGATGAGCAACACCGACAGAAGGAGCAGCCATCCACCACACCGACGTCAATGTTCCGGGAGAGCACGGTGGTCTGCCAGTGCTATGTCTTCTGTTAGATAGAGCAAGAATAAGTATACCGCACCGTTCCAAATGGAGCGATAACGTCGGGTGTTGGAAGATTCTGCTTTTGACCATAGCTCGGCGCATCGCTTCGCAGTTGGTCGCGGCTGTCGGTGCCTCTTGACGACTCTCTTTGCTTTCAGATCTCCGGGGAAGGAAATGAGCTCATCCTGAGATAGTTATTCTCAACTAGAGATTGATTGCCGCTATCTGATCCAGCTCATATACATGAATTCCCGGGCCCTGGTGGACCGCAGTCGATGGTTCTGGGCGATCCTGCTCCAAGTCGGGGTCTCGATCGATGTTCTGCGAACTGGTCGGGGATGAGCTCCTCAGCCGACAAGCGTCCACCATAGCGAATTTTCTGCGTCTTCCGTCGAGCCTTCGCATGATTTTCCTGATTAGGGACATTGGAATATTCGTTCGAGTCCGTTCGGCGACCGGCTTCTTCCGCCAGCAATCCGCGATCGGCCACGACAAAAGCGCGTCACAGGAACCTCTGAACTCTCCGGAACACAGAATGGAAAGGCCAGACCTCAACCTTCGTGTCGCGAAAATGGTTTCCTCCTTTGGAGTCACCTGTTTCCTCATCCCAGGGAACAGACCTCCGAGGCGAAGAAATGTAGCTGTTACCGCTAATGCCCGATAGACTAGATACTTCCCGACTTCGACAACACAAGGATCTCTTGGCGAGCAAGGGCTCTCCCGAGTTCCTTCGGTGGATGTTCCCCTCTCGAGTGTGAATCACAGCCAGGTTAAGAGGCAAGCTCCATGAAAGCTCGATGAATTTCTCCACCGGGTCTACGAACTGTTCGGAAAGGCTCTGGAGTCTCTATTGATCATTAACTCCGAGGAAAGAATTATTCTATTGCCGACTGAGACCTCTAGCTCGAGCGTCCCCCGTCCCCGGTGTCACGTCCGAGAGGCCAAATTTTAGGCAGAGAATTTTGCCAACACGTGGACGAGGGGTCACTCCGCTCATGAGCACCACTGCGTGAAAGAGCGACGTAGCTGTCCATAACAGTCATAACCACGACATTGGGTTCCATCATTCACAGATTTTCTCAAGTCCTCCTCCGGCGCCGCCCTCGTGAATACGCGCTCCCGAAATCGCTGATCCAGCAAGAGACCAGAAAAGATATGCAGGAGTCGCTCCGCAGTGCCACACGGCTATGAGAGGGTCAATTCCATTTGGGAGCGGAATGCAGTCAGTGCTCGATCTAAACACGCTGCGCACCTCAGAAGTCGCAAATTATTGCGAGTGGTGTACAAAATCGAGATATGATGTTCTCGATGGGCAAGAGGCAGGAAAATCACCCCCCTAAATGTAGGTACCGTATACTATTGCTTATATCGGGACTACTCGTCACAATTTTCCCTTCGATTCTCTGATGTGTCGAGGCCATTTTGAACACCGCCTCCGAAAGGGATATGAACACGGAGCGAGATTCCTCGCTCGAACATGTTCCCCGGTCATGCGACATGATGCCGTTAGAGTTCCGGAAGTGCACTCCATGATCTTTCTCGCGAGAGAATCACGCCTTTGGACCGGGACACCATGAATTTGTTGACGAATGCGAGTGCTTCAACGCTGTGTTTCTATAGAGGACGACAGGGAACCGGAACCGGAAATATGTTTACAAAATCGATAAAATTCACTTGTTCGAGTTCCGCTGAAGCGGGCGTCGATTGTGGACTCTTGAACTCTTGACTCGTGATCGGGGCTTCTCAGCGCAAGCCCCAAGACCTCGCCTCAATTAGGGCTTGCGGTTCCAGGAAGAGCAACGAGGAGCCGCGCCGTCAGCGAGTTCCCGAGAGGCCAAGACTCCTTTTCCGTAAGAATTCGAACCCCATTCGCGGTACAATACTTTCTCTCAGCTCGAGATTTCATTTCATCGATGCGGATTCGAATACAGTCAAGTGCCGCTAAGTTGGAGCTCCTATAAGTTGGAAAACTCCTCTAACTTATAATTTAGAGTCGCTTTTCTCATGGTTTGCTAAGTAAAAGCATAGACCCCGTGTTGACTCTCTCCTCTAACTTATAAAACCTCCTCTAACTCATAATTTGGAACGATTTCGCCGCCCTAAGTTGTAAAGCGCGGAAAAATGATCCACACAGCCAAGGTTTAACGTCCCGGGTACTGTTATTCACATTGCTTCCGAGGACGGATCCATAGAGCAAAAATGTACCCAGGAGGATCGAGGCCGAGTACCTGCGTTTCCGTAAGGAATATTTTTCCGGCAGCAGGGATCGAACCCACACCGCCTTCCGCGCGAGCGGCGTCGTTGCGGCTATGCACGTTCGCACGAGTAGCGACAAAAGCGCTAACCACTCGACCACCCGTCGGTTCAACCAACATGACTATGACGTCTCAATGCACACGTGCTTCTGTCTGATGTTCGTCGTGCGTGAGCTTCTGTCAGACTACTTTTGTGGCCAGTTTCGGTGAAGGGAGGGAGTGAGGACCATGCCCACCAACACGAACTTAAGTTTGAAAGACAAAGTGGAAGTTCTGGGAGAACTCGAAGCTAGGTAGAAGTAAGCTCGACGTAAGAAGAGATTGGAAGATCTCCCAGGCTACGCTATACAATATCAAGCGAGATGCCGAGACGATACGAGCACAAGCGGCTCTGAGACGAAGCGCGAAATGCAAGCGGTTCAGGAAGTCGAAATTCGGAGATGTCGAGTCTGCTCTCTTCAAAACCTTCAGAGAAGCTCGTGCGTCCAATCCTACCCTGCCGATTTCTTCATCATGGCTCCAGGAGAAAGCTAAGTCCCTAGCAGCAGAGCAAGGCGACTCCGATTTCAAAGCTTCGAACAAATGGTTGGAGGGTTTCAAGCAGCGTCACCGCTTATCGTCAAAGCGAACATGTGGCGAGGCAGCCAAGGTCAATCAAGAGGACGTGAACCAATGGCTGGAGAACAATGAAGGGATCCTGAACGATTACTCCTGTGAAGACATATTCAACGCGGACGAGACAGGTTTCTTCTACAAAATGATGCCGAATCGGACGGTACATTTCAAAGGAGAAGCCTGTCATGGTGGAGAACAAGCGAAAGATCGGTTCACGGTTTTGCTCTGTGCAAACTTCGCGGGCACCGAAAAATTGCTGCCCTTGGTGATTGGTCACAGTAGAAACCCCCGATGTTTTCCGAAATTGGCGAAGCGCGAAGCCTTCCATGACAGCGCGAAGCTGGGTTGCCACTATCGATCGCAGAAAAGGGCATGGATGGATACAGCGATCTTCACCGAGTGGCTCTTGAAGATTGAGGGAGATTTCAGGAAGCAGAAACGCCGAGTACTTCTGCTCCTGGACAACTTCAAAGGTCATGAGGTGGATATCGAACTCAATCACGTCAAGATTCTCTTCCTTCCTCCGAGGACCACATCGAAATCGCAGCCCATGGACCAGGGCATCATTTGTAACGTGAAACAGTTGTACAAAAAAAAGCTGGTCGAACATTACTGGGCCATGGCACAGGACGGTCAAGTGAAGGAAATAAATTTGCTCCAGGGTATCCGGTTCCTGAGAGAGTCATGGGATGATGTCAAAACTTCCACCATATTCAACTGCTTCAAGAAATGCCTCCCGAACGTTCGGAATGCCAGCGCTCAAAGTGAGAACAGCGATGACATAGACGAACCGGATCGAATGATTATCCGAGACTGTTTCCCCATTTCCATGACTTTCGGGGACTTCGTTCAGGCTGATCGGCAACTTGTGACTTCCGATGATTTCGAGCCTGAACACAATGAGGTCCTCAGCGAAACCTCGGATGAAGAACCCGGGTCCCCCTTCGAGGAGCCCAGTTGTGGTTTCGTGACCGGCCAAGAGGCTCTCCGAGCCTTGGCTACATTGGTCAACCATTGCTCTCAGAGACAAAATATTGTTCCAGGGATCAGCATGGCTCTACATCAGTATCGAGATCTTGTTATTTGTGACATTCTACAGGAAAAAAGACAGGCAGATCTTCGATATTATTTTTCGAAATCGAAGCCTTAGTTGTTTGGTTGTATTTTGAAGACGAGAATTGTATTGATGGGGACTGACTTTGTTCGGAACGGTAGATAGTAGAAACTGAGTACGGTACATAGTCAGGACTCTCCATAAGTTAAAAAACGTAAATCCGCATGGAGAAGATGGAATAAATTAAAGCAGATATCCGTTCATGATCACTATCGTCAATTTTATGCCTACATTCATGGAGGCAGATAATAATCAGCGCGCATCTGTCCGAATTAATCCGGTCTAGATTGACCCTCCCCTAACTTATAAGTTAGAGAAAATATTCAAACCCTACTCCCGAATTTTACAAGTTAGCGGCACTTGACTGTAGCTGTGAGCATGGAATGAATTTCTAGCGGAAATTCTTCTCCGCTCCCGACCCCACGAATCATTACACTACGCTAATCGGTATTTACCGAACTCTCGCTCCTTCATACAATCGATCAGTTACGTGCATACAATCAGCTGGAAAGGTTTAGCGGATATCGATACCAACGCTATATCGTGATCTGAGCGCAGAAAAAGCCTCGTTGTGAGACACGAGCAAGGACGCGAACACTTCACGGGTCACAAATTACGAAACCAAATTTTCTGAGGATTAGGATAGTGAAGCTGTTTCTTTCTGCCGCCCAGAACAAGCGATAAAAATCCCCGCCGTTTTCTAAGAGCTCAGTCTGTTCCAGAACTACGATCATCAGTTGGTCCTAGAATATCCGAACTCGACAGAAAATTCCCTCAAAAATGAACTGCCTGGGTGCCCTCCTGCTCGGAACGACAGCGATCGTCGAAGGAAACGCCGACCCAAGCTCTCCCGAGTGATCAATTTGTCTCCAAAGTTGAATTCCAGTCATCCGCTATCGCTCGGACCGAAATCAGGGTGAATCTTTGATGATCCCTGCAGACATGCTCCTTCCGCAGAAAAATCAATCCAATAGATTTTCACCGTATCGATGTATGTTAGAAATCGATGTATGTTAAAAGCACCTGACTTCAAATGTTGTTAGCCACACTGATTGAAGCCGCGGCTCCAGCCACTCGGAACCATCGCCCACGCCCTCCCCCCGATTTCCCTCTCATGATATAACCATCCCGCCCCTGGTTGAAACACGGTCGATGTTTTCCAAAGCCGAAGTTGCCACTGTTAACAGCCTCACCTTCTTTCTATTTTTCACGCACTAAGCCAATTTTTGGCTAAGCCCAGTTTTTGCGTAGTTGCGAAGTTCGCAGTTGCCCCTTGAAGTGAGAGTGACTATGATCTAGTTCGTAACGCCGAGGATACCTTCAGAGTTTTGAGACGATCTTCAGCGAAAAGTGTGAGGTGTGAGGATGGGATTTCGGACATCGCTGCGGTTATTCCTGCTCATCGCATTGTGCTGTGCTCCGGATCGGTCTGAAGCCGCGACAGCACAGAAAGATGAGAGTCAACGTAGGTCCTAATGAAAGCCGGGATGAGTGTTGGAATAAAGTCTTTTGAGATCCAGATATACAGATCCGATCGATTCGAGAGGTAGTCCCAAATCATCGACATGCTCCTCGATCTTCTGTTTCAGCTCGGAGTCCCGAAGCCGTGGAGCCGGTAGTCTTCAAGATCAAATTAGATAACGGAACGAGCGTGGAGATTATCGCAGGCCCGAAGGATTCAGAATTCGTCGAGGTAGGTCTACAGATCTCTCCCGCCGGCTCACTCTCTTGGGCCCTACGAGACTTTTCGGTCCGTTCGGCCCAGCGGTGCATGTGGAGCAATCCGCGGTGGACGTCGATCAAGCGCAATGTGGAGCTGATAAACTCAAGACAAGTCGTGAGACCCGCTCCCGTTTCTACACAATCGGCTGTCCACGCAAAATGTTTGCGGGGTGATCGTTTAGTTGACCTTCAATCGTCTTTCTGATCCGATTTTACAAAAACACCGACCTTGGGTGACCCAGAACGATATTCGTCACCCGTCTTATAATTGTTGAAATTAGAGATTCCCCAAGCTTCCGGAGACTCCAGTTGGCGATAGAAGGCATTGAAGAGCGAGTATAATCCAAGGCGGGATGCGGTCTAATCCTGAGGAGCGGTATCGATTCGGAGCAGGTTCTTGCGGGAAAATTCTCCAGAGAACTCCTCGCTCTCTAATCCGACTTTTCATTTTTTTCAAAGATTATCCTCGCTCTAGGCATTTGCTCAGACTGAAGGCTCATATCCTTCTTCGTCGGTGAAATTCTTCTTTTTCGCAATCCATTTCGGAGAACTATTCGCTGATTCTGAACGTTTCGCGCCCGAGCCTCTGGAATGGACAGCGTCGGATAAAAGTTGGTCTTTTCTCATAAAATTAGTCGAGAGTCCCGGCTCTGATTTCATCAGAATGCCTTCCGTTCTGATGTCTTTCCCGAATAGTCAGCTCGACAAAGCCACGACGTCGACAATATCCGTTTGGGCGTTACCTGTTTCAAAATCTGGGAGCTTTTTTCATCGTAGGGGCTAATTCGATTTGCCTCTGCGAGCCGCGGGTGCGTGATCTTGAAAGAAGAGCGTTCCAAGCATGGAACGCTTACCAAATGTTGGAGCAAAACATTGCGCTTGAAGAAAACGGTAAGAATTTCTATCGCAAAAATCTAATGCTTGCCTTCGATCCCTCGACAGTGTCTCGCCGATCTCACCGAAGATGCGAAGGTTAGTGATGCTTCAGTTCATCAGGGTCCCCACTCGGATTTCAATCGGATATTTCCAAAGCTTAGGCATCAGTTGGCGGCTCGAAATCGCGAGGCATTTACTAGCTTTTTTAATTTGAATTTCAGAGCAACATCGTTCGCGCCAAGGACCTAAATTCGGTATGAAAAGTGCAATATTCTTCTCGTCGATGCAGCTGTGCCCGAGGGCCTTATCTTCCCCCTCATGGAGCCTTGTGGAAAGCCTCATCAAACGCCCATGGATACGGAGGGGGATTGGTCGGAGAAACGGATCTCATTAGAAAGTTTGTTCGTTGCGAGTTACCCCGTTTGGGACGCGAAGATTTGCTAATAATGCTCGATTCCTGCCTCTCTTGACACAGTGCGCGAAGGATGCATTGAAAACATTCCAAAAGCAAGTGAAGCGACATCTCCGAATACATTCCCTCGCCGAACTCCCATACGTGGCCGGCAACTTATCTCGCGTGGAGCACATGAGCACCCGGATCGTGAAGCACATCGATAATGTACAGAAACAGATGAAGCGGATGCGAATGGAGCAAGTCGAAGGCACTCTTTTCCAGCAGACGCTGAACAATGCCCAAGACGCTTTTAGGTTAGTGGAACTATTCGTTTCCTGAGGAGGTGCTCCGAATCGTTTCAACTCGCATAAATCAATGGGGGAGCCGCTCATGAACGTCGGAGTTTCTGTAGGGGCGTCGGCGAGATGGCTAGTCTTCGAAGTGCAAACCTCGTGAGCAACATTCAGCATTTCGTCAAAGACTTCAACCGCTCGATGACGAACTTCGAAGAGCTGGTCGAAGCGAAAGACGGCGATAAATCGAATTTGCCCGACATGGAAGTGATTACTCGCCGCTTACAAAAAGATATCCACACGTTGCATAATCTGACGGACGCCTTGCCGACGCTGCAAGACAGCAGAAGGCTGACCGATCAGACCGTTGCCAACTTCACCATCATGATGAGGAACCTGACCATCGGCCTGCCTGAAGTGGTTCGTACCTATCGGGAAATCCTTTTTGTATCGTTTCGCTGATCAAGTCGTCACTGTTCGACTTGAAGCTTCCGTGTGAAATAGTCATTTTGAAGATACATTGCTCACAGGGGCTCTGATTTTCGATTCTACGCAGGTTCGACGAATGGGTCCCTTGCGGGATCGACGAGGAGCGACTCAAATCAGAGATTTCATGACGGTCGTCAATGAAAACATGAGGAATGTGTCTCAAAGTATCGGCCAACAGCCACAGCAGCGCAACGGACGGAGCGACATGTTCACTGCCTTCGATGGGTAAAGTTGTTCCTCCCATGTCTTGTCAGCGGCAGTCTTCCTCCGTGTCGCCTGGGAAGATCACTAGAAACTCGTCGGCCTAGTATGAGAAATCGTTGTCCGGGCTACGGAACTTCTCGTGTCGAGTTTGCCCGTCGCATCTGTTCTTTTATGGAAATGGCTCGAAGCCGTGCCAGCCAGCATTAATCGGGCATGATGTGTGATTTCAGATTCCAGTCGGCCATGGGTCACATGGGAGCCGCTTTCCACGACCTTCTCCGGGGGACTCTAGCCATCATGAACCCGGCAGCGTGGCAACCTCTAGCGCCGATCCTACCCCTAGCGCCCAGACCTCTCCTGGAACGCCCTCCTCTGAATCCTCGGCCTTTCCTCGGGAGTCCTCTCATCGACCGGAGAGCCTCTCAAGATGGTCGACCCTTGCAACTTCTGCGCCCGCTCCGGCCGCCTGTCGGTCTTCTGGCTCTGCAGCGCGTGATGGAGTTGGGAATGAATAGAAGACAGCAGATTTTTGACAGATATGCGACGTTGCCGCTGAACCCTCGATCGATAGATCCTTCCGACTCAAGAGAAACAAAACCGAAAAGAAGAGAAAAGAAAGAATCGTAAATACACATGGCTGAAGGTTTTCTGCTTCTGGGGCGGATGAGGAAGTCCCTGGATAGAATGAATAAATCCATACTGTTCTCTGGGGCGACTCGTTATGTACCTTGAGGCCTGAAAAGGTGATTGAACCATACTAAGTCATAGCTCAAAAACATTTTCCTCCGTTCGTAATGTCCAGACAGCTACTAGGTATGTTTCCCTTCTTCTCCTCAGCTTGGTTTATTGTCGGCTCATAAGACTTTCTACGAGAATCTGCCCAGATTGGCGGAGCTTGACTGTCAGGGATGTTTTTATTCGATTTAAGGTGAATTTCTAGATGCACAATTTTTCTTTAGTTACAAACAGTCACCCGGGTGGAATAAATAGTTCATCGATTGTTGCGTTCCAGGAGAATCTTCTTGCTTTCGGGGCGACCGTGCGACTCGATCGGCCTTGATTCGAAAGGCAGGAAATGCGATCACTTCCTTCGGATCGCGGTAAAACCTCAAATATTTCTGGAGGGCTCGCGGCGGATCAACGCAGCGGCTCTCTCCTTAATGAGAGTGACTAGAATTTCTCAGAGGCGTCGCGACCCGAGGCCGCTCACCTAGATCGATCGGTCTGGCTAGATGAGGACATCAGCACCAGTTAGGATCGGTAAAAACTTGATCTGTCATGTAAACTGATGCAGAAAAACACTCTAAAATTATGGCAATATCCCTCGGAATCAAGATCGGGATCGCTCTCAAACGAACATCCTTCCATTCTTCTGGTGATACTTATATACAAAGCAGGTTCTCTAAATGCATGAATTTCACATCTTCTGTTCCGCAGTGTCTCTCGGCTCCTCGGGCTCTCTTTCGGTGAAGGCTTTTTTCCTGCACGAGAACAATAAATAATATTCATTGACGGGGGAGGATGATCAACGTAATTTTACGAAACCAGCTTAATTTGAAATGGGAATAAGGAGATCATCCGATCAGGGAGGGCTGAACTCACTCTTCTCCAACTTCTCTCGTTATGTACTCGTCGTACTCTTTCTCCCTACGCGGTTTGCAGCACAAAAAGCAGCAAAAGATCAGAAGACCGATTGGGAGAAGGATCCCCAGGGTGATACCGATCATCGCGAGCACATGATCTCGACTGCCTGAAAAGTCGAACAAATGGAGCGATCATTTATCCGAATCGGCGGACTGTGGGTCAGGACCCTTGAATATGGAACGTTGAGCTTCGATAATCTGAGGATTCGGAATTTTATCATTTTTCCTCGCATGAGAGCTTCGTGCATTTTCGCGGATCATCGGGGCTCAGCATCGGCATAACTCACTTTTACAAACTGGCGGTTCGCCCCAAGACCATAAACCGGTCTCTTTGCACTGACGGGTTTCGTGCCCGTAAAGACGGTATCCGGGCGCGCAGGTGAAACGAACGATTTTTCCGACGAAATTTCGGATCTCAGACTTGAGGCCGTACGCAGGCTTGTCGAGCGCTTGGCATCGGATGATCTGCTTCCGGACCTCGTAAGCAGTCATTTGAACCGACGCCTCGACTGCTTTCGTCGTTGCCGCGAAAGGTCTACTGCCAGTCACAACGTAATCGTAGCGGCAAGCTCTCGATGTCGCACACGTCTGGAATTATCAAGTGAATGTCAAGATGAGAGGGTAAAACTGTGCATGTGAATTGATCGCATTTTGATTCTTGAGAAATAATCTTGGGGACCCATCGGAGTCGAATTCCTGTACGACTCGGGTTGGGGTGTTCGAGTTCCATCGGTCGTCGGATATCTCACCTCGGATAGGTCTCGATTCCTGAACGTTGCATTCCAGGGCGCTTCTATCTCTCTTCCCGGCGGGTTGTATGATTTGAATTGCGGATCGTCGTAATGGCCGAAATTATAGCCGAACAGCATATGATTGAATAAGGAGGCTGACTCGTTAAGCCGATCTGCGAAGGTTATATGTTCAAGAAATCTCTCCATTCGCGTGAATTAATGCCGAAGCTCCAGCTCACCCTGGACGAAAACTTCCGTGTAAGCCTCCGTGGAGTGCCTCACTTACGTTTTTCGCCGAACTCTTGGACCTGCCTGATGTCCGTCGTGAGAAAACCTCCGCCGGTTCCTCTCTGATCGCCGGATACATCATTATCTGCCAGGTAGTCCCAACTACCCAGCAGTCCGGTTGTTATGTTCTAGAGGAAATTCACAAAAACCGTGGATGAAATAGAGCGTGTGAAGTTTCAATCATACACCAGCCATCTCCTCCTGTGGACTCATGATGACCTCCTGAAGATACAGCGCCTGTACTTACGACAAATTCTATTGGTAAGAAGACGTTCAGAACCAATTGCTCGTGTTGGACGCTAACTTCGACGCCGGCTCCGGAGTCGAACATGGCGACAATTTTCGACATGTTGTAGTAACCGGTCGGCTGATAGATCGACACTCCTGGAAAAAGGAGCCTATCGTGGAGACAACGTCGAAGGAAGAACGAACCGGAAAACAAATTATGAAAGTTCACTTCCCCTCTCACGGAGAGTTCTGACTTCCGACCTTTGAAATTCAATGTCTTCATCTTTTCGTCCCAGAAGTAGATGTATTCGTTGTCGACAATGAGGTAGAGTTGGTAGAAACGACGAGCTGCTAGTGGTCTCAGGTGGAGCTCAACGGTTGAAGAAACGTTGTCACGGACTGCGACACCGGACAGATAGGTGCCCTGCACCAACAAATCGGTGGGCTGCTCTCTTCGCCGGCTCTCGAATCGTCCTTGCACGTTGATTTTAGCTTTTTCGTTGTCGGCTCTCACGAGAGAGAATTCTCCGTGACCTCCGAAAGTGTAGTTCATTCCGTCAAAGGTCAAGAAGTGAGGGTCCCCATAGACTGCGGCGAAGCCCGGCGGCTGATACGCGGAACAGTCCTGTGACGTTCGGAACCATTTGTACTTCTGACACGAGGCGGAGTCGTCTTTTCCCTGTTGCCACTGACAGCAGGTGAAGAATGGCATCATGTCGGCTGACCATGTCGCCAGCGAGGCAACTTTCGAGCGTTGATTGTAGGGCAACACACCTAGAGCAGAATTAAATGCGATCATCGATTCGCTGGGCTGCTCTAACGAGCTCATCGATGCTCAGTCGGTCGAACCTATCTGAGGATTGCTCACCATAGCTGAAGAATCGATGGGGTTTCCCACCGTACATCGTGTCGGCGGTGAGGATCAGCTCCCCGTCCATGTCGTAGCAGCAGGTCTGACCGGAGCCTCCGACACTCGGTCGACCGGATTTAACGCAGTGCAGCGCTCGCTTATAGAACGGATCACAGTTTCGTGTGTAGACCGAACACTGCGTGTCCGGGGCGTACCTTCCGCGGTCGAATTCCGATTGCCGCATCGTGCAGGGGCATCTCCAAAGAGATATGGCGAATTTGTCGGCTTCACGTTCTTGTTGGAACCAATCGTGACAGAATTGGTCTTTCCACCACGTCCCGAAATGATATTCCCACTGAGGCCAGAAGTACCACGCGAGTGGCATCGGATGCGACCACACCACCCTATGAGAAGAAAATGTTTGATACCGGGAAACGCTGGAGGACGATGGGGAATTTTCATAACTCTAGGTGGGGAACGGTGAGCGTCCGGGTACTCACGGTGATCTTTCTTCCTGGTCGTTAGAATCTCTCGTGGGCGTGGTGAAGTTCACGCTGATGAAACCAAATTGTAGACCGAGCAGGTCTTGGTTGTTGTTGTTTGCGTACTCCTGCAGCGGTAGCGCATAGGTGAGCTGATTCAAAGCCGCTCGACCTAGCTCGGTGATGTAGGTCAAAGACGGATACTCTTGGTTGTCCTGGAAGCCCCACAGGTGGACTGATATCGATCTTGTGTCGTTGACGTTCCAGGTCAATTTCTCCCTTGTCCACTGAATGACAAAATCTGTCGGCTTTTCTTCCTTGTCCGCGCTATTTAGGACGATCACGTCCACGTGCGACAGCTCTGGCGGCTCTGGAAGACCGGGAAATTCTATGACATCTAGAAAAACTCAAAAGATGAAGCTCCATCTTCGAATGCGCGTGGCCGACCTGCCTGGTCGTATCCACAGATTGTCTCAGTCGTTCGGTACTCACGTATGTAGAAACGTCCGTAGAAAAGCGCGTCGCCGTTGTTGATAGTGACCGTCAGATCGACGTAGCCGTGGAAGAAAACTGGTGGCATATAGCACGACACATGATTCCGGTCCCGGTAGATGGCGGAAAAACGTCCTCCGCTCATATCTTGGAATTGACATTCAATTTTCGCGTTCTCTGGGAAACACGGCCCAGTCACGTTGATCATCGTTCCCCCAAGCATGTTGGCGAATTTGGGAAAGAACGACAGACGCGGTCGCTGTTTGATCAATTGCGGATCCAGGGCTGGAATCAGAGAGTACAGTGAGTTTCTAGGGAGAGACAGAAATCTAATTCTGATTCACGACGCTAAGAAGCTTGAATCAGGTTTTCCGACGCTGGCGTTCAATATCATGTGGCGCAGATGCGCCGATCATCGGCTAAGAGGCTTTACCCCAATCAATGCAGGTTCCTGTGTAGATTTCCTCGTCTATTTGGAAAATATATCGGCCTTTCATCTTCTCGTCCCCGCCCTCCGTCAGCTGAGAAACTCGAGGTTGTTGGGAGTACGGGAAGAATTCGTAGGCTCGAGTGGTGTTTCCAGCATTGAAGCCGATGAATGGATTCAGACCGTTCTTTCCCTCTTTCTGTTGAGGAACAGGGCTTTTAGTCCAAGCGAATTTCTCGCCTCGAGAAACCGACGATTGTTCTCGACTATTTTTTCCTCTTTCTTCCTCCATCGATCGAGACCCGATGGAAGTCGTCAGGCCGAAATCATCTGGGTATCCGCGCTTAGGTATTATGATTAGCCCACAGTGGATAGTCTAACCGATACTCGCCCTGTCCTCGGATGAGATCCATTCGATTTGATCGTAGTTGAACATCGCGTAGGTTCTGGTTTCATCGGAAGCCAGAACGACCTGATACGTGTTCGTCTTCTGGGTGTGAGCGAATCGCTCCATTTGGGGCACCTAGAGGGACGGATTTGGAAATCTGTCAACAAGCGGAGAGAACGAAACCCAAGTAGAATTTCTCGGTGTGAACTGAACATCCAGTATGCCTTATGAGAACCCACAGTCATGTTCCTCCATGTGATTATGAGCGCGAACTTCGGTTTGAAGCCCTGAGATCCGATCATGCCACCATTGAAGTCGTCGTGAACTCTCTTCTGTATCCAGCATTCGAATCTGTCCGAAGGCGTCCGCTGGCAGTTTTTCAGCTCGCTGAACCACAGAAAATACGGGGAGAATTATTATTAGGCACTCTCAATTCGCGGGTATCATCGAACGCAGATATGTTTCTTCACATATGAAAGTAGTTGACTTCAATGAATATAATAAGACTCAGAATCGACATCTTGGATTATCCATTGGACATCCCGAATTAGGTGAGCATGTATATAAGTGTTATCATCATTCGTCATCTCTACAGGAATCCTACAAGCTCTTCTGAATTTTCAAAGTTTCGGAAGTACGAGTTCGTTCACGGGCGTCTTGACTTGACTTGAGACATCCGATCGCAGAAATCAGATATGAGTTTTCGCTCATTCTCATTGAACTTGGTCGCTGAGCTGCACCAAAAAACTTACTTTCTCTCCCTGACCATGACGAGACGGGTGTAGACTCCTGACTCCGGAGTTCCCCCCAGGAGAGTCTGGTAAGTCAGCCATGGTGCGATGACGGCTGGGTCTTTCTCGTACACTGTGTCCGCCGGTTTTAGGGGAAATTCGATGGGAAGCCGGTACTCCCTCGGGCCGCCACCGAAGTGCACGTAACCGTGCATGTGGATTTTTATGTACGTATACGAGAAGCCGAAGAAAGGCAGACGTATCCCCAAAGCCAATTCGTGTTCAACTTTCGAAGCGTCGAAGGGTGCCCGGTCTCGGTCGTCGTAGGGGTACATCAGGCTTCTCAAGAACGTTTGATAATCGCTCGGAACCTGTCGGAAATCCGGGGAAGGATTTTTTAAAGGAGCCATTCCGCGACATTCCGCGAGAATCTCATTCCGTCGACGAAGGGATATAATGCCCCTCCTGCGGTACAACTGGTATATTCGGGCACGATTCTCACTTGTGGAAAGTAGAGCTCCTGGGGCCCTCGATAGCTATTCTGTCCATTGTTGTATTGATTGAATTGGGCATTTTGTGACTCGACCAGACAGACGCAGGAGAGACTGAGTACAATGGCGAGTCCTAGTCGTAGGGACTGCGACGGTCCCATCGTGCCTGCAAAACGAATTCGAAGATTCGGCTAAGTTATACGGAGCCCAGAATTCTCGATCCGCTGGGATCGCGGAGATAGTACTGATGATGTTAGGGTAAGAAGAGAGTTCGAATTTCGGGCGAAGAAGAATGCGGGCTCGCGTTCCCAACTTCAGAGCTCTCGCGGTACCTGGGTCCCTGCTACGGGAAGCGCACCTGAGCTTTTGGGCACAGACCAGCCTTTTCATTCAGGTTCGAATCACAGCGTTCAGGATAGCACGTTCTTAGGATCGGGATGATTACTCAGAACAACGATCAAAGTCAATGGGTCCCGCCGCCCCTGGCTTCGGGAGAAGGATTCTACCAATCGATAACTACAGTCGCTTTGTGATCCAAATGATTCCGATCATGAGTTTATTTACAAGATGAAGCTTAATACAATGTGATCGAGCATGGGTGCGGCATTCTCTAATTCATGACTTTCCGATCTTGGTGCGCTGAAGATGATGCACGGTCCTGGTTCCCCGAAATATATGGGCGGTGATCGAATGATCGGGAAGTCGGTGAAATAAATTATCACTGATATTACGTCTTTATCGTTCATCCAGACACCGGTGAGCATTTCCGATGGAGAGGGTCTACTTCCGATTCTCGTTGTGCCGTTGTCGCTTCGATCAGAGCACTTTTTTGTGTTCGAATCGTTGACGAATGCTCTCTGGTAGAAGCTCGAACGTTCGGTGAGCTGTTGCCCCGTCGAGAGACCTTCCTGTTTGACCGAAGATCATCTTGAAACCCATGTCCGTGAAGTAGTTGACAAGCACACGAGTCATCTTTATGAAGATCACGTCCCATTCCGCCTGTTCGAACATGCGCATGAAGCCGCCGAAATACACGCGTGAATCCTGCCGACCCTGTGCAGCTGATCTCGGCGCTTGTTTTCCATGCTCTGCACTCCGAAGCGGAGAGTCTTGCCGTGCTAGGGGGGCGTGGGATGAGTGGTGGTTCAGGGGAACGATGTTTTGTACACTTCGCCTAACCCGTTCCGGTCTGGAATGCGTTACGGGCGATCCGTGAACGAATTCCAGCAGAAGCACAAGTACCACGAAGCCAGAGCACACACACCTCATCGCGCTGTTCCGTCAGCTGACGATCTGACGTCGAAATTTCAAACCGCATCGGTTTATGATCAGGGATCCGACGCTGGGAGAGGTCCGGGTGCCTCATCAGACGCATGGCTATCGTTCCCTTCGTCCAGCCGACGCATATGATCCGCGCGAACCTCTCCGGATTCTCTCGGAAGGTTTTCAAGCGACGAACATACCATATGATATCCGCCGTCTCGTGGTCTCTCCGAGAGAGCGCTGTGTCTTTTCATCGCCAGATGGAGAGCCAAGACAAAAACCTCTTCTACAGGAGAATGATCTTCGTTCTTCTTGAAAATCGAGCGGAACGGGAACTTGTCCCGATTAGTGGTCCGCCACGTGATTCTGGGGTTGCACTCTTTCTACGCTACGTGCGCGATCAACCGTCGCCTATCCGAATCAAAAGCTTCGGAATTCCCGTCCGAAACCAACAGAGTGATCGCAGCGGATTAGACGTCTCGAGACAAAAGGTCACACTGCGAAAAGCGCGTAAGGCTTGACGATGCTCAAGAAATTTCTGAAGTGGGCCTCATTGATGTAACCTGGGTCTGCTGTCCGTTTGTTTCTCTTGTGTCACTAGGTCAAATGTTTCGACGAAAGACAAGCTGAAGAAGAGCAGCAAAAAGCGAAACCTAGAGAGGTAGCGCCCTGCCGTAGCCATTAAGCCGGCGATGTAATTTCCGATACTCCAGGTAATTAATCGACTGTATCCACTTCAAGCGAGATACCATCAGTGAAGGGACCGCTTTCGGGAGCAGACTCGAGACGGATCATCAGTTCACGTCGTCACCACGGATACAGGATTTTCGATAAATGCAAAGTACACGCATCCCTTATCCGATAGATTTGTTGAATGAGAAGTCTCAATTTGAAGATATCGAGAAACTAAAGGGTCGGAGGCAAGAAGTCGCGCACAAATGCCGGTCTGGAATCAGTCAGACAGATACCGGAATCTGAACGAAATGACCTCAATTTACACCGGACGTCACTGCGCTGGCAAGGTGGATCAGACGAGACGAGCGAGAATTCGCAGAAATCTACATAAGAAAATATGTTGAATTCATTGAACTGTTGGCCCCCGCTTCTAGCGGAGGAATCTAGTTCAAATAATGGATTTGTGAATCTCTGCTTCGGAGGGGCCACTCCCAACGGCTGGATCGTTCTGCAAACATACTAATACATATATCCTCCTCCTTTCCTCCGTGCGAGAGCTATAATTGACAGCGAGGAGCGTGTCCCATTCCGTGGAATAAACTACCGAATAGTCTGTGTTTGCGCCTCCGCCGGCCGACGGCTCCGGGCAGGGAGGCCGCATTGTTTATGACCACAAATGACTAAGATCGTCCTAGTAGAGCTGGACTGAAATTCCTACCGGCTCCGTATAGAGCTGGAAAACGTAGACGTTCACTCGACTGGTTCGATTCCTCGCCAGTCGTTTGCTTGCCGATCGGCGACGGCGTACCTGACTTTCTTCCGGATATCTACCGCGTCCTCTATCCGCTCGGCGGGCTGGCCCGACTTGCGCTGAGAGTGAGCTGCTCGTTTTTCTCTCGAAGAGATCCTATCCAGGTATCCAATTGCCCATCCCAGACTCGTTTCGTAATCTAAGCTATTCCATGAAACGCCTCTTGGCGCCGAGTCAAGCAAGAGTTGCTACGGAAAGACGCTTTCTGGACGCCCACAGTCCGAGTCTGCTTCAATTTATCCCTTGCTCACGGTCACGTAATGGTATTTCGAATTTTTTGAGGCCCCTCCTACGGAAATAATCGCAAAGATCGGGGGTTGAAACTCCGAAAATCTCGAGCAATAATGTGTCAGGTGGATCCGATGGTGAATCGGTCAAGCTTCCATTGGCGAAACCACCAACGGGCGCGCACCACGAGAATGTGCACCCCTTGGGCAATGAATCCTTCCGCCACCATACCCCGTGATCACGGATCACGTATACTAATTCCGACGGTATCTTGTAGTTCTGTCAACGATTGATGGGATGATTTCCTTTTCGCTCGGCGCAACTCTCATGCAGTATCAGCAGGCTCCTCCTAATTCAAGATCGCTCTGCTGAAAATCGATTTGAAGCGCTTCCTCGGAGAAAAAAAGTGTCAAGCATGAGCTTCCATCGGATTCTCGCAATTAACGCTATTCCCAGCTTGATTGAGACGCGACTGAAGTAATGGGGTCTGACCACAGATAAAGACTCGTGTGGTGCCCAAATCTGCGCGCAACAACGACAGCTGATCTTCGTGAACGATGAACGGTGAACGGATCACCGAAGGGGAAGCATCCCCAAAGGATATTAATCAATGGGATTCCTATGATGGGTCGTTCCGCATCCTGAGGAATTCATCACGGTCATCCGCGGAGCGAGATGAAGAATAGAATACGAGTCACTCACTTGAGCGGGACGCTGAGGTCCACGGTGGACGGCCCGCAGGTGTTGAAGGGTCTATGGAATGAGTCAACGATCCTCAAGGCTCCTGCCTCCGTACCACACCGAACACTGGTTCTCGACTCTCCTGAGCGCGGCTCTCGTCTGTAGAAGAACTCCGACCTGCACCTGCTGCCCCTGCGCACCTAGAGGTCTTCGGCGGGTCGCAGGAAATTTCGGCACTCGGGCTTTTGTGCGGCACAGGAAAACGTATTGGTCGAGTCAATGAAGACAATGAACCACGCCCTTCCACGCCAGAGTGGGACTTAGGAGTGGGTAGAGAACTAGGCGAGGGCAGTTTGCTAGTCACTTGACTCACCAGCTGCCGACCTGCATGAGTCTCCTGGACTATAATCCTTCTTTCTTGGAACAACGTCATTTACTGAGTGGATGAGCGAGCGTCTCAAGAAGTACCAACGTCGGGTGTGTCATAGCGGCCTCGTATAGCTTTCTGAGGTAACACTCGATATCCATGAAAGTCGAGACGAGGTACAACGTCTTTGCGCCGTCAATCGTCAGCATGTCCCGCCAAAGACGTGGCTCCCGTTCCCGAAACATTTCCCGACCTCTTATTCCCCACAGTGCTGAGAACGGGGACGCCCCCGGGGATGAGATCTTCTAGGTATTCCGGAATCGATGGACGTTCCGGAGGACTCCCGCCCGAAATCCTTCAGAAAACGGCCCCGTATCGGCAGAGGCCTGACGTGATCTCGTGTATCGAACACCGAAGTACAATCTCGACGTCTTCTCGGTGATGGATGGTATCCACCCAGAAAGCCGCGCGTAAGCTCTGAAGCGTGCAGAAATGAGAGATGTTCATCTGAGATTCTCTTTGACTCACCTGCTTACTCGGCTCGTCCGCTCACCGCCTGCCCAGCTAGTTCGCCGCGTTCACAGCGGATAGCCTAGAACGCTGATACGGCAGAACAATGACGAGGTCGAAGTCCATCTTGCGTCTACGACTTTACAGCATCGTCAAATACAAGACGCTCGCTCGCTCGCTCACTCGGTCGTCCATCCATCCGCCCGCTCGTTCGTCACTCTGTCTCTTTCGCAGGTTCCATCGTCGAATCGAATTTGCGTCTACGGATCCCATTTCCGTGGGGGAACCTCGGTCCTCGAAATCCGTAGAATCGCTCCGTGGAGCAGTCGACGGATTTCTCTGGCAACCAGTGATGGGAGTCGAAAATGGCGGATGATGACCTCATCTACGACGGTCTCCGAAATTGTCTTCGAAGGTTTGGAGAATCATTTTTTGAGCGATTTGGGGAAGGCGCAGCGGCGGCCGGCGCTTCACGCACACACTGAGACCGCTCTCGTTTCCCGCAAACAAAGTCCGATATCGGATGAGATGATTCTTGTGGAGTCCATAATCTTTCGATAGGCTCATTGTGTCCTGCCAAAGTTGGTCAACGGCATAGCGCAGTCTCTAAGTCCTTCTTGACAATAGGCCCAATCGAGTTCAATGTCAACATTCCGTCACCAAATGGAGGCGTTACCCGGCAATTCCCGAGGAAAGCCAGCGGGCGGTCCGGAGTAGCTATTCGTGATCTCAGTCAGTCGTATCCTATGACCGCTGCCGCTCGACCTCTTGATTTCCGCGCCGTCGTACACCCGACACTGGAATACTATTTGTCGTCCATTCTGTCGAAGACCTGCACAGAGCGGACCCACCGAGCGAGAGCATGCCTCAATCGTCCGCGAAAACATTCGCCGTGAATTGAGACAGTCAGTCGTAAAGATCCTAAGACACGTACGTCATAAAAGCTTTCGATTAGTTTCGGAGATAGACGATACTTGAGCCATTGTTGTTATTGTGATGCAACTTTCGGTTTCACGACACCACGCCCCGCATCGAGTCGACAGCCTCCGACGCTCTCACGATTGATAAGGGGCCAAGTCCAGATGTGGACGCCATCCGAGTTATGGAGAAGCGCCCTAGAGACTCACCTTGAAAAATGGCTGCCCTCAATGCCTTCACTCCCGTCGTCCTTTGCTCAACCTGGGTTCTAGCTAAATCATGTATCATATCTTCGATCTAGTTTTATCGGTTCGCTCGATGGGTCGTGGCGATGATGAGCTTTTATCACCTTATCGCGAATCCCAGATGATGAGGACGCTCCGCCACTATGGGTTCGTCGATATTCGAACACGGGGAATCAAACTTCTCAAGGGACACAGTGTCCTCTGACGCCTGAACCTCGGAGTGAAGACTGGAACTTCATGATTCATGGTTCGATTGATCTATATGTTCCTGCGATTCTATATCACAAGACCATATGCCTTTCATCTCAGGGGCGATATCTAAGCAGATCGGTCGGGTCTCCTTCTCCCTTCGCTCTAGTAGTTCCTTGGTATTTCGCAGCACTCCACGGTCCAGGAGCTCCTGGAATCCCAATTTCTCACGGAGTTCTTCTTCATTGAAGTGATGTGGGGTTCTAATCGCACGTGCTGGATAGTTTCCCCCTCCATCCCGCCCAAACAGCAGTATGGGTGGATGTTTTGGAACTTACTGCGGTAGTCTCGACTCGGCAGCATCCCTGCTCTCGCTGGTGCGAGTAGGGTACTACCTCTTCTATTGTTATACGTGCCGACCGCGGTCAGTCCTCGTCTCTCTTTTTTCATCTATCTGAAGGCTTGGTTTCCGGGACATCCCTTCTCTCCATACCTTGTACTGCGTTTTCCGGAGTTTTAGTTTCACTTCCTGGTGAAATTTACTTAGACACCAGGAAGTTTTGACTGCCTCAGTGTACTTGTCGCTTCCTCACCTTCTTCCGAGATGAGGGGTTCTCCATCCTTCCTGCCCTGGAAACGAATCAATCATCTCCATGGACAAGTCGGTCGTATCCAGTTGCACTGGGTGCAATCCAAGTCTCCGATGCGAACACTACTGTGCCCGGGATCGGTTAGGGTTAGAGCAATCGTAAATAATGGAAACCTCTGTCGGAGATTATCAGACTCGGGCCGAACATGCTCCTAGCGGCCAATTATATGCTAATCGACGCCTATGTGCATTGGATACATGGTGTGCATCTCAGGCCATGCTCCTCCGCCGCATTTTTCAACATTGACTGATTAGGGATTATAAAGAAAAAATATCCTAAAGCTCAGCCGATACATCTGAGATAGGAAAATTGTACTCACGGATTCAATTTTGCCTGGGACTGAACGATATCGCTGATATCACTCCCAAAGAAGATCTCGATTTTATTCAGTGTCTCTCCAGCCGCTTCTTCACTTGAGCTTCGTGAATTCTTCCACTCAAGGGGATATTGAATTGGCAGACTTCTGCACCCATGGCGGGGGATGAAGGTCTCGTGGAGCTACTAATTGTTCTGGAATTCGCGAAACCGTGGCTCTCGCCTAAATGCTATTGATGCTGCAAATGGGTCAGCAACCTTTGTCATCACGACAGACCGGAAGCCCAATTTCATCTCGAGACTGAGCTCGGTTCCACAATTAGGCCACTTATCTGTGCCTCTCAAATATCCTCTGTTCTGCTTACGATTCTGTGTTTCACTTCTTCGTTCGATCGCAGTTCTATCTTGATAGGGAAAAGGAATCATTGAAAGAAGAATGAGCCGGATAAAAGGAGCCCCGAATCTTAAACGTGGGACTATCTATCAGAACAGAATTAAATTCGGAGTCTCGCTGGGTCTTGGCGAAAGGAGAGGGAGGACGAGAGTCGATGAGGGAGGGGAAGTCCGGGATCCTTCCTCGGAAATGCATAGTATTAATTCTTGACCTCACAGTCCATTGACATGAGTCATCCTGGCTCGCGGCCAAGATAAGCATATCGGGTTCCGGCGTCCCCCTGAGAGGCTCTAGCCCAATCTTCTTCTGGGGAGGGACATCCGATCCAGAGTAGCTATGGAACTTCCTCCCCATAGCAATGGAAAAGCATCAGTACCGGAATGGTTCCGGGTGATCGAGGTTCAAGGGCTTCACATTTGATGGGTCGAATCGGGAAAGCTCGATTCGATATTCGCCTGATAGAGGAATTGCGCAGAACTCCTGTCGGGAGAAGTGCTCTCGCCTATTGCGGGCCAAGAGTGACAGACGCGAGGCTTGCGAAATCTCAAGATCACTCTTTTTTTATTTGTATATATATGTATATATATATAAGGACTACGGGTATATATTGTACAATCGTGAAAAAATATAGTTCATGCAAAACTATCCGCGCTGGTGATCAGCGACATTGCGGTCGAGAAATCGTTGCACACTGATGAACTCTCAATTTTTTTACGAAGCAGCTTCATGGAGCCTTCTCTCACGATAGACTTCCTCGAGGTTAGTGGCACTTTCACAAGTCAAATCGGATTTTGGAAAGCGGTCCGGGAATCGATTATCAGGGAGCAGAATTCAGCCTTGCTCGGACAGAAGATGCGAATTTTCCACAAATTGTTAGCGGTCTCCGGTCAGACAAAAATTTCCAGCAATGAAGTCGAAAGCGTCCTCCTTCAGGAGGCGTAGAGAGGAAACTTCTGTTCCGCGGTATATGGCCAGAAATTCTGTCCCCGACGCAGTTTCCGAGTAGATAGACGACTCCGAGTTGCCCTTGCATAGGATATTTCTCGTCCATGCCGATATCGAAATTCTTCCTCCGCCTTTATTTAAATGCGGTAAACAAGTGAACGGAAAAATTCCCCGTCTGGTGGATTTCCGGAGGAAGTTGTGTATATATACATATACAGTTGCCGACGTGTGAAGGTCAGAACATGCTCCGTCCGCACTCTAAGTACCTGAGCACCGACTCCTAAGAAATCGCGCCAGTCGCTCCCCCATTCAAGAGGCAGGAGGCTGTCACTTCCTGCTGCCGCTATCGTCTTCAAGAAGTTCTCATCCTTCTCGACAGCAGCCTGACCCTCAGTCCTACAGGGCTCAACGGTTCTCTACTTCGAACCAGAGTCTGGCTTGGCCTGGCTCATTTTCTCCTCAACCATTTTAAGGATTTGTTGCGTATATTGCTGAAGAACATTGTTTATCGGATTCTGGGCTGCGGCTTCCGGCTGATTCGACTGCGCTCCGCCCACGAGCAGCATTGACAACGCTGAAGCATCTGAAAGGATGTGGAGCATTCAGAAACCGGTTTCTAGAGCGCCGAAACTCTGAATCGGTGGAACAAGCGATTTCAGGGATTTCAAGTCTCTCGAAAAATTCGTTTACAGTGATTATCCACTGGCAGAGTATTATATTCATAGATGTACACACTACTGACCCAGGGTAACGTTCGGCTGGTGCTGCTGGGGCTGGTGGTGTTGCACCATGGTCTGGCTCATCATGGCATGTGCCAGAGGGTTCATCGGAGGTGGAGCCGCGAGACTCAAGTGCTGCTGCGCTTGAAGCACAGAACTGGCCAAAGTCTGAGTCATCGTAGATTTTACCGATGGTGGCATGTCCATATTTAGAGTGACCCGTTGAAACAATTGGATCGCTTGACGGGTTACCCGCTTCAGATCTTCAGCCACGCGATCGCAGAGCTCCTGCGAAAGCGGCTGGTTCACGTTGATTATATTGGCTTGTGGCATCGGTTCGACGAGAGCCCTGGGCCCATCATGGTTCGCTGAACCGTTGTATCTGGAAGGATTCACAGTTGATTTCATCATTGGATGTACGCGTCCACCCACGGTCATCACAATCTTGTGGTCAACGGAGCGGCCTTGACATCGATGCATAACACTGCATACGATACTGACTAAATGAGCAACACCACGTAATTAATGCGAGGGAATAATGCAGGGGGCGAAACAATTCAATTCCGCGAATGAATCTGCCAACGAGACACGAGTTCCTGGAGTCTTCGGCCAGATATGAAAGATGCCCGAGGAAGGTCAAGGGAGAGACAAAGAAACAAACAAATAACCGAGCAACCACCATGGGCAAAAAACACCGTGATTGAAAATCAATGCTCCGGACCCAGACTCACTCGGTACATACCCTGCACTTTTCTCACTGCGGAACGTGGGTCAGAACGAATAATTCAGAATGGCGGTTTCAGTTGGAATTTTGAAGCTCATGTCGCGGAAATATTAACGGACAATAGCGACGTATCGCTTTCATTGTTAAACGGCTCACCTTCTCGGAAGCGTAAATTGACCTCTAGATGGAGAATTCAGCTGACCGCTATGAGGCGACACCAAACCAATCTGACTCTGACGGCTGAAACTGCGACTGAGCGAGTGCCTGCCAAAGAAGAATATTTCACTGACTGACGATCCTGACTGGTCACAATAGGGGCCTTTCGCAGAAAAGACTCAAGCCCCGCTCCGCTGACAGCGGTCGGGTCTTGAGTCCAAAACGGGGAGAAAAAGAGGGCAGCTACCGACTAGAGATACGTACTCACTGGGGCTATCAAGGGAAAGAATCGAAAAGTCATGAAGTGCATTTTTGATAAGCCGTAAATATTCGAAGTTGCACTAGTCGACACGTCAACATGCGGAACGTCTCGGTCGCTTAGTCCCACCCTGAGGCTCGAAGCACCAGTACTGGGCCGGGTACTAACCTGTGAGTGATTGCGTCGCTCAGAGTCGTGCTCTCCGAATCTGAATCCGTATCAGAATCTGGTGACAGGAGATGCTTGTTGACCAACGAATTTCTGTTGAGAGCAGACGACGATCTGGGGAAAGATTCGAGTGTTCTTGGCAATGTCCTCCGGAAATCGTCCCGGTCAGATCCCATATCTTGAAGTCTACGAATTCAGCGGGGGAGAGGGGAGGAGGAATTCAACTTACCTGACTTTGGTGAGGTTTGTATTACCTCGACGCAGCGAATGCGCGGAGGGAGCTCGATGGATCCCACCGAGCCCGTTTGGAGTTCCGATGCCCGCGTGTCCTTGCTGTCCCAACATCTGGTCGCCTGCATTGGCCCCCTGATACATGGCCGGGTTGTTCAAGCTGCCCATGCTCGCGGAACGGGACATTGCTGCGATAAGATCAATGCGTGGTCAGAGAGATTTCGATCGGAAGCAAGTTTTCGCGACAGCGGCAGAATAATTTTGAGTCAAACATACATCCGGCATATTTCCTGGGAGTGGTCGCGTAGGACGGGAACTGACTCTTCTGAGCTTGAGCCCATATTCCACCACTAACTGACAGCGATCCTGGAAGAACGAGGACTTTGATCTTCACTGGTACTTTCGAAGAAACGGAACCGTAAGCAGAACTCTACGTAGGGTCATGCAAGCCGTACAGACACACAGCAGACTGGTTGCTTGGAGCGAAACTTCCGAAGCGAGTGGCTGTGTATTCATCTTTCGAGTTCTATCGAATGATCTGCTCGTTCGTCTCTTGGGTTTGTTCGACTGTTAGCCGGCGCGCTGACTCCGATTGTAGGTTGCTTGCTAGCTTGAATGGTAAAGTTCTTCCCACACTTCAGCATTGGGTGAACGGCACACAGCCACTTGACACATCTTCAACGGCCCTGTCGTCACACCCACAATATTTCTGCTTTTCTGGGTTCAAATCCAAGACAGAAAACATTGACGGTCGAGAAATCTACAACAGACAAAATTGACGAGCACGGGTTACGTGAGATGATATTTCGTCCGACTCGACGGAATCCAGTCCATGACTACGAAGGTGAAACCACAATGATTGGTCTGATTCCGTGTCGGCTGACAGCTCTGAACTACGATCCTGTCGCGCGACCCGGTGAGCGAGACTAACGCGGAAGCGCAATTCGACGAAGACATGTGTCCCCCGGAGGAGACCAACGGCCGATCGATCAGTTGCCCTGCGGGGGTGAATTGAATATCCGAATTCCAATGAAAAGAGGGTCAGGAAATGTCTCGACTAACCACGACAGCCTTGGGGGTGCACCCGGCATTGCATCACCGCGAGGTTCCCGCGAGGGAAAACTCCAGAGCACGATCGGAGACTCCGGCCCGCTCGCAGCGATATTTCGGCCGTCGACGTTCACAGTGTTGTTGACTATGATGCCGAATGGAGAATCGAATATTCTTCACGCTTCGACACTCGCTCGACATGACAGCGACAACATCGCCAGCACTGCCGCCGCCGCCACCACTACCACCGACGGCGATCGATAAATAGAAGATGAATGGCAACACTCTCCCCACTCGAAGACAAAAGTAGCTTCTATAAGCACGGAATCGTCATAGACGGCGTAGAAGAAGAAGATGACGACGACGAGAGGGATTAAGTCTTCCGATCGGAGGGAAAAGGGCTTGGCAGATCCACAACAAACAGCGGAGCAGAAGACTTCGGTAAAGATGTATAAACAGTAAAAGATACGAAAACGCATACCCTGCGAGAGAGACAGAAAGGCAGAACTACGCGAGCGCCTTCTATGAGCTACAGCGAGCAGGTGGAAAAGTCGAAACGAAAGTTACCGCCGGCGCCGCCACCGCCTGAGGTATTTTCGGCTCAGGTCACCGACGGCAAACGCAAGACGTGAGGCCGTTCCGTTATGAACAAAGGGACCGACGGGCTCCAGGAACGCCTAAGGTTCGTTGCTGCGTCGCGTTCGATGCCGCTGCTTCCATTAAATGAGTGGTACTGTGTTTCGGTGCGTAAGATACTTGTGTGCCGGTGATCCATACGAACGAGGCTACGAACGAAGACAAAATGCGACCTTCTTCCACGCCTACTTATGGCACGGCGGAAAGACACTGCCAGCACGGCCCATCTACTGCGTGAGTTGGCATCAGCTGGGGCGATTGCGGAAATGGCGCGCTTGTTCGCACGCGTCTCCGCTAGGACACCGAAGCGGCTAAGGACCGACATGCCACGGACGATTTCAAGGTTTCTCCAGAGGAAAACACACACAGTCACGCAAGCTCAGACCGGCTCAAGCTCCGTCGGTTCCACACTCTACGACTACGACCGAAGCGTTCATCTTACCGAACGACTGGCTGTTGTTGTTGTTGTACATCATACTGTGACTGACGTTGCTGTTGAAGGCGCTACTGTTGTGCATGCTCGATTGATTCTGCTGCTGAGAAATCGGTTGAGGGCTCTGTTGTGCGTGCAGCTGCTTCTTGGCACTCCTCAAACGATCTCTCAGGGCGCGCACGTCCGTGCAGCTCTCACTAGTTTCCAGTCGCATTCCCGAAGGACGGAAGAACCAGTTGCCTTCTGAACAAACGAACTACTTAACCCTTCTTCGCTGTTTGGGAGACACGCACGGAGAGAAATTGGCACGATCGCACGCTAGCACGCTCGCATTCTTCCGAACGAATACGAAGTGCGCTCGTCCGAAAAACTCCTTCCACAGCCAGAGTACACCCACATTGAGAAAGGATTCGTCACCGCAGCCACCGCTGCTGCGGCCGTCGTTGACGTCGACGCAATCACCACGCATAACGTTCAAGAGAATCTCTCGAATTCCATCACTGTCGGACACGATCCGGACAACCCCGTGAATGGTATGTTTATAAGTGGTTCCAGAGACAACCGCTCATTTCGTGGATTTAATGTCGGCGATCGATTCGCTAAAACAAAGCGACATCGACACTGATCGCTGACTCCAGAGCACGAGCTCCGAGAGACGGAAACTCCCTCATCCGGAATCTTCCGTCCGATTCGTCCAATCCTCCGAAGCTCTTCGGTTCTCTTCGCGATGCAGAGAATTCTCTGAAGCGGACCGTGCGCGATCGGGATCCTGCGCGGCACAGATGGTGACTCGAAGATGAAATCACAAGGAAAATTCGGGTTCCGTCCGCTCCCGCCAAAGTGCCAGAAGACGACTCAGATATTTCAGCGGGAACATCTGGTTCTCGAATCTTCAAGAGAGATTCCCGAAAAAAAGTTTTGCAACGACGTCCACGCGATTCAACTCCTCATTCACAGACAATTCCAAGATCGTTCTTATTTTGTCGTGAGGTGGCATTATTCTCTCGCTGCCTGTCGTTCGTAGGGACGTCATGATCAACAGCAGCATCAAAGTTGTCGTCATTCCTGGTTCCACGGAATATTCATTGTCGGAAGGAACGCGAATGTTTCAAAGGATGAGTTCAAATCGTTTGTGATGTATCTTTCCTTCCACTTGCGTCTAACCAGCGACACAGAGCAGTCGAAGCAGAGGGGTCCTATTGATGGGACGGATCTCCAGGGTACCACACGCTCTTTCAACTTTCTCCCGCTTTGTCATTCCTTGGAATCACAGTGATCACGAAGTCGTCAACTTCGCAGTTCATTCCATGAAACGCTGCGATGGCGACCCCTTCGTTCGGATATGGCTTGGATTCATTATTTTCCTTCAAATATTCGGTTCATATATTCCAGCGGCGCCCTCAAGGCTCCGCGACGCCGATCGGGTAGAAACACTCGAATCAATACTTCATTCGAATGAAGCAGTCTAAGAAGGCTGACGGATATTCGAAGTTCTGCACTGAGCCCCGTCAAGTAAACATTTGAGTTCAAAAAATATTTTAACGCTGCGGGCCGTCATTCTTTCTGAATGGTTGACTTGCGATTGAGTGGCAAAGAAGAAGCTTTCCGTCAGATCACGAAGGGAATTCCGCGCACGAAACAATCCTGATCAAGCACAAGGTCCCATCACCCTTCTAGTCCCACGCCATTCAGAGATACATATCGTATTAGGAATGGCGATGGTAGATCCGATGTAGATCAATCAAAGATACATATCGTATTAGGAATGGCGATGGTAGATCCGATGTAGATCAATCAAAGATCCACTGAGACTCCAATTGTCGGTGGATCCCGGCCGAACTTTCGGTTCGGGAAACCTTCGTTCTTGTTCGTTTCCGAGCCTCTTGGGAGAGCTTCAAAAGGTGAGAGCCCGGGGCTTCAGGAATCGGACTAGAGTCGGCTAAGCTTGATCTGCAGACTTCTAAGCTTTTGTCTACGAATTGTCTCGAAACGTGCACGTTGCTCAAACAACGCGGCCATCGGTCGTTTTCACAGGAATCCGGAACTCAGTAATCGGTTCCTTCAGCATCGTCTCCTACTCACGGTCAACGCATCGAAAACTGCGGAGGCTGCCACTTCCTCCACGGAAACAAAATATCCGTCTGAACTAGAAAGTGATCATCGATGGAGCCGAGCCACTTGCTTCTGTCGTCACGACGTGGTTCATACCCATGGGACGGAGACGAGACGCTGCAACCCCGGTGTGCACTTCACTCGGTCGAGACACGACGATGGATCTCGAGTCACAAGAACTTTAGGAAGAAGCATGAACACGCGTCATTTCCACAATCATGGGTCCGTGTCGCTGGAAAGCACCCGCAAACAGATCGAATGAAGTTTTACCTCGTTGAAGCGGAATGCTCCGAGCTGAACGTCACCGAAAGGGGAAGGGGAGACGGAAAAATGTCTGACAGATTTCTATCTATAAAAGGAGGAGGTAAGCAAGAAGGTGGACCGTATGATAACTCACCCGTTCGGGTCCCTCCCCAATGGTCCATATGGTTGTCTGGACAACCATGTGGCCGCTTCCTTTCATGAGTACGCCTAATTCATTCGAAAGGGGAGATATTTATCATTTGAATGGATGTCCGACCGGATGAATGTGGGAACGGTGCGGCATCAGCGCGTCAGGAACCTCTACGGAGCTGAGGCCGGTATCCGTCTTGGATTCTGGGCCGAGAGAGGAAATCAAATCGGGGTCCCAGTTTCCACAAACAAATGTCGACATTCAAGAGGAACGGCTGTCCTTATGGCGGCTGCGGTGGCGTAGCGACGAATACCGGAAGCGGACCGCGAAGACCGCTAGAGCTGCGTGATTCATTTGAGTGTTTGGATCTTTGAAGACACCCGGAGCGTAGAACGAAGATGCGTACGGCGGGTAGAACATCATGTCGAAGGATAGCAAGTTTAGTCAGATGGACGCACTAACATACCATCCCGAGCGTACGTCAGCGACAGATCGCGAGAACCGAAATGAGACCGTCGAATCGTTTGATCAGGCAGTCAGTCAGTCGATCAGTCGGAAGTGCCATGAACTTCGGTGTTTGTCGACAGTCCGCACGTGAATGAGTGTCGTCAATGAAAGTCGACGGAGAAATATCATACGGCGATTCGGGTCTAGTCTGCAACACCGTACGTCATTGACAGCGGGCGGACGAAACGACCCGAGCGATTCGGAAGATTCGTTTTTAACGAGACTTGATTTGACGCGTCGAGCAGAGGCAGGGTATCTTCGGAACGACAGGCAGCCCGATTTTGGCCCGCCGACCGGCTCACTTGCAAGAGCTGTTGTGGGTGGCTTCTTGAACCCATTAAACTGGGATGCGCCTTGACGCGAATTCTCGCTGATTCAATTAAGCTCGGCAAAGCACTTAATACTCGCTCGCTTTTTGCTTGTTTGGCTCGGTAGAGCGACGCCGAATTCTCGCTGCACAGAAATCGCTAATGCTCAAACATGGCATCACGACGACGCGTCTGACGACGTTCGGCATAACACGAAAATAAATTTCCAAATCGAAATCTACGCGGACACCATTCGCGCTCCCCGGAGTCGGTTCACCGGCAATATTCCCGATTCTCCGATTCGGGCCGGCTGATTCGATCGACCATAATCCAGTGTTCGGATAATCGTGGCTCACGATTATTGATCGGTCGTAACAAAAGAACACACTCTTTTTCTTCTTCTGCTGCCAGACAGGGAGCCGGCAGCACTCTTGACAGCGCGTAAACAGCCTTCATCAACACCCACGGAGATTTATTCTGACCCCGCATCTCCTGCGACCTTGTCACTAGACAAATGAATCGGACTTTTTTTCAAACTTCGTATGAAATACCAGAACCGTTTCGGGTAGTCGATATCAGTATTTTCTCACGCAGCAGGACCGAATCTGAGCAGTCTGCCTCATGAGCGGTAATGAAACTGCGGTGAGTTCTATTGAATAGTTCAGGATTCCGCCCCGCTGGACTCCTTTGAATAACGATTGGAGGGGGACGCCACAGCCCGTCACTGGTAACGCTCGTCAATTAACGGACGTTTCTGGCATGTGGCGCGCCCATCCGTACACAGAGTGGGCGCCAGCGGCAAGTACTCATTGTAGAGCGTTAACGTGCATTTCGGATTGAAAATAGACGGCAGCAGCGGCAGGCACGTCTTGTCGTGCATAGGCGTAACCCACTCGCTGGAACTGGGACGCGGCCACCCAAAACGAATTTGAATCCTGCCGGCGACGTCGAGATTAGCCGCTGCTCCAAGTCCTCAGAAAACCCCGACATTTCGGATCAGTATTCTGCGTCAGAAAGATAATCGTCACCGTCGACATGGTCTTCGGTGTACTCGACGGGCTCACAGTAATTTTTTCTCTGCATTGCTTTGTCACGAACGGCATGAAATCAATTCACATTCACACGCATCCGAAACAGATCATCACGGAATGTTGTGAACACGAGACTGTACACGACATTGTTGAGACCGGCGCGGCGTCGAAGCTCGTTCGGGAACTCGGGATCCGACGGCTTTCCAGCATCGGGATCTTGTGGACTTCAAGACCACTCGGTCCGTCAGTGAATTCATCCGTGCGCAAGTGGATACCCATTCGTGTTTGAACGGGAAGGATAAATCTCCATTACGGATTGACAGACGATTTCGGATCGGATATCGGATGACGCCGGGCACTGTTTTGCCGATAAGACGACAGATTAGGACATACCGAGTGAATTTCTCTTTTTGCGTTCGTACGTCGCCTTATGGACTGAATCACCGCTATTTCCTCAAAAGATACGCTCAGTTCGAAAAGCGGGGGCGTTACAAGACGGATCTGAGATTCGCCCCGCGCTTGGACAACCTGAGCTTCTCAGAGTTTTCTTTTTCTCTCTCGCCTCTCTCTTTCTCCCGTGTCGATACACCTCTCTCCGGCAGACGCTTTCAATGAAATCAACTAGTAGGTATTAACTCGATAACGATGACTCCCCGAGCAGGCGAAAGAAGCGATTTACGAACGGGATGAAACTTCGCGAAAGGCCCGAGAGCCTGTTTTTCTCACCGATATTTCCCAGATGGATGCTGCTACGACGCTCAATCCGAACTGAACGTGGCGGCTCCGGTCGGTTGGTTCGGAGGGGGCCCAACATTTCCCATCGACGTCATACACTCACGAATGCACGAAATTCCGCAATCGATCCGACAAGCTCCTGAACTCGCACTCAGAGCTCGGCTCCCGCGGATTCCCGATTTCTAATCGAGTGGAAAAGCGATTGTCTGCGATACGACAGACCATTCGCCGGTTTTTCGATCCCTCGAGTGTCTGTGCGCGAGCGTGCGCGCGATTTGAACAGACAGTTCTTTCCTCCCTTTCTTCCTTTCTTCGTTTCTATCTATCGTTTGTGTGTGCAGCGATATCAGCCCACTAACGTCGGAGTTGTTTCCCTCCGCGGACCGATTGTCGAACGGCCGGCGGAACGCCAGTCTGACAGAAATCGCAACGGCAGACCAGCAAGTCTTGCGGGGAACGTCCAGCCAGCGGGTATCAGTGGGCGATTCGATTGGCCCGTACAGCCAGACGCGATTCGCGACATAAATCACAACTCCTTCAATCAAAATGAGCAGCTCTGACCTTCAGAGTCGCCCAGAACGTTATTATCGCAAATGACAAGCGGGCTTTCAGCGACAGAACTCTGAGGTTGTCACACAGAAAGTGCGGAAAACGTAAACGATGGTCGAGCACGCTGGCCGATCTAGCGTTTTCGTGAGCCGATAGCATTAGAACGCGGAATCTGGGTTCGGTTGAGATGTCTCACAAGAGTTCCCGACGAGTTCCTCGAGTCTCCTCATCCTCCATTGGCGGAGCTCCCAGATTTTACGACATCAGCAAGTTCCTACTCGTGGACCCTATTTCCGCAGGGAACGGGGTATAGTTGATTCTGCATCGATCTCCGGTATCGAGCAGGCGCTCTTGGGCTCCCGAGTCCGAGGTACGGAGAAAATTATGAGTACCCACCAAATCAATAATTCTCAGGGGTCAGCTTACCTTCGGCCTCGTCAGCGACGGCTTCACTATTCGTCTTTTTCCGGCTGAAGAGTTTGGTGACGCCTCCCAAGTCGGACATGGAAGTACTTCGCCGGATCATCTCCTCTCGTCGAGAATTCTGCTCGGTCTTATCTGTGTCCGAACCGAAGTCTTTCCGATCCTTCAAGCTCAACAAATCACCTATACTTTTCGAAGTACTGAGCCTGCGAAGGGAAAAATCCGCTAATGAGCTTTTGATCATCGTCGACGGGCTATCTCGATTTTCGCCTTCAATATCAGAAGAGAATCTTAATCCCCGCAATTCGCCTATGAATCGAAAAAACGTGAGCTCACCTATGACCCTTGCCGACTCCCTGCAATCTCTGCTTGGCTTCCTGAAGGGCTTTGCTTAGCTCTTCTCTATGATTACCAGCTGCCCACGGGGACATGTTTGGTTTCTTGCCGACTTGCGGTTTCAATGGCGTTGAAACAGGATTGTTTGATTGTTTTTCGAAAACGTTAGAATTGCTCTTGATGGGACCAGTTGCTGCCGATGGCTCGTCTTCGGGACTGTTCTTGAATTTGGCTGTAATGCTCTTCCGCGACGGTGGGCTGGTGAAGTTGACGTCTTCCTCGATCGTTTTACCCAGCGTCTCGTAGTTCGATTTCATGAACTTCTCTCGTTGACCAAGCTTCTCTAGATTTTCGGTCGACATGAACAACGAGTTTCGATCGTTGAGCTTCGAAGGGGTGGCCGTATCTCGATCCGAATCAGAGTTCAGGTCACTATTCGCGAGATCTGCGGGGTCGAACAGTGTGAGAGAGTCGTTCAGAGTGCGGGGGTTCCTGTAGCTCTCAACGGTCTATCTATATCGACGGAATAAAGCTCATAATACGGAAAGGAAGGAATCCAGAAATTGAAGAAGAACATTCATGTCAACGAGAAACAGAGGCTCGAGAACTCTCTACGAAAATCATTGTAAGGTAATCAAAATTCTTCTTGCCTTGCTGCAAATCTTTGGGAGCTCCCCTACTCTTAAGCCTACGCCTAGCTTCGACGAGATCAATGAAGCCTGAACTCGAGCCGGAACTCGGCTGCGATAAGCTATTCTGAAGTCCCAACTTGACGCTAAACGAAGATCCTCCGACTGAAGACTCCTGGCTAGCAGGAGGATAGATAATCTTCTCGCTCTGATCAGTGTCAGAACGTTCACAGTCCGCGTCTTCATCGCCTGAATAATGCCCCCAGCTATGAGAGAAAATCTTGACCGAATATTTCGTAATCGGGTGCGATATTAGTTCGTCAGAGAGGCGGGGGTGCATTTTTTCCGCTCATAATCATTCGTGGCCGTTTAACGAGAAGATCGACCACCGAAATCGGAAGCGGGGCTGCTCAACGACCAATTCAACAAAAAATGGATTTCGCGACTTGTTCAGCCTACGACTCTCGGGAATTGAAAGTCGTGAAAGAGAACAAGTCTTTCATGATTCTCACTGATCACGTTTTCCACTGCGAGGTTCCACATAACCCCCGAACGGGTGCTCACCTTCGAAACGGAGAAAAACCGAGCAAACCCATTTCTTCCGGAGAGAAGTGATTTGGAAAGTTCGAGAGATTCTCTTCAATCAATTGCCGGAACATGCAGGAATCGATTCGTGTTCCCGGAAAAGAGTGTTCTAAGCGGCCGTGAAGGAAATCGCAGTGGTCTTAGAATAAGTTAAACACATGCGGACGCGAGCGGAGAATCGAGAAATTGAATCGATTCAGTGAAAGAGCTTTTTCCACTGAAAGGGAGTCGAGGGGCTCCCGGAAGAAGTGCAGCAGGAAGGTAAGCACGTCATCCCGAGCATTCTGGGATGTCGTACCGCGTGCCAGAGAGAAAATCGGAGGATTAGAACTCACCGGTTGTCTTCATTGAAGATGCTCCGCTCGAATCAGTGAGTTGAGCTTGCCGTTGTTTCGCCAAAGTATTCGACGGAGGGCTGTGGGATCTCAATCCGCTCTGAAATGAATATTCAAGGGCTTTCCGTACTCAACCCGCAGGCGATTTTGTGCGCAGTCGACCACTTTTTCTCTAAATCCTCTACCAAAACTTCTCAAAGATTTGAATACGAGACTTCTCGACGTGATATAAAAAGGTCTCGTCGTCGACGGAATTCGGTTTTCGTCCCGACGGGAGGAACCATGAAGTTACGGTCGTAAATCAAAGTACTAAGGAACGATGATGAGTTGCACTCGCTTATTACCTGCTGCTGTTTAAGCGAATCGCCCGAAGCAAGGTTAGTTTTGCTTTCGCTGCCATCCTTGTTCGAGTTTATGAAGTTTTTGTTGTTGTTGTTGTTATTATTATTGATGATGTTGTTGTTGCTCGTTACGTTATCGCTTTTGCTCGACGCGTTGTTCAGATTGCCGGTGTCGATCCCCTTCGGAGCGTCCATTTTCTCGTCCTCCTCCTGTATGCATTCGTGATTTTAATTGTAAGTAAGCATTAGTCCGAAGCTCCCGCCATTCTCGCAGGGAACCCGACCGTAATCAGCTTACTCGGGGGGTTAGCTTACTATACTGTGATCAGGGAGAAGCAGACTCCCAACTCGGATGGTCGAAAACGATACATATCCAGTCAGTTCAAAGCGCGGGCGATATCATAGATACACCCAATAACTGAATGCGTCGTTTCACAACTCGAACAACAACAAAAGCGAAGCGAATGATGCGCTCGTTTGCGGAGTCTTCAGTCACTGACGCAGCCGAAAGTGTAGCATAAAAATAAATAACCGATGCAGATTACTGGTCTGCTGTTGTTGATAGCAGCCCACGGTGATATTGAGAGTGTTTTCCAGGCGCGGGAAGAATGGATTGCTGATAAATTGTGCTCGAAAGCGGACGAACGAAGCCAATCGAAAAAGAGGGGCGACCCTCGAAGTCGTGAGTCGTGGTTTTTCATTTTCGAAAGAAAGTGTCCGAGAGCACCCATCTGTCCGGTCTCATCGAGCTCCTTACTCACGATAATTCGAAAGAAATATTTCGAAGGCTGCGGTGATCCGGACATACACATGTATCGACTAAGTTTTGGTTTCACGGGACGTCAAACAACGCATTAAGGTTCGCCAATCACGGACGATTGACATGATCGGCTGGAAGAAGCACAGACACGACTGACCGCGAAACCACGAATAGCTAAAAGCGCCAATGAGCGATGATCCCAACAAGTTGACTAGCTCGTTAATCGGACATCGCCAGAGGGACTTCGCCCCTCTAGCCCCAAATCCTTCATCATTTCATTCGACGTCGTGAATTTCTCACGATCTAAATTGGGCATCCCGCGCTAAAATTCACCGTGAACTCACGTTCAGAACAATGTTCACAGCTCCTTCGGACTTGCTCTTGTTGAGTCGGGGGAGAAGAACTATGGGATCCGACGATAGAACCGACTTGATGACGAGTGGGCCACCTTGCTCCATCGATTCCATGCTTTGAGCCCATTTCCCTCGGGGGGCCGAGGGAGTGGCTTCTCCGGTGATATCGCCGACGTCCGTTCCAGTCACCTGCAACACGGCGTTTAGAACAAACAGAACAAAAGACTGACTCCACTCGAGGAGAGTATCCGGTGATCTCCAGATACGTCGATCGGCGTCCGGTTCCGAGAGACGTCAGCGAGGTTTTCCGAGTGACTCGCTCGTCATGAACGGTGCGCTTGTCACAGATGCTCGAACAGTTCGTTTACTAATTCCACAGAAACTGAACCCTCAGGGTCCGACACTTTGCAACTTCGGCAACAAAAGGTATTCGCAGAAAAAGTCCGACATTCACCCCTCTCTTCGCCTCGTTCTAGTAATCGCTATCTTCTCGTTCCTACCAGTGAAGAAGCGCCGGGGCCAATATAGATCACAACCATCTTACGCCGGGCACCAGGCGCAACGGCCGGTAATCAAGAGTCGTGGTCGTGACTGACTGACTCACTGGCTGTCGGTCTGACTGAGCAGAATCGCCAATATTTATCAGAAGTAGCCGAATACCTCCTCCTCACATCTTCAAGAGAGGTCTCCAGGCCGGCGAGCAGGCACGCGCCACTGGGCCATTGGAAACACTCAATTCACCGGGGAATTCGCAGCTACGGGAGATCCTTTCCAGCGATGAAATGATTCGCTGGTCCTTCGCATGACGAGCGATCGCTCAATCATGAGGTGCTGCCACCTCTCGTTTTTATATCAGATCGGGAGAGAACTGATAGCAATTCATTCACGCTGCAGGTGACGCGGAACAGTCTCTTTTTCTGCTTGTACCATTTTTTTTCTGCAGATAGGAGAGTTGATATTTGGTCTCCTGCACGGAACTTCTGAGGGAAGCCCGGAGCGACCGTCACCTGCGGCCCCAGCATCTTCGTGGGACCGACGCAATCTCTGTACTCCAAATACTTCCTGAGCGTCTCGTCGGTATTCGTGCATAACATGACTGCTCGAATTGGAACTTCTGATGCTCAAGAAAACATTTCTATGAGACTTGATGAGCGTGATTCCATTTATCATGGACATTACGGCGTCTTCACCGCCGTGCTCACCCACCCGTCAAGAACGTCTAGCTCAATCATTCCCACGGAAACATGGGCAGGAGTTGAGCCCAATGTCAAAAGCAAAGCTGTTCCCAAAAGCACTTGACGGAGCGATGAGTCCGAAGAGCGGCTCCGCTCCCCGAGCGGAACGAACGAGCGATGGGACAAGCCTTCGGCTGTGACGTGGGTCGCCCTCGTTGATTGAGACGTAAGCGTATCATATATTGGGAGCAAAAGTGGGAGCTCCTAAATTTTACGAGCCTGTTCTACTCACAGGCGTTCTTAAGTGAAGCTGTTTGACCTTCCCCCAACGACTGTCAACAACTATACGTCTTCCATCATCTCCAACAATTGCGGCCATTACGCTCGAACGCTGCTCATCCCGGATCATCGTTCGGGAGTATTTCCGAGACGAGATTCGGCTTCGTAGCTCTTCGATGAGAATCAAACCCTACTCACGATTGCGAATTGCGAGTCAGCGACCCAATCAACCCTTCACCTCTGGCGAATTCGCCAAACGCGCCTTGGACGATGGGGGTGATGGTCGAGCAATTGGACGAAATAAGCCCGAAAATTTTCACTTTCGTATTTCTCCCCCTCGCCTCGACTGTGGGAATAAACTCACCCGCTTCTTGGCCCAGTTCGGTAATTTGACATCGTCGGTCGGAGTCTGCGGGGCCGATTGGATCGATTGCGGAGTTTGGATTCCATTTCCGTTCGCATCGATCTTCGATGGCGGGTCCGCTCCCCAGATGATGGTGTTGTCGTTTTCGGCGATGCCCATTTTTTGACGGATAGTGGCCGTGATTTCCTGGGGCAGTCGCCAAACGAAAATGCAGCCGTCTCCAGAGACACTGATCAAGTTCTTGCCGTCCTCAGAAAACTTCAGACCGGTAACCAGCTCCGAGTGTCCGTACATTTGAGCCATACACTCGGCAGTCTGGTAATCGTACACGTAGATGCTCTTGTCGGTGCACGACGTCGCCACGAACGTTCCACTAGGATCCAAAACCACCTTCAAGAAAAAACTCCGTTGGTCGCTATCCAGAGTGCCATCGGAATAATTCTCCTTCGGCTCCGATTTCGAGGAAGATTAGAATTCCGTTCCATTTCCGTACCTTGATCAGCGTGCCGTCTTCGCCTTGAGCGCCTCTGAAGGTTCGGGTATTCTTGGACGAGGTCACGGAGTAGACTCTGACGTGACGATCCTGACACGCTGTCAAAATGTGTTTCTCCTGCTGGTCCAGTTCCATGTCGAACAACGTGCACTTACCGCTGACCAAATGCTCTCTACATGAAGGAAATAATCATATCCATGTATCAGAATTCGTGGAGCTCTCACGGGGTTAGCTACGTTCTCTTCTGATAAATCTGACAATGACAGATAGTCACCTGTTGAAGTGGATATCAGCAGAAGTTGGATCAGCAGAAAGTTGCGCCCTCCGGAAAATAATCTGTTTGTCGGCCCCGCACGAAATCATCTGCACGTTGTTCTGACCTGGAAGCGCAGGGACATCGTAGAAGCTCTCTTCCTTGCAGAGGCACAGCTCCAAGCGCCGCGATTTTATCTCTGCGTGACCGTTGACTGACGGATACCTCGGTGGTGAAGTTTCACTTATAAGAAAGTAGGAGAAGGAAGTTTTGCTCACCAGAACTGGAGAGAGATCCGTTCAATGGCGATCGGACAAACTTCAAGGCGGTGATGGAACTGGAATGATCTGCGAGCGTTTTGATGAACTGATAGCTCCTGTTCACATCGAAAATGTGGATGAAACGATCTCGGGAGCCCGACGCCAGCAAGTGGCGGAACCCGCAAGCTTGTGGTGATGTGAATTCAAGGCAAAGAACCTCGGAGTCGTGCGCTTCGATTTTGCCTAGTTGCTCCATTGAGGGAATGCCGAAAATCCTGCGAGAGTCATAAGCGCCTCAGCTTCAATAAGATGCCATGGCTCATGAAAGATACCTAATTATCCGGCAGATAGACTCCGACTGATGAATACGATGAATTAGGAGCGAATGACATGACAGATGAACGACATAATTATTCATGATAATTCTCCACGGTCGAAAACCTACGTTATGTTCCCGGATCGATCCCCGCACGCTAAATGGCTGCCGTCGTGACTAATTTTCATGCATCGAACGCCGTTTTTCCCGTCATAGTTTGCGTCAACTTTTTCGTTCGAGTTATTCGTATTCGTCAAATCAATGTCGCAAATGAAGTTCAGCTTTTGGTCCATGTAGATCATCTTCAGAAGCTCCGGACAGAAAATGTTCCGTTTGACATTGCCGTCGTTAAGATTCCAGGCACGGATCGTGTCGTCGCTCGAACATGTCAGAAAGGTGCCTTTGGGAAGCCCCTGCAACAAATTGCATCGTGAAACGCTGCGGAAAGAGATGTCTGCGGATATTTGAGAGCTGAGATGCAGCGAATCACGCGCTCTGGCGATCGCTACAAGGTGGTTTCATTCGGTCTGCGGCCAAGCGCTCCCTTACTTACAGTAAGGCCCATAGGGAATGTTTCGATGCCCCAAATGCAGGCAGAATGGAACAGGAACGAGAAGCATTTCCCCACTCGTTTCGGTTCGACCACTGACCAAACGTAGAATGAGTGATCGTTATAAACGCAGGTCACTCGTTTGTGGACTTCGTCGTAGGTGAGAGCCACTACATCTGGGTACTTGGAATTCTCGGGATGGTACATCACAGCGCTGGAAAATAAGTTTTCCCCGACTGAAAGTTTCCCGAGAGACGAGTCTCGTGCGTTTATTATGTTTCGATTGTCAGAAGAGAGTTTCTATTGGCGGATCTGATTAGAGAAAAACTCACGTGGGGTTGACTCCTTTGGCAACATCAACTCCAAGATGGTGAGGTTTTGGCAGCGTGCAGATGAATTGTAGTGTATGCGGGTCGAAACAACGCACGATACCGTCGCTGCAGCCGACGAATATGCGATCCTCGCCGACACTGATTGAGTTCGCAACCGAAGTCTTCAGTTCCACCTGTTTCACAAAAATCGGAATCTCGTGAGAAAAAGACTCGAAATCGATACAGAGCAATGGTGAGCCCGGACAATGTTCTTTGAGACCTCGTTCATCACGGCCCGATGCCCGATCGGAACCAGAAGGTTCGATCTCTGAAAATCGTGAGATTGATCCGGAGAAACTCACCCATTTATCGAGAAGACGCCTCGAATTGAAAACACACAGAAGTCCACTCTTAGTGATGGCATAAGTGTTTTCGTGCAGGGCGCCTTTGCCGCAATCGGCGTCGCAGAAATTGTTGTTTCTCTGATCGCCTAGAATCGCGCTTCTGCCCATGAGCGGCATGGGCTCGGCCATATTCTGTCCGGAACGAAATAGATTTGTTGTTTTATGTTTTTTTCTCGCGCTTTTCCGGGGCGGCTCCGATGCCAGGTCGATTCCGAGAGACGCAAACAGGTCCCGGGACAGATTGCGAAGACCCACTGTAGCATGAGAGCAAGAAATGTATCGACCTCTTTACTTTGGAGGGAAGACTTACCGCTACGATCTTGGCATGTTCAAGGTACCAGAACTTGACATGGCGATTTCCGACCGTGACGAAGTAATTTCCGGACGAAGCAAATGTCACTGACTTCACCTAGATACGTGAAAGTGTTATTCGAAGTTTTCTTTTTCTGCGAGTTACGCGGAGCCATCGTGGTCTGAATCATCATCGACAAAGAATTCCTAGAGGTACAGGCTCATCCGCCCGAAACTTCGTGGCGAGGAACGGCCTGAGCGGTCGATATTTAAATATCGCCGAGTCGAATAGACAAGCGATGCACGACCGAGCGATATGGCACGGAGAAATGGAGCGTGTACTGACCTTTGAGGAAACCTTGTTCGACGCGACCTTGGTATCGCTTCTCCAGTCCCAAACATTGACGACCGAGTCGTGCTGACTGCCCACAGACACGACATATTTGAGGTTTGGAGAAAACGCCTACAATGCGAATGACAATATTCGTACCGTACTGAATGGCTTGGCGGGGTAGCCGTATGAAAGGAAAACCGGTGAAAATTGCTCTACGGTACGTCTGGAGTATTCTGAGTCAAACTCACCACACAGTTGATACCGTATTTATGGCCGGGGAATTCAGCGACTTGTTGGCGTTTCTCAACGTCCCAGATTCGGAGTTGAGGCTGATGCCCACATTCTCCGGTGGCGAGGAACTTTCCATCCCAGGAGAACGCCAACGACGTGATCGTTTTCTTCGATGGCGAAACGATATGGGTTTGGCGATTCGTTTTACTGTTGTAGAGAATGACGACACATCCTGTGGAACCGAGTAATTAGCGTCGATTTCGTTTCGCGTAGATTCGTCCTACAACCTCGAGCCGGACTTAGTTGGAGACGCTTCTGCATCCCAGTCATTTTTCTGCTATGTATCCCGACTCTGGGCCCTTAATGGGAGGCTCCTCTCTGCGAATGACACTACTCACCCGCTGGATATGCTACGGTCGCTGTTAAGGGGTCAACGGCTAGCGCCGCGCTGCTTGTCACGGTGAGACCAAGAACGCGTTCCAACTCGACCTGAAAAAACGCGGGGAGCTTATTCCAAGAAAAAGTGAGTTCTCGCATCTACTGATCCGAAGCTTCCCTCAGTGAGTAGGAGCTGTCTGATAACAATTAGAACGCGACACCACTATGAAGACTCCGACGGAGGCACAGGCCGTCAGCTCTGTCCATAAGCGTCGCGAATTATCACGTCTGTGGTCCTGCACTCGTCAGAGGGAGAGATAGAGAAGTGAAAAATTCATTTTTGATCTTCTCAGCGTGAGAAACGCTCATGTTAGAATGTACTCGTCTGAAGAATTCCTGTCCGACCCTTCGAACCCTCTATGAAGTTAGATCTGAATCGAAGCCAAATCCATCACTCAGCTCCCGAGACTTTCCCTTTCGAAACTCCTCAGCCGCCAGGCGCCTCGGACTCGGAGCTGACCGAGTTCGTCGAGGGAAGTTCTGGGGACATCATTCCGAAGCTGGGCCCCGTCGGAGAACTTGAGCATAATTGAAGTTCCTCATTCAGCTTCATTCAGCTCGTCCGGAATGGCGTCGGCAAGCGAAATTCAGCGCATCTCCGCGTAGCGACTAACACATCATGCTTAGATGTGAGCAAATTACTTGACTTGGCTCATCCTCTCGTTGGACGGCTCTCAGAGTGAATCCGCGCTCAGCCGAGTCATTTGGCTCGGCAGTGAGTATTCCAAGTATCGTCAGTTTCAATATGCGGGCTGTTAGTTGAGTAGTAGAGGTAGAGGAGAGGCCAGACATTTCTCTCGAAGCAATCGATAGCTCGGTATTAAAGCGCGAGTAGCAGTTCGTTATCGAGTCTGCTCATGAATTTCAGCCCGCTGCGACTCTAAAATTATTGAATAGGACGATAATTTCGGCAGTAGAGGATCCTCAGGCGGCTTAGCGAAGTCTTACATCGACGAATCGGACGAATTCCTCTCCTGTTTCGAGAATCGAGTCTTCTGGAAGCCTTTCCAAGATTTCTGCCGGCATGGTGGTTGTCGAGGGACCTCGTCTCGAATTTCAAAGGGGCTTACATGACTTCCAGCTGCATGAGAAGCGTGAAAATGATTCAATGTAGCATTTCGGGGTCTGCGCATCCGTTACAGAATTAGCAAGACAAATCACGTGAGAGGAATGTTCCTTGTGGAGGCAAGTGTTCGGCACCGGATTTAAATCAAAGGCCTGCAGCTTCCGATTTGCGGGAATTCGAGAAAACTTGCACCCTTTTCGCTCCGATATCTAGCTCTGAGTTGATGTCCGGGGTCCGCCTCGGGCGGTCCGTGCTCGGTCGGCAAATGCGTACGCGGAATTATTTCTTGCGGAGGGGCAACCGAGTCTTTTCGCCCCTCCCCCCCCCCCTTCTCCATACGTGAGTGTCAGTCGCCTCGTTCTTATCCAGCGTGAAGTCCCCGCGGAGGGGGAAGATTCACAATAATCGAAGCGCCGACCTTCCTATCCCAGCTTGACAACGGTAATCATAAAACATGGGAAAACTCATGAGTTCGCATCGACCAGATCATGCGCATCGGGTCGTTTGCATTCGTTCCCGAGGAGCTCGGGGCGACGGATTCCCAGGGCGACACATACTGAAACAATACTTGGAAGCAACACGCCAGGGGTCCCTTGTACGGCTCTTCTACACAGAGCACCGTTACCGCGCGGCACTCCTTAGCTGGAACAAACGCCAGACTACGCCCGCCCGTCGTCCAACTAACCGACTAAAGCGACCGCCGCTGAGTCTGAGAGCTAATCAAATTTTGTTCTACCCGCTGGGTGTTCGTCATTAGACGCAGCATAATAGAGACGAGAAGGAATAGAGCAAAATGTAGATTGATGAGTGTCGGGAGTCGAATTGAGGAAGCTTCGACGCCGAGCGTCAAATTCATCGAGGATGAGATACGATGAGGAGTCCGCATGAAAGCATCGCGAGAAAACTCGACATTCGGGATTCGAACGAGCGCCAACGGTCCGGACGTCTTCAATGGAAAAATCTCGCCAAAGTGTATGTTTGACTCTTCGTCGACGATAAGCTACGGAGGTCTTCTGTCCGCCGCTATCCGTCTTCGCGGCCGCTTTCTAGATGCTGACTTGATTCCGTGACACAATAAACAAAGCTTCTCTGGCTTGACGGCGAACCAGCACACTGACCAACTCTGTTCAGAAGAAGCGTACCGCGGACGAGCAGTTGCTTTCCACGATCGGAACACTAGACCGACAGGAATCCAGTGCTTGATCTCAAAGCACCAAGGCAACTGCAAAAAGCGACGAGTGAACACTCGAAATCACGAGAGCCCTTGCGGAAGCGGAGACCGTTTTTTGAGGGAAAGCGGAATTTGCCATCGAGGTCGACAGTTTCCGAATCGGGAGGACTTTCACAGAACTCATGGACTTGACTGGTTCCGAGCTCTGGAGGAAAGCTCGTCCCTTCTCCGTCGGTCGAGCGTTAGTTCGCTACCAGAGGGAAATCTACCGAAGCCACGGCCGGTGGCCACGAGGACCGCCCACGAGAGAGGCTTGCATCACAACGTAACGTATCTTTTAACGGACTGTAATGTGTATTGCCTCGGCTCTGCTCATCTAAGACGATTGACTGACCGATGATTCTTGATGGACCACGCAAAGCCTTGATAGTGACCGGAATCATTTACAACGGCAGACGGAGACCGAGATGAGCTGTTGAACGCCCCGAACACCGTAAGATCCAATGTCTATCCGGGATAGAAAAGTGCTGAAATATTCCGGGACATGTCGATCGCTAGGTTTCTGTTTGGTCGAATGGAAGTCGATTCCAGGTGCTATTCCATTACGTTAGCGATCGATTCCATGAAGATCGAAGTCGAGAGTCGGCGATAGTGTTTCGATTTGGTTGACCATCGAATGTAAACCATCGACGTCGCACCAATACCCTGTCACAGGGGAAAACTCGTAAGCCCAACGCTTCTGCCTCTCGATCAGAAAACCCGTAGCCGGAATGGTGATCGAAAAACACTCCACACCGACGAAAACCCAAGAATATTGTCCCATGCGAATCTGGTCACACGTGGGAGACGTCCTCGGATTTTCTGCTTACACAACGTTTTCGCCTAGGCGAGCGGTTCACCATCGGAAAGCGAGTCGATCATGAATTGGAACTTCTCGAGCCCGGAAACCGAATCGGCATCGGATCCCGCCTCTCGGGATCTGAGGAATCAAGATTCGTGAGCTGATCAAAAACAGTCTCGGAGGGTGAGACCGGAGATGGGTGGAAAGAATCGAACGCGTCGCGAGTTCGGGTCTGGTGAAATTCACGAGGCAATCAGATATTCTTATTCCGATCAACAATTCTCAGACAACGTATCATACGGGTGTTGCCGTTGCTTCAGACGCCGCTACTTTGCTCGCTGTTACTGTCGGCAGGAGTTCGTTTGCCTTCGGATCGACAAGCCCACGCAGACACATACACAGAGAGAGGGGGACACTTAAACACAAATAGTATCGAATGAGACATGCGTTAGAAACGGAAAACGAAGAACCTGATGCTGTTCATCGAGTACGTACGCCATCTCTTTTGTTTGAAAACTAGCGTCAACTCGTTCGTAGGATCCCATTAGGAATCTATCCAGACATCAGGACGAGTCGTTTTTCCGAACCCATGCACTCAACCTTCCTGAGCAGCCTCGTTTCCGATCAATTCCTTCTGGCTGCAACCTCAAAGAGTTCATATCGATGGTGCTCTTCCCTCCGAAGATCGCATGTGTTTTCTTTCTTACTCGAGACAGTTCTCGTTCGCCGCTAGAGCGGCTTGCTTCGAACAGACGTTTTTTTTCTGCCAAGAGTAGAGACATCAGACACCTCTACCGTTCACTCAGCAGCACGGCCGGGACAACAGTAGAATTCTTGAGGTCCCGCGGCGCATCACAGTTAGCATATTTCGCTCAGCAGCGTGAGCGAGCTCGGTGGTTTTGGCAAAAAAAAACGTTTGGCTTTGTGGTAAGCGAGCTACTTTCGGATAACGGTTCAGCGACATCTTGGAGGCTGTGCAGGTTCCCGCAGCCCGCCGATACTTCGGATGAAGGGAGCTGTTTCCCCAAAAAGCATGGCAAGTGTGGATCTGACTTCGATTGGTCGGGTCATTTCCTCAGATCCTCGATGTCGGAAATGTGAACGGAGACGCTCAGTCCTCTGCACTCGAGCACTTGCGATCACGACACCTGCCGGGACTGCATGATGAGTTGCCAATCCAATCGGGCCGAGGTCCGCCGGGAAAGTCGAGTTCATCGGTGATGAAGTGCAGCCGGGGAACTGATAAGGGGCAGGAAACCCGCGAATCCGAATTCCGTGTAAAGCTACCGACTGCGCGACATTCGACCCGACTTCAGCTCAAGGTCAGGGCGGCATTGAGAACGATCTTCATCGTTCAATCTCCGTGGAACCCGTTGGACACAAAGGAACACTCCGAGGGCTGGACACTGGGTGCCTGAAAACCTTGCAACGGGCGGATATCCTTGAGCGCAAACATCTACGTGGGTCTCGTTCATTTGTTTCTGGGCCTTCGGCGGATCTCGATCAAGGCCGGAAGAAATCGATCGGGAAGGATTGCAACGAGCCCGCAGAGCTGATCGCGAGTCCAAGCGCCATCAACATTGAAAAAATACCGGCTCTGTCTTACTGTTATGATCCTTCGGAGACGGAAAACGGCAGGGTGGGAAGCTGTCCGCGCACTCCTCGGTAGACCACAACAAACTTCCAATCCAGTAATTCGGATGTCGACGACTTGCTCTACGGCGGACTCATACCTACACGCACGCACAATCACAGGCATGAACCACAGAGCACTTCCGCAAGAATATGAACACGCGGGTCACCTCCCGCATCCTATCTACGCAGATCGGGTCGGCATGCAGGTCGATATAGAATCGTTTCCAAACACTCGGCATCCGAGACGAGCGAACTCTGATCAAGATAAGCTGATTAGCATGAAAATGATTGATTAGCAAGTGATTCGTACAGAAGGAAAGTTTCAGACAGCTCCGAACGGAAGTCCCCGTCGCGAAGCGTCTGCCACAATACTGACTTCGCTGTGACGGTCTGACGTTCCGACGGTGTGTGGAGTGGGCGTACGCTTGAGAAGAGAGGTCCACTCTCACTTCGGCTTGTCGCGTTCATCAAACCACTTCCAACGCTTCGGATCTCTAGCGTTTTCGCGCATATTTCTGTGATCGTCCACCGGAGTAAGAGAGCGGATGAGATTGAATCACCGAATAATTATTGTTCTTCACAACATCTACGTGTAGTGAAAAATTACGTCAGCTTAAACAGTTGAAGCGCATCAGGGGAAACGCAGCGTTCGACTTCTCAAGTCGTGAACCTTTGAACTTCCTGAATCGCGTTTTAATTCCGTCTTAAATCGCTTTTGGCCCATCGGATGCGGTGTGACGACTGGAGTTTCCGTTACATCGAGCGGGTTATGTCTTTGGGGGTTTGGAGTCTTCCGCGACAGTTCTGCATCGCCGATATCGTCGTCCGAAGCCATCCAATAACTTAGAGAATCTCCTTGGGAGTCGGGGCATTTTTCACGGTTTATCACTGGGCTAATCATTCTCTTTTTGGTGGAGATCAATGTGTCGGAGGCGAGGAACTACACAAAATTCCAGCAACTTTTCAATTGTAAGAGGGATCCGACGTGCATGCTGGGGCTGTATCACTTCTTGATCCGAATGGGTATTCACCCACACACACAACACTAGTTGAATGGTGCTCGTCAGAAAATTCTGTTCCACTCGATGACCAATGACAATACTCCTTATTCCAAACGCCGTACTCCTCGCTACTCCGTCGCTCAGATAGCACCATGGTTGGAAGAAAATAATTCCTTCTGCCGCTTCTTCGAAATGTCCCTCGTTCCGACGCTCCAGGATGTATCGAAACAAAGATTTTCCTGAGTTTTAGGGGTTATCCTTCGGTCCGACCCATGGAGGAGCTACTCGAACACGAGCGATGCTTCCCAGCGAAAATTCCCCGTTCCAGGGCCGTCAGTTCTTGGATATCCACTACGAACAGGACCATGGAAGTCATACATACCCGTTCCGATAGAGGAGTAACATCTCTTCCTCGGCGTAGCGTTGGAGCTCTGATGACAGGAATATTGTTTGGCGGATGGCGGTTGTCGAGCAAGGACGAAGGATTTTCGCCCATGACTCCGGGCGCACCCATGCCTCCAAGACCCAGCATTTTCGCTCCGAGTCGGATCGGTTTCAGCAGCCAGAAGCCTGGAATCATTCAGATAAAAGCTTATCATTACCATCTATAACGTAACAAGCTTCACTTCGGTCGGAAGCCAAGGGAGATGGGACGCTTTCCGGAGGGTGTGCGCTTCAGCGAATAATCATTGAACAAGGAGTTCACTCTAATCGGAGTCGCAAAATGTACAAAGCAGCAGCTGTTAACGCGACGGTAATTAGGTCATTGTGAAAAAACAATTCCGCGGATAATCCATCGAACTCTCCGAACAGCTCATGTCGGAAGCATGGATGTCGAACAAAGCTTCGCTGTCTTTTCATAGAATTCTTCAGATTTTTCCTCGGTAGCGACGATAGCAATCTACAGATTCTTCTACTTAAATTCCTCATATATCGATGACGGATGCCGTCGCGTCGTGAGCGGAAGAATTTTAAATGATTTCGAAAGCTGATCGATGAAGGAACGAAAGTCATCGCAAGAACAGAAGGTGAAAGATCCGACCTATTCCGCAGTCGAATCTTTACAATCTGAGCCATCCTAAGCGACGGTCGGACTAGAGCCCGCAAGAGGTCAACGATCGTCGCCAACTGTCAGCGAGTGGACAGAGAAAAGAAGAAAAGAAGACCTTTCGAAGCGTTTGGAAGTTTTCTCGAAACTCGGAACAGAATGGAATTTCCTTCACTGACCGGATCCGGGGCTCACGATACCTCTTGCGAGCTTGAAGGTTCCAGGGGAGCTCACAGCATTCTGTGAGTTCGTAGACTACCACAGAAAACCGAACCTATGGAGCACAGGGGAAGACAACACGGGGGATCGATGGTGAAACTCAAGCTCCAGCAACGCAGTCCCACGGCAGCGAGAACTCAGGTGACTAGTGCAGCACAAACGGTCGTCAGACAAGCATACGGACCTCTGACACACGACGGCTGTACGTAAACATTTATTTTTTCTCCAGTAGGAGATGATGGCCGGTAATCGGCAACAGAGCAACTTTTGGCCCTCGATGAAGACAGGTGCCCACGTCACGTTTTCTCTGACGCGGGATCCGTAACTAATACGGCTCCTGAACCGCGCGATGGTACCGCACCATGCAAACGAAGGTCCGATGTGGGCGATCGGCCCCGGATCGATGAGGAGCGCGAACTACGCTTTTTCTTGTTGGCCCAAATCAACGGAAATGCCTAGCGGCGAATACGGACTTTCGTGCCGAACGTTGTGGTACGTGGATAAGCCGCAGCAAACAATTCCATCCGGAAAACGTAATTCGCGATGCTAGCCACCAAACGAATTTGTCATCCGATGGATCCCATCAACGGTCCGCGATTTCATAAGAACACACCGAGAGAGATTATCTCGTCAAATCTCCCTTCTTGAGTCGAGCAAGGATCCGCTGAGAAATCGTCCCCGACAAAAAGAGATATATAAAGATGTTTATATATAAGACGCAATTTCTTCAAAATCGATACTATCCCGATTCGCGGGGAGCTAAGGAGATTTTCAACGGAAAAAGTCATCGATGCTCAGAGAGGGATGGGGAACGTCCTTTTCACGACCGATGCGTGCTCACTGCCTGAACATGAATCACCCCCGCCTCGTTCCATGAATGAGGTGATATCAGCATGGAACGGGAGGCTAAATCTCCAAACGAGGAAGGTGGGAGACAGTAGCTACCAGGAGGAAGAATCGACCGAAATCGAATACGGAAATGTCGAGCAGACTCCCTGAAAGACGCTACGGAATCGTTCACGACTACAACAGCACGAACTAGAGCGTAACAGACCTGAGCGCAGTCCTACCACACCTAGCCTAATAACAACAAGCTTTTGAACCGCTCGCGTTCGGCAACAACCGGGGAACGGAAGGCCCGTGGTACACCCGGCCTACGAAAATGGATGTGAATATGAATATGCAAATGATCGGACAGAGTACATGCGAGAGCTTTCCTGGAACGTTTCGACGGTTTGTGTCCCGGACCCGTTCTCCTTCCGATCGAGACGGAAGTTTCACGGAACCGTTTCCCGTCCTCGTCGGGAGAATGATCTACCGAGAGACAGTCGCGGAGAACTGGAACAGAGAGACTTCCGGAACGAGACTCTCAGAAGGTTACGGTACTGCGGGGAGCTAGCTCGAAGACAAAGACCGAAACTCGACGTCACTAGATGATTTCGATGAAACCTTATCTCACTTCTGGAAATTTCGAACAAGTGACGCGACCAATAACGCACTTCTCAGCACGATGTGGAAGCAAGCTCTGACGAGCAAGGCGAACTCGTTCCACAATTTCATGATGATTTCAACAGAGCATGGGGAGACAATCTTCGAATCGATTCAGCATCGAATCACCATCCAGAGCGATGCCGAAATCGCACATGAGGGACGAATAACAATACGGTACCGTTAGATATCAGCCGAGAGACCAGGCTTCGATTCCCAGGCGAAAATTTACGACCCCGGTTGAGTCAGTAGCTTTTCTCCCACGAGCAACAGGTATTCCCGTGGTGGTCACCGAGAGCAACAGATCTCCACTTTCAACGGGTAATCAACTCGGGTTGGTCTCCTAACACTCTTATGGATCCGGCGAAACTTCACTCTGATCGATGTCATCTAGCACGTGCCCGAAATCACTCTTCGGCGATACTCAATGTAGACTTAAATCATCGAGCCTTGACATCCCGAGACGAATTTAATCCGTCTCCTCGGTTCCATACGATCAACTATAAGCCCGAGAATCTTGTTCACTTAGCTACGTAGCGGACGGGACACCGTAGCGCTGAATCTTTTCACCGAACTCACCAGCTGCCTATGGCCACCGGCTTCTGGGTCAGTCCACCGTGAACATAAAAACACAACGAAGAACTTTGAAGTTAACCCGGGGTCCACTCGGCGTCACGTCTCGAACATTAAAGATCCCTGTATCGCCGGACCACGAGTCCGTCACTCCGGCCACTCGCAAAACACTGTGTATGATCTACAAATCGACTTTTGAGGCACGAATCGAGATGCAGCGAACAACTTCCACAAATCAACTGTCACAGAGCAGGTCTATCTTCTTTTTGCCAGAGCTCAACGGGCGCAACAACTTTGCTCCACGTAGAAGCCTTTACGGCAGCTCCGCGAGCACCGGGATCGATTGTTCGGAAATGTGACTTGAATTCCTCAGGGAAACACATCCTCCCATCCACCCCGCTCCGAAAATGCCGAATTCGAGAAATTCCGGCCGGCAGGCTTTTTTCCCCCGCCTGGAAGGAGTTCGCTGGGGATCTCGTTCCGCGCGCGGACTGTGACGCGGTTCCTGGACCAGGCAGTCTGTTTATTCGAGAGCTCCAGATGAGACACGGCAACCGTTTGCAGTGATGTGACGTGGCTAATATATACGAGGATCCTTTTTTAGGTGAGAATATCACATATGTGAGGAGTCTGAGGCGTCCGTAGAGCTGCTGCAGGGTTGCATTCTATTTTGCGCGCGGATGAGGGAGGTCAGGTGCACTGTACGTGTCGCGTTCCGAACGACTCCAATGTGCGCGGAAATCCATTGGCAGAATGTTCTTTTCCCCCTTAGAAGGCTCTAAGTGCCTAATGAGCACCTCTTCGTCGTTTCCTCGTACCCCCCTCCAACCAGGGATCAATTGTAACGGCGTAGGGTCTACTTCGAGTCCAAAGCATGACTCTGTTCCATTTGGTGTCAAACGTGCGACCTGTCAAACGCCAAATCGGGGCTCTCTCGAAGGATGGAAGCTTTGTCCCGCAGTGACTCCATGGGAATGAATTCATCCTTCCGCATCGTGATTCCGTCGTAGAAACCCTCCCAAGATTGAAATCGAGCGTCGTCGCACCGAGCTCGACGCGCCGTGTGTTCGAGCCCCTCAACATCGGCTATTGCGAAACGTTGCCCGGTTGAGAACGCCGTAGCGGAGACCTGCCGGAGTGGAAAACGTCCGCCTCCTGAAGCAGATTCTTGTCCCACAGATAAAGTTGGCTTCAGAGCAGCACAATGTCCGAGAAAGCGGCGGAGCCTTTGGCTCCTCGGAAAGACCCTGTTCAGACGGCGGCTGTAGTTGATGAGCTGAACGCGGAGATCGGTGGGGACATGAGGCAGATTTCGAGAGCGAAACAGTACCATGAGAGTCTGCAAGCGAAAAAGAAGAGTCTCGAGCTCAAGGTGAGGAAGTAGGTCCCGACTCTACGCAGGACTCCGTGAACATTTCTGCTTTGCTTGAGTCGGGTCTCGAGGAAACCGAAATCCCTGCGAGAAATTCCGCATGCTTCCCTTCCCGGCGTAAAATGACTGATTTTCGGACGAGACCTTTCTAATCCTTCCGCAGATGCGACAAGTTAAGGAGAACGGACAGGCTGATCCCGAGCAAGTGAAAGGATTGCTGAACTTCGCGAGAGACTCCTTGGCGAAGATGGAGCTGCTGGAGGACGTTCACTGCCGAATTTTGAACGATGTGTCGACGCACCTCGAAAGCGCAAGTCAAGTCAAACAGGAGTTTGACACCTCCCTGGCTGACATACAGCGTTTATTGAGGTTACGGCAATATCTACAGTGGATAGCCAAGCTCGAGGACATCAGGTATGCGCCGGGCCCAACGAGGCACTATTTTCCGTGAAATCCTCCCCCGCCCAGCCTCACGATTCCAGCTTCCGCCCGGAGGACGCTCTGACGATGTTTCTTCGTTTGCAGTCAATATATCGAAGAGGCCGTCGAACGGGCCGATGACGGTTCCGCGATAGCTCACTTAGCGCTTCTGGTAGACGCGTGGTTGAAATTGAAAACTTCGGAATGCCATCATTTGATGTCTTTCCTCAAGAAGACGATCATCTATTGGCAGAATCTCCTGAAAGAAAAATTCGAAAAGTGAGTCGATCGGCGGATATTCTTCTCATCCGGCTCCTCATTCGTATCATCGAGTCGCTGAGCGTAACGATTGTTCCTTCTCTCCAGAGAGTTCGATCGAGTCCTTTCGTCGCTCGGATGGCCTCTGATCAACTCAACGGTAGCCGCGAACCTGAGCTGCACCCCAGATACGTTCGCCATGTTCGAAACAGCTTTCCTGAACCTCTACAAAATTCAACTGCCGCACGAACTTCTCATGCAAGAAAATCAAGCACCTTCAGCTAACGGGACATTGTTGCCCATCGAGATGATGGTGAAACCGCTGAAAAAGAGATTCCTGTTCCATTTCGTTAGCAAACGCCAGACGAATCGGGTGGACAAACCCGAGTGGTACCTCACCCAAACCCTAACTTGGATCCAGGATCATTCTGTGTAAGCGAGCCAGAACCGAAAACCGGCATATGTTGAGCCAAGTTTTTCCATCCTGAGGAGTGAAAACGGAAGCGCTAACGAGGTACTCTATCCGTGCAACTAGGTTTTGTGAAAAATTCGTGCAACCGATTTTAGCGAAGCACAATATCGAAGGAATCCACGCTACGGTCAGTGCAGCTTCCAACACAATCGGGGGTGTCACGCTAGAGATATTTCCTCGGAGTATCCCGGAAAAAAATCCCTACTCACAGCACGCGCTAAGTTTCTTCCGATTTACAGCTGGAGCTGATGCGGAGTTTAGTTCAAACTGCGATTGCCAAACTGGAAGTTGATCTCCCGTTGCTACTGGCGGAAGACAATGAGCTGCTGTTGACCCATACAATAGAGGAGGTCCTTCTGTTCCACGCTGAGCTCAGGAATTTCGGTTATCCCGCGCAGTTCCCTTGTATATTGAACGCTCTCACCACGGATAGATGTTTCATCAGGTGGATCGCTCTCGAGAAGAAGTGTGAGTCCCTTCTTTGTGTTTGTTGCTTCCGGCGAAAATCTTCCCTCGGTATCTTGATTCCCCTGAGCTCAAGGCGGGCCTCCATGTGACGATTGACCTTGATTTCCAGTTGCCGATGAGAAACGCGACAAGCTTCTGAGTTCCCCTTCGGCGTGGACCTGCCCTTACTCGCTAGAATCAGACATCGAGTCGGATCTAGAGGACACGCTGAAGGTGCCCGAGTGTGCCGAGGGCTTCATGATGTTACTGAGCTCAATGACTGAGCGCTATCGCCACCTGGAGAATCCGGAACATGCCTTAAAGTTTTTATCGCTACAGCAAATTCTCTTAGAAGACTTCAGAGTGTGTCTGCTACAGATTTTCAACTCGAGGATGGAAGGCGGCAGTCTGTACGACGTCTGTCCGATACTGAACGCCGCTCACTACGTCGTGTTCGTGCTCAATGAATGGAGCAATCAACCCTTCTTCATTAATCTTCTCGAAGTTTGTAACAAATTGGAACGACGTCGAGCTTCCACCCAGCAGAGTTTATGTTCGAGCGACGTCACTGAACCGACGTCGCCAGACTCCGACACGCCTTCAACCGTAGTCAACGCCAATCAGGCTTCGACGGAAGAAAGCGTCTTCGAACAGGTATTTACGGAGAATCTGCGCCTGGGACGAAGGTCCTCGATGACAACAATTATAATAATAATATGCTCAGATGCGTCGATTCCACCACGACCTGATTCCGGATTTAACTGAAGAGGCCTTCATACTTTCTCGTTTAGGTTACGGATCTCTTGGAGAAATTGTACAAGGATGCGATCTTGACAATGGTCGACTGTTTACTGTCCGACATAAAGATCAAATGTCGGGCCTATCACCGAGAAAAGTAGGTTCCTTTCGTCAGATTTAGACACGAGCTCGGGGTGCCGTCGGGCTCCTCGGAAACCTTCTGAAATGCGTCGAAATTCCGTCGTATTGTTCCGGTGAATCATAATTGTCATCCCGCAGATGGTTCTGTATGCCGGCGGCCACCCGGGACGAACCCCTAGCATTGACTCCAACGGCGTTTCCGATGCTGTCTCTTCTCCAATGTCATCTGTCGCGTCTGCACGCGGCACTGGCCGCACCTCTCTTCGCGATGCTCTGGCAGGGTTTGGCGCGAGGCTTGTCGTTGTACATCTACGAGGACATAATACTGGAAAACTATTTCTCGGAGGGGGGCGCCCAACAATTGGGTTTCGATCTCGAACGGAATCTGTTCCCCCTGTTCAGTCCGTATTCAGAAACGCCGGAGAACTTCTTCAAAGAAGTCAAAGAAGCCTGTACTCTCTTGAATATGCCGCGTGCTGTCGCATGGATCCTCCAAGAAACGTTGAAATCTGCTAGATTGACCGACGTTGTTCAGGTAAATGCCGTTTTGCGAGCCCAGAATCAGACTCTCGACTGGAATGCCTGCCCGGGAGCTCGCTAGTGTTTCCGACGGAAGCTAAGACCTATTTTCGGATTATTTGCAGGGGAGCGCTGCCCTCGAAGAACAAGGAGTTTTCAATTTGTCTCCGTCACAAGCGATGCATGTTTTATCGAAACGCAATGATCTCTCATCGACGTCGGCTTAGAGCGTCGACTACGTGCGACGGTGCGGAGTTGTCCAAAAAAAGTTGAATGAGCTGAAAGTGATTTTTATTTTATTTCAATCGTTGAATCATAGGCGTTATTTAATTCCAATCGAAAAATGGATTTAACTAAGAACAGAGGGTTTCATATGTGAATTTCCTCGGTTGATTAGCTTCCTTAGTGGTGTGTTTCGATTGATAGCGACGAGGCGAGCCAGAGATTGTCGGAGTCGGTGTTATTGAGGAATCGTTGAAGCTTCTCTCGATAACGACTCTCGATAACGACGAGAGATTTTGTTGTGAAGTTTTCGTGATGAAAGTACCAATCCAGCCATGAGCTCGAAATATATATTCTTTCCGGTAGCGTACTTCGCTTGACATATTTAGGTGAAATCTCAGTTACGAACACAAATAATCGCAGAGAGGCTCAGATACATTCCGACTGAGGTGGTGAGGGGGAAATGCCAACCGTTATTGTTCCTGAGTTCCATGAATTATTAATTTTATCCTCGAGTGAGCAGCTGAGGATGATTGACTCATAGAAGGAGTTACGACGCGGGCGGTACGAATGATTTGAATGACCGAGAGTAACCGTATGATCCGTTTGGTTGATGAGAGGATTGGTACAATGATTGATCGACGAACGCCGGCAGCCGGTCGCTCCTCGCGACGGTTTTGGAAAGTCGCTATCCGAGACGACTACGATGTATTAGAACCAGGTGACTGCGGTCGGTTAGAGCAAGCACATAGCGTCGGACGATTCAAAGTGTTGATGTCTGCCAATGTTAACCGCCTACTCGTGGTTGTAGATTGTAAATAAAAGAGTCACGGAGATACGTTGAGGTCGTCCCTGAGAATTTCAGGTGGTTCGTTAGTCCATCGCTCGAAGGGTGAGCTGGAAGTCTGCGTTGGTCGAGGAATTCTCCCTTGACTCGAGTGACCGAATCGACTCGAACGATAATACCCGAATCGGCCTGGAACGTCGGAGAGGTTCCGAGCTACAGGAGCTTGGGTTGGGTCGTCGTCCGGTACCGACAGTGCCTAGGGCGGAACCGGAAAAATCACAGTCTATCGAAAATTGGCCGGGTCGAGGGGAATCTAGGGAGCTGGCTCCAGTGAGGAATTCGTAGTACTAGGGGATATAGGTTGGAGAATCTCATCTCTACCGGTCGTGTGTCGGAACACGTATATTGGTACTGTTGATTGTGTTTCCTTCGCACGCTTTCGCGAGTCCGGGGGTGCTCGAAGGGTTGCATGCTGCACCATTGTTGGCCGCGCCGATTTGTTGCACAGCGCTCCGAGCATCGCCACAATACCGAACATCACAGCGCGGAATCGCAACGGGAGACTAAGTTCGCGTGGGAGGAGTAACAGGAGACTGTAGTATCGATTCCGCTCCCTCTGAGCGAGTCGCGCAGCTCATACGGATGACACGGTTCGGAGTTTAGAAGATGATGGAGAGCAAAACTTCGTTTTTCAGATTCGGAAAATAAAACCGCAGAGGCTGGAGGAAAGCAGGAGATTCGTTCAGTCTTCTGGTCCCCTGAAACTTGATATGCTCCGAGTTCTTGTTCGGAATGCTCTTGAGAGGAGAAACCGCTGACGCGATATTCACTTGACGAAGGGGCCCCAGCTCCAACGTCAGTCATCTCTGATCGGAACACGAAGTTCGGCGTCCGTGAGAGGCCGCGACAACGTGGCACGATCAACGTCCGCCATTACGAGTTGGCTCCCTCGGCGCGATCCGTTGTTCTTAGATCGGGGAAGTTCGGGAGGGATCATCTCATTTTGGAATGTGAGTTAAAATCATTCGAAATTCCTCCTCGGTCAGCTTCGAAACCCATTCTCGACAGCTCAGATCATCAGCCGTCGGGATGGAATCCCCTCGAGCACGCTCTCCGAATGGGGGAAGATTTGATCCGTCGAAGCGGTATTCCGACGCGGTCAATTTCCGCCGTCCCTGATATTTATGGGGATTGCCGGAAAGTGGACCGATCGTCTTGTCCTTGAGCTTTCGATCCGGGCGGGTATTACCCTCAATCTCGTTCATATAGGTGGGGTGGTTTGAACAAAGCAGCAGCTGCCAGTCTCACGAGGCAGCAAGAACGGTTCTGCTCATCCATCAAAGATATCGACGACAAAGATCAAGGATGGGGAGAACTTGCTGAGCGGGAAGAGTCAACAGAGGTTAGTTCCCTGAATTCTTTCCCGATTCGCTTCGATCGAGAGATACACTAATGGGGGTATAAGTTTCCTATCATCCACACAGGTCGGCTGGGGAAAGTCGAACGGCGCGACTCCCCGATCATCGAATACCGGCTGGGGCAATAAAAACACGACTTTTGCATTGCGAGGTTGGGGCGCAAAGCGAACCCCAGCACCCTCGCCAGATTTGAATTCAAAATCGGGAGGTCAGACACAACTGATAGAGACGGTCGAGCCGAGGTCTCCCGACCTTACTTTACCGAAGAGTATCGATCCACAGATGGTCAACGGTGAGACTCGTGCTGAAAGAATGAGGTTCAGCTCATCGACGATTGAGAAGTGTCTACCCCCTCATTTGTCTCTTAGGGCTCGCGGGGCCCAGCAAAAAAACCTAGATCTCGATCATTCTTTTCCAGGTCGGGGTAGCCAGCAACCCGTTGCAGGGAACGCGAAGACCAGTGTTCCTCATGTGATCAAACAACACATAGCTCTCACCGCCGGCCGCTTGCAAAAGAATACACCAGGTACGCTGAGAATCATGAAATCGAATTCCTTCACTCGGCCGCAATGAACACGAGTTGTCAGGATTCCGTACGAGCGAATTCCCCGCTGTACTTGTCGGGTCCTGATTCTCGTTTTTCGAACAGCCATCTCATCACAAAGCGCCACGGTCGATCCGGCATGGACCGTGCAGCGTCCTCCGAGTTCGACAGGAACGGAGCGCCATTCTGGACGAGTTGAAACCGGCATGAAGGGTAAGATGCTCCGAATCTTCGCAGACCGAATGTTCTCATGATGAGCTCGAGGATTCTCCGCTCCGCTCTCGTTTTCACTTGTGAAAATTCCTCTTTGCTGCCAAGGATTCCCCGATACCTACAATTTACCAGCTTCCCGTGGTAATGGCATCCGAATAGGGAGTGCGCAGTCAAAGCCTCTCCTCAATGGTCAGAAATCTTTTTCGGATTCTCTGCAACCGATTCGACCAGTTTATGACTCGACGATGATCTAATCCTCCGTATACTGTCAGGTCGGAGTCCTCCCGTGCCTCCTCTACAGACGCAAACTGGGATGACCCGCTTAACAGAAGCCCAGACTGCGGTACGAGGGACTTCGGCAAGCCCGACGCGAGCGACTGTGTCGCCCCCGAAGGCAGCTGTGGACACTTCGGCCTCAAGTGTCGCATATCCGCATCATAGGCTGGGAAGCCCAGTCGTTCGGCAACGAGTACCACCGAAGGCTCCGGCGCCAAAACCCGATATCATGGCAATGAGAGAGAATCCGAACATCCACACGAGAAATCGCGTCAGGGATGCGGAGTGCGTAGTTTCGAGAATTGGGACGCCGAAACGTCGACGTCGGAAACCGACACCGATCGGTCGAGGGACTCACCGTTCGAGTCTCCCCCCGACCGTCCTTGCTCGCTGATGACGCTATTTCCTTCCAGTATATTACCTCGATCTTCGCATCCGGGGTCTCGGTCCGTAGAGCACAACCGCATCGATATGTTTGTCGTCGTCAGAAGACAGTGCGAGCGATTCGCAGAACTAATTGCTCTTCTGAAAGACAACCGGCACCGGTCACCTACGTTATTGATCGTGGAAAGATCGAGGACGGACCCTTTGTTATTGAGCGCCGTACTCTGCTTGGCTGGTCTACCGACGTCTTCGACGAGCGTCCAAGGAATTCCAGATTCTAAAATGATAAGGGTCATTTGTTCTGATGAGATCGAGACGAATAAGGACTCGGCGCAGATGATTGTCAATGTTGATATGGTGGACACATTGGATCAAATCGGCGGGAGGATGAAGCTCTTGGACAGCAGCGGTGAGTTTCTTTTAATTCCGGAGAGCGAAGACTGTGTTTTCTCGACTCTTCTTGGCATCGCTGCATATGTCCGACAATGAATCCTCTTATCGAGCAGGAGTGATGAAAACTCTTCTTCTTGCTGTGGAAGACGCGGGACGAGCGTCCAATTTGGCGAAAATGTTTTGGAACTGCGGTCTGCCCGTGCCTCGGCAGATAAGGAGCTTCCTCGGCCCGGTGAGAATTCCATCTTTTGATTTTATCCGCGACCTACGACGCTTCTGGACGAGTTTGCCATGACTCCGAGAGAACTCTCGATTTCACCTTCCAGGAATTTCAGTGAATCGCCGGACTCGGATACCTACATTATCAAGCGGCGGTGGTGTGGATGGATACAAAGTCGAGGGCATCGGCTTCGGATGAGATTTGATTTGGTGGAATAAATAAGTATGTCCTAGTTGTTAATGTATGAAGAAGATGTTCCCTCGTGGGCCGTATGTCCGATAGTCGATTTCTCTCCGTTATGATTTGTTTCCCAAGCATTTTCCTGTAGATGGACCTTGGCATATTTGTACAGAAGATACTCTGGACGTGAACCTTATGTTCGAGATATGATCATTTATCCGAGCATCAGAGAGTCCATTTAGCCGAGTCTCAATAAAATATAATATTATATATCCTCGACTCGCGAGTTCTCGTTTCCGCTGTGCGGCAAGATACGGCAGGTGGCTGCTTCCCCAATGCCTGAAACCTAATGCCACGAATCTTGTGGGTGGAGATGCCAGGTTGAGTTAGAAGCAATCATCTCTTCGCCTCCCTATAGAATTCCGTCGATACTCGCGCCACGATGAGCGGCCGAATTCGGAACCTGCTTATACTGACACTTCAATCCCGACTCAGTGATGAGTGATGACGATTAGAGTCGGCCTCCATTCCGACGATGCGCTGTGACCATCAGACAACATCATAGGCTCTTGGATTTCAAAGGTCGTTTATATTAACTTGAACATGAAGGGGCACCTCAGCTTGGTGCAAGGCCTTTTCAGTTCATTCCGACATGGAAGTCAGTGTTGACCAATTCAGATGAGAAGATTGACAGGAGCGAGTATCTAACAAATCAACAATTGTGGAAAGCCTGAGAACTTCTCCGACGTTTACAAACCGCGATCAGATGTGAATTCACAGTATCAAACTGAACATACTCATTCAGCTCCCAGCTACAGATACAACCAAAAAAGTCGATCCCTGTCTGGGGATGAAGAAACGAACCAACGGGGGAAATGATGAGAGAGAAACTTTAATGTAATGAAAAGTCCCGGAGGGATGCTAGGGTTCCTCGGAAGAGCCTTGGGGTCGCTCCGAGTTCTGGCTCACGGCAGTCAAACGATGTACGACTCCAGCTCGAAGGGCATCCCCAATCCACACTTGAACGAAGCGGAGACAATCGCGCGGCATTTATTCTTATCGAACTCTTCCATGAAGAGAGTCTTCATCCTCCCTAGGGTGCATGAAATCTGTGTTAAACGACGTTGTCATTCAGGACCTCGATATGCTTTCATACGATTCCATTCCCATCAGAAATCGGAGGCGGCAACTCACCCTCATTCCTCAAGAGTTCGCCTCGGCCGGCCAATTCGGCCAGAGACGACACCATGTCGACATTGATCACAACGTCCACGGGACCGCGCACTTTCCGCAAGTCCCGAGCCCTGACAACCTGCACGAGCGTAGCCGACTTCCCCGACATCTCCGCCGCAACATTCGACAAACACAGCAGTGCTGTCATGAGAACGATGTCGGTCTCGTTCACCACGACAATTACTTTCTGAATTGTCGGAACCTTCTTCACGAGCTCTACGCATTTAGCGAATTTCGCTCGAAGAGAATCCACTTTGATGAAAGTCGTCAGACTGTCGCAATCGCTATCGTGGCTCACGAAGGAATCTAGAAAGGATGAGCGTTATCGATATTCAAGCACCCGAAGAATGAATTGCGGAAATCGATTAAGACTTCGCCACCCTAAGGTCAATTCTGACTTCGCCTGCCGTGAATCGAATCAGACTGAGCCCATCGATCGACTATTTCATAGGCTAAGACGACAAACCGTCGGGATCCATTTTCGTTGAATCTTCCCCACCGTCTTGCGTGGGAAGAGCACGATCCTCTTCCATTGTCTCCGCTGCGGGGCTCTTCCTCGGAGGTGAAACGGACCCCACATAACAGTCATAGGGCTGCTCACCGCGTTCCTGCGGAATGCGGTAAAATATTAGAATCCAAAGACCAAGCAGTCGGGGGCGCTCAGTAGCGCTGGAATGTGCTGTCCGCGATCTATTCGAGCAGCGCATCTAGCGTGTTGCGAGTCGCATCCTCACCTCGGTATCTGTCTGCCAGGTGTGCTCCGCGTCGTCGTCTTGGAAATCCGTGTCGAGATTGCAGTCGACGAAACCATGATCGACGATTACCTCTCTGACTTTAGATCTCGGCGAAATTACGGAGGAGTCTACGCATTTGTTCGGCTGGTTTCGGCTGCGGATAGCGGAGAGTAGGAGGCGGGTTCCAGCAAAAAAACGTCCAAGACATTCGATACCCCATCATGGATTTCACTTTCAGTGACAAGCTCGGTCGAAAAACTCACAAGACTGTTGTGAAACCAAGCATGATTCTTCAGCACGAATTCTTCACTAGAGATGATTGGCAAAAGAGATAACCGAATCGGAGAGACTGGAAAATCGTGGCGTGTTTCAAGCAGACACCCTCACCATATTCCATGCTTATCCAAGGTCATTCCTCAATATGACCATGCTATGTCGGGATAAAATCACGGATAACTTCTAGGGACCGATTCGAGAAACAGCGCAAGTTCCAGCAAAAATGAGCCACACAAAGCAGCGGACACACCATGCTTACCGATTCCGATCTATATCGAGGACGAATTTCACCGATCGTGGACGTTTTCCCGAGGTCAATGAGCGAGCGACGAAGCGCGACTGAGCCGTAATTCGAAGGAAATCGCACACATCCCGTCCAAAGTTGCGTACATCGGGTGGAAATAAGAGCGTCAGTGATTTCCAAACGGAGAAACAACTGCCGCCGGAATTCCCCTCCCAACCGAATCCACCACTGAATGAGAATATTCAGCGCGATGGATGTCGGTCGACCGAGTTTCGTGAATTCGTGTCGAATTCTCACTTCTCAATCCAACGGTCTTTGAGAAAGTTCGCGCCAGTCTGCCTTTTTCAAAAATGGCGCCATCTCTGCTCCGGAAGTGACTTTCTGTTTACATCGCGACCCAAACCTTCTCCTACAACTCCGGTCCTCACGTGGACTAGACACGGCGCGTGTTTGAGCTTCAATGCATGAACTTTCCGGCGGGCAGACCTGGAGGAATACTGCCGGAAATGGCTGACACTACCATGCAACAGAACAACAGAGGTCGACCACGGAGGGGCCGGGGTACTCGGCGGCCGAATCGATTGTAAGATTATTAGTTCTTCTTATCTCGGTCTCTCTCCGTCTCTATCATTGCCCAGGTAGTGCCTGTGGATGGTTATGAGGGAATCCGTCCATGCCAGTTTTCCGTTCGACATCGGTTGCGAGTTGCCAGCTCGCATAGTGTCGAAGAGTGTTCGGTAGCAGTCGTGCAGTCAAGAAGTCCCGAGCCCGGGCTTGAGTGATCATCATCTGGGCCAGAGGGGGATAAAGTTTCGAGCGCGGAAATGGGATTCGATGTGCGACTGCATGCCTGGATAATATTTTATTCTCTGTCTCTCGCATTCTCAGGAGAAGCAATGGACCACCACAAGACCGGCGTCATTTCCCAGGGAGAAGTAGACCTCTCCCTCTGCAGAGACGAGCTGACACTTATCCGTATATTGAACATCCGACTGAGCACCCCTTCCCTCCGCCGTATGGAGACCCACCCCCGTGAGAGAATTCGAAACTATTGAAATTGGGAATATTCGTCCTGTGTTCTGAGTTTACCCTCCTTACCTGAAACTCGCGCTAAGTTTTGAGTATGTGAATGATTCAAGGCGGTATTCTGCGTCTTGGTCCTGGTGGAATCCCATTAGTAAAGAGGAGATTTTGCGCACATTCCATCCTCGCGAATGTAGTGCTTGCGGAACATTCTCTCCTGATCCGTGGGCTGTAATCGTGCACTACTGTTCGATGGAGCACTATAAGAATTACCTGAAATCTATCAACGATCCGAGCGGCGAAAAGGTGGGAATGCAACGAGAATGCGTATATCTCATTCAGAAATTCCATGTTTTCTCTCAAGCCTGTGATGGGGAGCCGAAGGCTCTCGTTGAACGAAAGGGAACCCCTCATGCGGATTCCTTTTTTTCAGGGGTTTCGATGCGAAGCTTGTCAAATTGACGTCTTCAGGAGGCTGGACGTCAATAATCACTTCCAGAGTTCGAAGCACCGATCAACCCTGCTGAACCTCAGAAGAGACCTCAAATCAGCTGGTTTCGCAGTACCTCAGGAAGAAGAGGGCCCGTGAGTGATCAGATTTCCTTCGCTGAGATCGCAGCCGCCTGGTCCAGTTTCTGATCGAAAACTCGAAATTCCAGGCCCGAACCCCGTCTTTCGAAAACCCCGTCGAGAGCTGCATCGACAGAGGACCAAGCCGTCGAGGATGCACAACCGCCAGAGAGTCGTAAGGAGCCACAATCTGTAGATGGCGGGGGTTCGAGGAAAGAGACTAACCGTCAGAAATCACGATGCGTGGCAAGATTCTAATGAACGAGAATATTTCCAGAGTCGAGGATCGAGACTAGCACTCCAAAGAACGAGCGGGTACCCTCGAGGAGCGACGAGCATCGATCAGATGAAGACAAGAATTCCAAGAAACACCAGTATTTCTTGAGCTCGGAGGAAGGTTAGCATTTTAGCATCGACCTCGGGAAGAGGAGAGCTCGCCGTATTTTCCGTATATCGATTCTTGGTCGCGGTGCGAGCGGGACTCGGCGGTTCCGGCGAGACATCTCGAGACTCTAGACTCAAGACAGAACTCTTAGAGTTGATTGTTTCGAAGACGAGTGACATCTGAGGATCAAGCCGGCCCTTAGCGTCGTGGAGCCGCCGGGAATCGATTGAATGCTCCGGGAACATGGTTGCTCTGACGCTATGGATTGGCTCTTACCACGAGTTCCTCCACTGACGGCTCTTACGGTATGCAAAACTCTCCGTATTCCAGAACAGAGTGACGACGAGAACTTGAACGCCGAGAGCCAGCAAGCGACACCTTCTAAATCGAGAGCAGAAGCCAACTGCAAACCGAAAGTGCTTGTCATCAGTGCAAAAAGTCTCGTCGACAAGCGAAAAGCCATAATTTCCAAGCTCAGCAATTGTACGGACGTGTAAGTCGGCAACTTTTGAACTCAGTTCCCTCGATTCGCCCGCCCAGGGTGCTGCCGATCGGAGAGAACTGATTTCTTTCTTCTTATTTTTAGACGCGATCTCACGAAGCATCTCCGGCAGATCAGTGGGAGCAGGTCGGAGGAAAAATCCGCCCGGAAAGCTCTGCCGGGGGTCCCATACTCTGACCGGGAGATCGAGCAGCAGGAAACTTTCGGTGAAGCTCGAGCTCAACGGGTAAGAAGACCTCACATGGAGGCGAGCTGAAATTCCACCGCCCCTTGAAATATTCCTGAGATTTAGGGAGACGAGGGAGTCGCGCATCTGTCTGACGTATTTGTTTCCGGATGCCAGACTCAAACTGATAAGTTGGAGCTGGGGGCGGACGACGACAGCAGCGACTGTCCTCCTGTCGTGAAGAAAGAATCTCGAAGCGCAGCCAGCAAAGCTCCGCGAACTCCCCAGCGCAGAGACGATGTCGCCGAAGAATGCACGGTCGTGCCGACGCCCGCTCAGCCGTAAGTATCGTCCAGCGCGATTCGATCCATATAGATGCAATACGGAAACTACGGATCAACAGTCACGAATGTCGCGATCTCCGACTAACGCCTGCTCGAATTTCAGACCCCCCGAGACGATCTCCGACACGGACACCGATGACCAGGAGTCACCTCAGCGGCGACCAACCTCGTCGGTGAATTCATTTGAGTCGCTCAAGTCCCAAGTCCATCCGAACGAATTTGGGAAATTAGCCGCAGTCGTTGCGCAGGAAGTCGCTCTCGTCGAGAAGCTGCGCTATTTGGGTCAGACTCTACCGTGTATAGAGGCTCTGCTGGCTCAAATGAGGCAGGAGCACCAAGACGCTCAAACGCAGATCGGGTTACTGAGAACAGCAAAGAATCGCCTCATCGCGGCCATCACCCAAGGTCAGTGCTCACCTCCGGATGGAGGTCTCCGGTTGTGAGCGTAGGTCCGCGGAAGCAGAGCATCGAGATTCTGGCAATCGATGACAATTCTTCTTTTCCCTGCCTCAGGACCACCCGCGCCTCAGAGTTTGGATGTTTTCAATCCGAACTCGATACTGAATACGATTCTGCAACCGTCAATATCCACTGGTCTCGGAAGCATGCCGTGGTCTACGACGAGCTCCAACGCGAACTTCTCGACTTTCCTCCACAGCCTCGGGCTTCCGGAAAGCGCCATGTCCCCTCGGATATCCTCTGCTTTCGGAGTGCCGAACGGCAATAGCTCATTGAACAGCAGTCTCGCAGAGACCGTTGCTAGCACCAGCGTCCAAGCTCCGTGCACACCTTGTGGCACAAATGATAAGAAAAGAACCGCCTCTCGGGATTCGCGTTGTAATGAATCGAAACGGAGCAAAAACGCGGAGTTCGACGAACAGCTCCACAGCGAAATTGTCCTCGTAGTCAAACTCAGCGAGAGCTACGTCTACACGAGCAGTAAGGATGGCATCGTGAAGCGAACCCCCCTCCAAGACGGAGCCGGAGCAGTGGTCTCCTACAAACATTGGTGAGTCTGGACATTGGAGGGAGTCTTTCGGAATTCCGAGAACGATCGGGATCGGAACGAAACCCTATCGGAAGATAGTCTCTAACGAATCGTCCGGCATCTCTTCCGCAGTGCCAGCGATTCGAATTCGAAACTGCCTACGGTGTGCGCGTACATGCTCGAAGTCGTTGTGCACAAAAAGCTCAAAAGCGTCAAAGTGATCACCGGCTCGAATGATTGCGCGATTCGAGTTTTCGACGCAGTCAGTGGTAACCTCATGAAAGTTGTGCCGGTTCAAGCAAGAGTGCAATGTGGGCTAGTTCATTGGCAGAAAATATACGTCGGGCTGAAGAGCGGTGAGTGTCCCGCATCGGGAACAAGATCTAAGCCTCTGACGGCTCTATTGATCGACCCCAGGAATTATTGATACGGAGAGTTGTCATGCAGTCAGTGAAAAATGGGGAGACAGCGTCCCGAAGGATTTAGGCGAACGCCTCTCTACTTGCAGGCTACATCCAGGTGTACAATATAGTCGACCAGCGGTATATCGTCGAATCGCAACATAAACAGGTTCCGAAACTAATGGCCGTTAATGAGATTCTGAATTCGAAATCGATTGTCATCGTCACCGAAGAGAACTCCGTCTTGATCCGCGACGCTGGAACGTTGTTTGTTTTGCACGCCATCGATCGATTGGATCAGGAAGTGAAGGCTTTAATGGTCAAAGATGATCATATTTTGTTGTGCGGCAAGGACAAGCTCTACGTGTTTGACAAGGTAAGAGTTCTGAGCGTGAGGATCGTGTAGCACTTCAGCGGTCGAATTCTGCATCGATCGAGCTTCTCGGACGACAGTGGGGTTCTGCAAAGAGTAATCTAATTCTTGTTCGGAACGCGATCGATGGAATTTGTCGGCCTTTCTGAACCATCGGAGCGGAGGCTCAAAATCGCGTCTGATCGATCTTTTTTCGAACTCCCTATTCGCGCAGAATAGTGAAATATTCATCGTTACTCCTGACATATTAATCTTCGAGAAATTCCCTTATCTATTGCAGAACGCCAAGCTGAGCCTCACCGTGGACCTGTCGAGCAGCGTGTACTGCGCAGTTCCCATGAAGAGTGGAGCGCTTTTTGCAACGACCGAGGGGTGTCTGCGGAGCTGTAAATGGAAAGGATTCTTCGTGGGCAACGAAATCGTGCAAAACACGATCGCCTTCTCGAGAGATATCCGGGCGATCGTCACGTCCATGGACGGCTCGGATGCGAAGTCCACTGTCGCATTGGCCACCGATTGTGGACGCGTGATTGTTTTGAGGCTGACGAGCAGAAGTTGTTGAGCATATAGGAATAAAATTAAGATTGCGGGAACGATTTGCACTCATTGAATCCTCGGTCGCCCATGGCCTATTCAGCTGAAGTGAATCAGAGCGATCTTCACCGGCTAGCTCTGAATGTCTCCTCGAAAATATATCATCGCTTCGTGATCGCCCGATGGACTGCGTACGCTCAATTCAGGTCAGAGATAGAACGGCACACAGAACTCCGATCCGGAGCTGGTCTTCGATCGAGATGCCACGACAAAATGCCGTCGGCTAAGTCATGGAGAACTGTCCCTCGTACCACGCAGCAAGGCGTCTTCTTGAATGAATCTTCATGAATCTTTCGTTGACCGGTTCAGAAGGAACTTGGCTGGACTAGTGGGAACGGGCAAATCTCAAGCGAGCAAGGCGAGATCCGCCAGGTCTTCGAGTGCGGCGTCTCTTCGCGGGGGGCGGTCACGAGCTCGCAGGCAAACAGTGGGAGCGGCCTTCCTCAGACAGGAACCCACGTGGCACAGGGAGAGCGTATACCACTAGACTTTCCTTTCTCGAAACAGTCTGACAAGGAACTTTGCCCGATATGAACCCCTGGACGGCTCGGTAATGTTCCCCCGAGCACGAACAACGGAGAGTACGCGGAAGATGATTTGGAAAACAATCCAAGAACGCTCCTGTAGGATACTTGGTACTTTATGTACAGGTACCACCGTTCTCGGATGGAATCCTCGGACACGATCTACGATCCTAGCAGAGCCGGAAATTTTTCAAAGAATTCCAGTTGGAGAGATGTAATTGCGTGAAATCTTGTACGGTCGCTGGGAAGTGCCACGAACGCAACATCTCCTCCCGTCTTGAGATGTAGGAGATGACATGTCGGAGTTCACGCTTTTCGATTCGAACCCGTTCGCGGAGATTTTAATAGTTTAGGATCCGGCGACAGACTCCTTCCCCAGACTTGTCACACCCGGTCGGAGTCCAGAATCAAGGTGGAGATTCCGCACGTCACGAATCGGTTGAGGACAGCTCGATATCCAATTGTGAGCCATCACTCAAGAGGATGCGTTCGCAAATACCATACGTACCGGAAAAAAACTCTCGATTGGCGACGAAGCGCGAAGTGTCCGCGCCTTGCGAGCTTAGGTTTTTCTGTCTATTCGGGCGATCATGGGAGGCATTCGGAATAGCACGGCGTTTTTTCTCGTATCAATCATTCCACAATATTCAGCGCTCTGCATAAATTCGCCAATGGTCCTGTCGGCCTCCGTTGATACGCCACATGAGGATAATGAGTTCCGCGAAACATAAGTCGTATCCACAGAATAGTACGTTGAGCGAGGATATGAGCTATGGATCTCTGCTGGCACGACACCAAGCGACTCGGATCGAACGCACCGTCCTGGGCGAGGAATCCTGACTGGCTGGCTGGCGGGCTGGGACCTCTGAGGAGAGATTCGCTCCGGGAGCGGCGGGATCCCCATGATAGCGAGCGGGAATTCCCGCGACGCTGTTGAAGCTTGAATACTACCGATGGAGATCTGCAACCTACTGTCACTAACGGGCTCCTTGGGAGCTCCGTCGCGGTGATTGCGTCACATAGACACAATAACAGCACACGCGCAAATACGCACAACACCCTCACAACAGAGCCAGGGCTGGCACGGTTCCCGGTCGCAGGAGCTCGGTTCTCTTCCTCCCTACCTATGATGATTCTAACCATACCATTATGAGTGTAGATCATTTATTGGAGGAATATCAAATTATGTAATAAACACTCCACGCGGCGATCTGCACTGACAGCTTGGGGCTTCACCCCTCAGAGAACATAGACAGATTACTGATGGGGAAAGACCATCCGCATCGGTAATCGGACATCACCATCGTTAAGAACCAGAGTCGCCATCTTGAGCGGGAAAAAAATATATCTCTAATTAGTCAAGTCAGGAGGGAGAACAAGTGCGAAAATCGTGGACCCACCCGAAAGCTCCGACCGCAGTCGCGATTTATTTATCGGACTCGGTTCAGTCTGTCACAGACGATTAAGCCAGTTGCGGTCCTCAGACCCCTCTGACCCGTCTTCGACTAGTTCCCTCGGGAAATAATCCCGAATCAGTGCAGATCACCCGCTTTCGGAGCTGGGGATTCATTTTATCGTGTACTCTCTTAGCGGTCCAGCGATTTGTACATCGCATTTTGAAGTCAGAAAAATCAACTCACGCCAGAAGTTCTCCTTCACGAACTCTCCGCGCATCCTGCCAAACCAACTACCTTGAGTGTAAGACATCCCAACCGGTTAGTGGGTAATCAAGTATCAGTGCTCGGCGCTTAAAAATTGCGTGCAACATACCGTGGAAGAGAATCGTCTCTCAAGATCAGATTATCATCGAATCCGGTGCAACTTCGAAGTGCCAACCACGGATTACCATCGACACCTCGCCCAGCGGCGCGAGGGAACCAGGTTGGGTGATCACGAGCACGAGCAACAACAATAGGGACCCAAAGCTCATCCACCCCCCAAGTCCTACACAATGAGCGATTCAGAAACAACAGATCGTCCGGAGAACAATCAACGGACTCCTCAAGGAGATCAAAGAAATATCCAAGGTTTGTCGCCGACTCAACCAGCCAATACGTCTCAGCAAGACGCCTTTGACACATATGGAGATCGAGCAGAAAGCGACCCCAACTCAAAGACTCGCGTCAACAGCCTTGGCTCCTGATTCCCCTTAAGCAGGCCCGGCCTTGACTCATCAGTAGAGCCTGGACTTTCAGGCACTAAAAAACTCCAAAATAGGCAGGCAAAAAGGCACTAAAAATCTGCGAAATAGGCATGAAAAATAGGCAAAATAGGCAAGAAAGGCACTTAAAACCTGAAAGAAAAAGCACTCCGAACTAGACCGAGGAGGAGCAAGAACATGAAACGTGTGATTTCGTAAGGAGATGGGAGCTCTTTATTCTACTGGAGTTACATTGCACATCGGTATCATGTGAAACTTGGCATTTTCCGGCGTCAGACCGTGCCGTCGATCGGAGAGAAGTGATTTGTAGCGGGAGAAGGACCGCTCTACATCCACACTGACTGCAGGAGCGTACTTGAAACAGGAAATTTCGGCGACAGACATCTCCGCGATTGAGGGGCCACCTGCCTCACCTGAGAGAGCCCTTTCGATTTGGGTCAAAATTTCAAACCCTCGATTTTGTTGGAGGACACGTTTCAGTTTGCTCTTTACCATCTCTCCCTTGGGTCCCTCGGCCTCATTGATGCGTTGTTTGAATTCGTTGAAAATTTTGAGCGTCACGCTCAGCATCTGCGAGCTACATTCTAGTTTTTTTATGTAGTCGGGCAGAGCCGAGAAATTCGCAGCGATGAAAGTGAGGTGTGACTTCACGCTCGTATTGAGCAACAAATCCTTGGACTTCTTGATTGCAGCGGCTTCGCTTTCGTCGAGCCCCTCTAACACACGTTTGATGTCCTCCAAATGCCTCGCGTAGTACAGAGCCGCGGAGAGCCAGGTGCCCCATCGAGTGAGTATGGGCTCAGGAGGCGAGGGCACGTTTGGCGCCGTGGCTCGAAGAACTCGGATGCGAGGAGGCGCTTTTAGGAATATTTTCTTGACATTGGCAATGATGCTGTCCACCTCCGGGAACAGAACACGTATCTCTTCACATACTCGATGGATTCCATGCGCCAGGCATGTTACGTGAATCATATTCGGGAAAAGAACCTTTAAGCCGGCAGCGGCTTTCTTCATATAAGGTGCTGCATCACTGACGAACAGCAGCACTTTGTTATGCTGGATACCTTCTGGCCAGAGCAAATTCAAGGAGTTCATGAACGCCTGAGCAATGGTGGCATGGTTTGTCCGCTCGACGATTTCCGAATCGATCAGGTATGGAGTCGAACTTTCCT